ACACACACACACACACACACACACACACTGTTTTCTATTCCAAAAAGAATAAAGTAATGCCTTGTTGTTCACATCAATAACAACACTCTTGGATGGATCACTATTGAAGGCTGTGTACAAAGTATTAGAATTAAACATTCATTTCTAGTCTCGTCCATCCTAGTCCCAACCCCCCCCCTCCACTTGTCGATCAAAGACACTTATAAGGTCTTATGTCAGTCCCGTGTGAGGTTGAGAAGGACATAACTGTTCCCACATGGCGCTCCCTAATCCGTGCGAAGAAACACATCAACTGCTGTCCTTCTACATTTAAGACTGCAGTCTCACACAGAACACGCTGCATCCCCACCCTGATGAGTAGTGACAATGAGTGGCAATACCTCTTTTCTGTAAGGTTTGAGCATAAAACTGTCACATTAACTCTTGACTAAAGGGAGTTAGTTAGAAACAGATTGCCTGTAGGGGTGGTTTCGTAATTTTTCTGTATGCTTCCTTTGTTCCTGAAGGATAAAATAAAGACAGTGCTCTTGAGGCAGATTTGGGTTTACGTAAAAGGGTGATGAAATGGCTTGTTTCAATTGCCATATTGTGTTTCACGAATATTGTCCGCCATGCCATTAACATGGGCCAATCCGCAGGGCACACCATGGTGACACTGTCAAAATGTCCACAACTTCTGTTCAGATCTGTAGACTCAGGATTTTTAGCAATGAGATGTGGCGAGCTTGGATATGTGTCAAAGGAAATGGCTGTTTTGACACTGATGGAGAGGGATGGGGCTGCATTGCCCAGGCATGTTTGGTTTTTAAATCCTCCTCATTTTAAAAATAAATATTGACACTAACATGCTAATCAAAGCCTGGCTATTTGTTCAATTAGTATGTTAATTTCTTTTATTCCCCCATGTTCCATTTACCATTCGTCAAAGGTGATACTTAATACTATACTGAATAATTCTGGTTTGCATAATTAAATCTCGGTCTTCAGCTGTAGAATCTTTATGGAAATAATTTTCTTTCTTCTGTTTTAAGTGGGTACATTGTATTTAATAAAGATGAGTATCAATAAAATTATACCACAGAACAATTATTATCATGAGGAGTATACTATAATTATTTTTGAAACAGTTTTTTTCATGTCAAACTATTCATTTTCTTTTTTTCTTTTGTTTTTAAATCTCTTATCTTCACAAGGGTCGCAGGCGTGCTGGAGCCTATCCCAGCTGTCTTCGGGCCGTAAATGGGGTACACCCTGAATTGGTTGCCAGCCAATCGCAGGGCACAAATAGATAAACAAAAACCATTCGCACTCATACTCCCACCTATGAAAATTTTACAGTGCTGAATGAACCTACCGTGAATATTTTTAGAATGTGGGAAGAAACTGGAATATCCGCAGAAAACCCATGCAGGCACGAGGAGAACATGCAAACTCCACACAGGAAGTCCTGGGCCCGGAAACTAACCCATGACCTCTGCACTGTGAGGCGCATGTGCTGACCAGTCGCCCACCATGCTGCCCCACTTTAACATCAGTTATTATATTGTTTATTTCAACATACTCCAATTCCAGACTAAAAAAAAATATAGATCCAGGAACACTAGAGTTGTGGATTACCTATCTGCATCATCTGCACCATACAAGTTCAGCAAACCACGTTGAAAACACAATGTATATTCAAGTCCATTTTATTTTGGACTTATCTCAAGTCACTTAATGTATTGGACAGAGGCGAGCTCCTCACACAATAAACAAATTCAACAGAACCTCATCTAATCCGTGCGAAGAAACACATCAACTGCTGTCCTTCTACATTTAAGACTGCAGTCTCACACAGAACACGCTGCATCCCCACCCTGATGAGTAGTGACAATGAGTGGCAATACCTCTTTTCTGTAAGGTTTGAGCATAAAACTGTCACATTAACTCTTGACTAAAGGGAGTTAGTTAGAAACAGATTGCCTGTAGGGGTGGTTTCGTAATTTTTCTGTATGCTTCCTTTGTTCCTGAAGGATAAAATAAAGACAGTGCTCTTGAGGCAGATTTGGGTTTACGTAAAAGGGTGATGAAATGGCTTGTTTCAATTGCCATATTGTGTTTCACGAATATTGTCCGCCATGCCATTAACATGGGCCAATCCGCAGGGCACACCATGGTGACACTGTCAAAATGTCCACAACTTCTGTTCAGATCTGTAGACTCAGGATTTTTAGCAATGAGATGTGGCGAGCTTGGATATGTGTCAAAGGAAATGGCTGTTTTGACACTGATGGAGAGGGATGGGGCTGCATTGCCCAGGCATGTTTGGTTTTTAAATCCTCCTCATTTTAAAAATAAATATTGACACTAACATGCTAATCAAAGCCTGGCTATTTGTTCAATTAGTATGTTAATTTCTTTTATTCCCCCATGTTCCATTTACCATTCGTCAAAGGTGATACTTAATACTATACTGAATAATTCTGGTTTGCATAATTAAATCTCGGTCTTCAGCTGTAGAATCTTTATGGAAATAATTTTCTTTCTTCTGTTTTAAGTGGGTACATTGTATTTAATAAAGATGAGTATCAATAAAATTATACCACAGAACAATTATTATCATGAGGAGTATACTATAATTATTTTTGAAACAGTTTTTTTCATGTCAAACTATTCATTTTCTTTTTTTCTTTTGTTTTTAAATCTCTTATCTTCACAAGGGTCGCAGGCGTGCTGGAGCCTATCCCAGCTGTCTTCGGGCCGTAAATGGGGTACACCCTGAATTGGTTGCCAGCCAATCGCAGGGCACAAATAGATAAACAAAAACCATTCGCACTCATACTCCCACCTATGAAAATTTTACAGTGCTGAATGAACCTACCGTGAATATTTTTAGAATGTGGGAAGAAACTGGAATATCCGCAGAAAACCCATGCAGGCACGAGGAGAACATGCAAACTCCACACAGGAAGTCCTGGGCCCGGAAACTAACCCATGACCTCTGCACTGTGAGGCGCATGTGCTGACCAGTCGCCCACCATGCTGCCCCACTTTAACATCAGTTATTATATTGTTTATTTCAACATACTCCAATTCCAGACTAAAAAAAAATATAGATCCAGGAACACTAGAGTTGTGGATTACCTATCTGCATCATCTGCACCATACAAGTTCAGCAAACCACGTTGAAAACACAATGTATATTCAAGTCCATTTTATTTTGGACTTATCTCAAGTCACTTAATGTATTGGACAGAGGCGAGCTCCTCACACAATAAACAAATTCAACAGAACCTCATATGAGAAAGCATTATCCCAGGCAGCGAGGCAACAAAAGCAGCTAAATATCAATACCAAGGTGCTGTATATAGATAAAATGAAAGAACGCAAATGACTCTTATCAACACCCTACCCCACAGTTTGAATTCATTATTTTCCACATTGATGGATCTCTTTATTTTGCCTACGTCTGGCGACTGCTGAATTTGCTAATTGCTCTGCAGACCCTCAAAAGTAAAGAATAAGACTTATGTTTTCAAGCAAAATAAAACATGGCACTGTGATTCAGGGGGCCAACATGTTGGATTGTTGGCATCGCTGCAAGAATGTTAATTTGTCAAAATTTCGATTACATATTCTGACAAAAAACAATAAAAAAAAAAAAACAGCCGCGTTTGCTTATCACAATTTGGAATGGTTGTGCAGTTCGCTGCACATTCTAAACAGGGTTATATTGCAGCTTGACACAAAATACTGACATGGCAGACCATAAAGTGTGGACACAATATTCAACATTTTTGTCTGTATTTTCAATACGCTGACAGTTCGGCCTTTTTGGACTCACCACATAATGGACTATTGTGTGTTTTTAAATTGTGTTATTTGTTTCCAGACATAATATTGTTTGTTGTGTTTGATTTGTCTCACTTTGTGAAGCCACAACAGCGACGACCTGTAATGACCCTGGCATCCCAGTAAATGGCTCTCGATATGGAGACACTAAGGAGCCCGGTGACAGTATGACGTTCCAGTGTGACCCCGGCTATCAGCTCCAAGGCTCTGATACCATCACGTGTGTCCGCATGGAAAACAGATTCTACTGGCAGCCTGACCCTCCAACATGTATTGGTAGGTGTGCATTACTTTGGTAATCACTGCCTTTATACAGAATCATGGATAGCGGCAAATGACCTTCAGCTCAACCAGAACAAAATGTTACAATTTCGAAGCCCAGAAAGAGAAAAACTTTTAGCCGAACTACAATTTCTGAGTCCCTGTTCCTCAATGTTTAACCATTTAATGCACAGATAATGATAAGCTGTAACCTGATAACCTTATTAACTGCGCACTGTAGTAACTGCTATCCCTGAAAGGGTTAAAATGTGTTGTTTTATCACCACTCATTTTATTCATTTTACCAAGAGTAAAATAATTGCAATTCATTTTATAACCACTCATTACCAGCGTGTTTCATTTATCCTGTTTCTTGGCTCGGGGTGTTTCCTTATATGTTGTCAACTAATTGTGCCTGGCCCTCTTGCATGGCTCTGGCTTGTGCGCTTCCTTCTCTATTCACTGTCGGAATTGAAACTGAAACTGAAAAAAATGGTGTGTTGATATGATGCAATCTTATTTTCTCAGTTGGTTGCCCAAAATAAAATACATATTATTATATGTATTTTATTTACAGATACATATATTAAGTCGACTATACATGTATGCATGTAAATCCAGATGATTCGATTGTATGCCATGATTTGACAAAATCAAATTTATTTAATTCAACACACCATTTTTTTTCATTGTCATCACAAATCCAGCTTGATTGATTGATTGAAGTAAAATAGAAAGTATGATTAGCCTTTGGAAACACAACTTTTTTTCCGCCTCATTTAGAAGAGTTTTACTTGATTCCAAAATCTGAAAAAGCATTCATTTTCCTCTTTGTGGAGTGCATGTACAATCATCCAGGCACACAGAATGTAGTTAAAAGTGAAACATTTAGGGGAAAAAGGTTATGTAACCCTTTTTGAGGACTTTCAATCTGCTGTTCGTTGCAATCAGCTTCTTGCTGTTGTACCAGCCACACGCTACGCTTAACTGTGTTGTAGATTATGACCTCAAATTATATTTTAATGAGCTAATAACAATTCAAATTATAGTAACCTATGTAACAGTGCAACTTTTAGCCCATAAGAATGAATTAAGAAACTGTGTGCAAATACACAACCAACATAATGTTCAAATGACAGAATGTAGTTGGCACGTCGGTGCATCCAGCCATCCTTTTTCTGATCCGCTTTATCCTCACAAGGGTCGCGGGGCGTGCTGGAGCCTATCCCAGCTGTCTTCGGGCAGTAGGCGGGGTACACCCTGAACTGGGTGCCAGTCAATCGCAAGGCATACATAGAAGAACATCCAATCAAACCTCAGGGACAATTTGGAGTGTTCTATTAACCTGCCATGCATGTTTATGGAATGTGGGAGGAAACTGGAGTCAGTACCCGGAGAAAACCCACACAGGCACGGATAGAACATGCAAACTCCACACAGGAAGGCCAGAGCCGGAATAAGTAAAACATTTAACAGAAAATATTTTCGACCACCACGTTTTGAGATTTGTTTACTTTTGGAATAAATGTTTCAAAAAGTCAAATCAAAAATCAAACTGCGGTTGTGTGAGGTATGCTAACATCACACCTAACAAAATTGCGTTAGACATTGAAAAAATATTTTCACTCAAGGGCATATCAAATCTTACCAAAATATTTTTCTACTAATTACACTGCATTCTTTTCCTGACACAATTGCTTGACAACTGGCTCCACAGTGACAAAATATGCCCATGTTGTTGCTGTCTGAGGGCAGATTCCAGTCATGAGCTGCGACACTCACGAGAAATAACTCATCAGCAGCCCTTCACACAACCCAGCAGATTTGTTACAGATGCTCTCTTTTATCGCTCTCATCCAGTTTTATGCTCAAGTGTCCAAGGTGATGTTTGTTTACTGAAATACGGGCCGTTGAAGCTGAGGCTGTGGGAAGATAAATTTTTCATTTTCTCACACAATTAGTTTATGCGCTGCCTCTGCTCCACGTTTTTCACCGGCCATGCGTCCTGGCATTTTGATCTCAGTTTGAAGTAAATTGTTTCCCTTATTCAAACGGATGTCAACACACAAATATTTGACTTTTACATCACTGTCTATATGCTACTAAGTCATCTACTTCTGTATACACCTGCGGCATCATGCGTAGTTGATCATTCGTAGGCGAGGTTATTATGTCACTCTGTGTAAATCTCTTGGATTACCAATCTTCTTTTCTACCCTTTCATTCTCCTCCTGACACAAACTGACTGAATTGTTAGCATTCACGTCAGCGTGAATGTTCAGTCATTGTCTGAGTCCCACAGAATCCTGAGTTGGCTTGTAGTTGGAGTAATTATTGGATGACAAGGCGGATGAATATTTCAGCACAAATGATGCAGCTTCCAAACCTCCACCATAGAGAAGCCAGAAGACGCACAAGCTCTGTAACTTATACCGCTGCTGCTCATTGGAAATACTGTCGGCTGTCATGCATTTTTGAAGGGTGAAAATAAGTATCGCCCCACTGAAAACTCACACTGGGCAAAGTTGTGCGAGTGTGGTGGAAGAATGTGAGGTCACAAGATACTCTTGGTTGCAGTAAATACAAGTCAAAGTTTCAGACAAGTTTGCTGTCTGATATCTATTTCAGAGCTTGTTTGCTCTTTTCCACTATGATAATTACAATTTGAGTCACCTGCCACCAAATGCCTGGCAAGCGTCCCAACCGACACCACACGGGATTCACACTCTGCTTTTACACCATCCAACTGTCAGGGGTACTTTTCTTTATTTTGTTTCCTCATTTACCCCTGACAAACTTGATTTTACTTCTCCATCCCTCTCTCTAACACCAACTGCTGTCATGTCTTCCATCACGACATCTACAGTATTCAAGTCTTCCTCTGGCTCTCTTACCTGGCAGCCCCCTGCGCATCATCCTTCTGCCGATATCACAATCTCTCCCCTGATTGTGTACAAACCATCTAAGTCTGGTCTCCCTAACATTGGGCCACCAATACCTGACAAGCTCATTTCTAGTTCTATCCAACCTGGGCACCCATAAAAAGCTCCTCAACGTTTTAATTTCCACCACCTACAGCTGTGCTTCCTGCTATGTCACACAGCGGTGAGGGTTGTTTGTGTTTGTCTGGTCACTTCCTGTTTTATTTTGAAAGAGAGACTCTCCTCTCCTTTCAGGTCACTTGCCCTTCCTCCTGTGCCAGTCCGATTGTCAATCGCCCCCTGATTGTTTCCACTTGTTGCCCTTTACCTTGTGTTTAAATGGTCCTTGTCTCCCTTTGTCCTGTGCCACAGATTAGACCGGCCTTATTTCCACAGCCTTGCCTCTTTTGAGTTTTCAGCCAATGATCCTCAAATATTTCCTTTACTCTGAACCCTGCAACTGTGTCCTGTGTCCAAGCCTGATATTGACATGTTGTCTCTTTTAGTGCTACTGTCCCAGGGTCACTTTTATCACATACACTTGATACTTTCCTCCACCCGTCCCTCCTGCATGGATCCATTTCTGCACTTCCTCACCACAGTCACCATTGCTCTAGACTCTTGACCCTAAGTATTTAAAGTCCTCCCCCCTCATTTTCTCTTCTCCCTACAGCACCACTTATGCACATTCATTCTATTTTAGGCTAATCTTCATTCCTCTCCTTTCCAGCTTTATAGAGGTTCCTTCACCTGCTCCCTGCTTTCACTGCAAATCACAATGTCAGCTGCCAACAACATGGTTCACAGGGATTTCAGTCTCAACTTGTCTGTCAGCCTGTCCATTACCGAAGGGGCTTAGAGCTGATGCAGTCCGACCTCAAACTTAAAGCCCTTGTCACACCTACAGCACACATCACCACTGTTCTCCTACCCTCATAGACACCCTCTACTATTCAAGCAGACCTCTCTTACCACTGCAGACTTCCTCATGCAGTACCACAGTTCCTCAACTGGCTATTAATAGGCGTTCTCTGATCTACAGACAGCATTATTCCTCTATATTGTTTCCACGACCATGCACATCAAAATTGTTCAGAAAAATTGGCACCAGTACACATTTCCTCCATTCCCAAGCCATCTTCTCACCCACTAGAATTCTATTGAGCAGCCTGATGAAAAACTCGAGAGGCCGCTCCCTGATGATTCCATACTTCCATCTAGTTGACACACTACTGGCACCGGTCAACAGATTTCAATCGCTATTCTTAATCACGCTACCCTGCTGTACATCTTTCCCATTGCTATCATTTTGTCCAGCCACTCCTTTTTGCATGTAGTTTTCTACTTCCACCTTTGCCCAAATAGCACAAAAGAACGTGGGAATTTAAATCATACTCACAGCGACATGTTCTGTAAATTATACCATCCAGGGAAGATGCATATTTTGGGTGGAGCTAAGTTGCTGCACACATTGTAGTGGTAGAAATGGGCCAAGAAATTGTAACCATTACAGGTATTGGAATGCCTCTGATGTCAATTCAACATGTATAATGTATTTAGAAACAAATCTCTAAAGTCACTCACTACAAAGTCCAAATGTTGCAACGTTGTTTCACTGATGTCATGATTTATTGTGGATGGGTGGTCTGCAGTCCCACAAATCTGCAATGGCAACACTGCTTTTCTTCTCAATGCTGCCACTGACTCTCCTCACTTTTTTATTTTTTTTAACAGTTTAAATCCCCTTCTGCATTCTCTCAGTTTTTGACTATTATGAATCTCCCAGGAGTAGCATAATACATCTTATTTAGAGAGGTATATGTCTTTGTGTGAGTAATCTCCTCGACAGTTAAGGGCTTTGTTTACCTTTAACTCACCATTGCTAATGTGTTCACACCCACCTGCCTCCCTGAGTCTTCCTTAATGTCAGTGCGGCAGTGTCTGAGTTGATCACCGGTACTAAATATGTCTCCTACTTTGTTGTAGAAAAGCAGGACCACCGGGGATGATTTTACCTCTGACTACCCGTAGCCCCATTCTGTTTCCAAATTTCACTCTCGCACTTTTACTCAAGCAATTTGTGAAGGCAATATTAGTGGTCCACTAGGTAGGTGTTTTTCTCTCTCATCTCCAACCTTTGCCACACCTCTCATCAGTAGCTGACCCCCTTCTCTGCCTACATTTGGGAGGTTAGAGGGGTCGTGGATGTTCAGTCAAGGGGTAATACTCTTTCCCGAAGACTTAATGGTGTGTGATCATCATATCTCTATTTTTGGGTTTTCTCCCCAGCAACCTGCGGTGGTAACGTCAGCGGTCCTTCTGGAGTGATCCTGTCTCCTAACTACCCCCAGCCTTACCCTCCAGGGAAAGAGTGTGATTGGCGAATTCGAGTCAACCCAGACTTTGTCATTGCTCTCATCTTCAAAAGGTAGGGGCCCCCAAATAAGTGTGACCACGGTGGCTTTTAGTCAAAGTGTAACTGTCAGAAAATGCATTCTAAGATCTAGGCCTGCAAGTGGAATTCGGTGTCTGCAGAAACACCTCCACTGGTATTTCTTGGTGTGATTTAAGTCATGAAATATTTAGATCTAAATAGCACCGCACATCCTTTTAGGTCTGTTTTTGGTTTCCTTCAGGCAAGGATCTCTGTGATGACTTATTTAGCTGCATTCAAATAATAGAGTGTGATCAACCAATGTTCGTTAAAAATAAGCAGTCATACTAAACGATTTAATGGGCCCGCTAAATGCCAATATGAAGTACTTGAGTTGAGGCATGGTACAAATTTTTAATTAACAAAACTCAATCAATTTTTTCAACTATTTTCAATCTTTTTTTGGGGGGGTTCTTTCCACCTTGCACTGTACAAGATGCTTGCAAATCACGTTGTACATTAGAGATGCAAAGGCTATTTAAAAGTCTAGATTTTGATCAATGCCATGTTTGCTTTCCCCGTTTAATACAGATGAGTTATTTGGTTATTCAGGCATGCGTGTTTGTCATCCATCACACATTCCAATGACACCACACAGGGTACTACATATTGATCAGTCAACTTACACTGCAGTCTCATTTTCAGATATGTTATTCCTAGCAGATTTGTCTAAAATTCCATGTCACATATCTGAGCTGGGGCAAGGCTCAGGGAGAAAAATTCCCCAACTAATTGTGTCACTTGAACCAAATACAGTTCAAATATTTTTTGCTACACTCGAGCCTGTGTTTAAGAAAAAGTAAATTATAAAAAGAAAAAAAATACTGTAGTGTGCTGCACATGCCTAGAGTTGTGAAGAGATCTTTTTTTTTGTAGAAACAAACTTCAATGGTGTATTCTGTTAGCCATACAAAGAGACTGACACATCCTACAAGTTGGAAGGAAAATCTCAGCAATCAAACCTCAGATGACTTTGGCTGTGGAAATAAAATGTGCAATTTTCAGGTGTTATGAAACTCGATGAAAAGGGCATTCAATATGTTGGCTGTGCTGAAAGGAAAAGTATTTATACTGTGCTATATAATCAACATGAATGTCTCTCCTCTCGTCCTGATGCCAGCAGTTGTTTTGGATAAAAGAGAATAATTGCATAAAAGTGTGTTGTCCAAAGGGCCCTGGCAAAACATGGTTTCATTTCTAACGAAAAAGTTCACATCTATATTTTTTTAAATTTTTAATTAGGACACCATCATGTTTGAACTTGATTTCAACTGACTGAGGAGCAAATAACAAACATTTTTAGTGAGTTACTCATCTCGAACATGAAGCTGTTGTGGCACATTAAAAAAAATCTCTTAATTTTAGTTTGCCAAATATTTGTTGTTTGTTATATGGCCAAGAGAAACAAATTGGGCACTGTGTACAATTACTACAAAATAATAAATACAAATAAAAACAATCTGCTTTGTACTTGTGTATTTTAACTGATGCACTTGTATTTGCACTTTTGTGAAGTATCAGATTTTTCATTTGCAATTGTACCGATATTTCCGGACGACAAAACACACCTGATTAAAAGCCATCACAGCAAAACTTAGCGATTAAAAGCATATTTGTACACACATTGGATTATCCAGTAGAAAAAAAAAAAAAAGCACACAATAGTGAGAGAAAGGAAGCAACAAACTTCAATAAATGAGTAAAATGCAACTTTTTTTTTTTTTTTTAATGTAGCTGACCTCCAAAATGTGAGTGGGATGAAAGCGGGAGTCATGCTGAACAGGAGCAGGACGGGTTGGTAGTCGTTTAACCGGGAGTGGGACAGGCCAAGACCTTCAATGCTTGAACTGAATGGGATTTTGTGCCATGCGATTGGCTGGCGGCCAGTTCAGGCTGTACCGGCCTCTTGCCCTCAGACTGGGATAACCTCCAGCACACCCGCCACCCACTGGCAGTTATGCTCGCCCAATACAATGAGTCAAGTTTAAGCACAGTCCACAATCAAGGGAACAATTATTTATAACAATTCCATTTATTGTAAAATGAAATAAATGTTCTTACTGATTACGATACTTTGACTTTATGGTCTCTCCAGAGTACGCACTGTATGTTCTACAAATCTTTCTGCTAATTAAAATTGCATAATGATTACAGTGGCTTTTGTGGCTTGAATGCTTTGCTAAGATTATAACGGATCTCTACTGAATGTTAGCACTCTGTCTGCATTGTCATTTCATGACATTTATACTTAGAATGTGGTTGTACAGAAAAATGTATTTGCAAGGATCACCTTAATGCTTTGTCAGTACGGAGGAGCTTATGTGGCGTTAAGCTCTTGCTAAATCAGATATAAATACAGGCCTTAGCATTCACAGGGCTTATGTTAACCTTGCAAGTGATCACACTGGCTGATTACATTAGGTATTATCCCGTTATAGATAGTGCTGTTAGAAATGGGCACATAGACCATAGAAGAAAAAGTAAATATTTTACCAAGAACAGGGTGACATGCATATAACTGTGCATCTTCTCAAGCATGAAAGTGTAAATTGCTAAAATGACATTTTGTCTTTTATGAATTATAACATGCATGTTAAAATCAAATAAATTTCTCAAGCACAGCCTTGGTTCGGACTCATGGGGCCTTTTTAATAGACAGGCGTAGCATAAAATCGGGTGCATCTTCATTTTCATGCTGGGGCAAGTGTAATTTACTGTGTTTGGGAATTTGGTGGATGGCACTGGTGCACCTCAGGACTTGACGCAGCATGTATTGGTACATGGGAATGGGGGGGATGTATGAAATGTGTCTGTCTGAAGGCGGAAGCCCATCTGTAGCACGACTCAGGTTAAATCATTCCTGTATAAAGTGACAAAATAAATATCTAAGTCTGGATGTGCACTTTAGCTTTGTGTTAAAGGCTTAAATAATAAACAACAACCCTAGGGTTACAACAACCTCAGTAACCCTAACCCTCACACACGGACACATGATCTGAGATGGATGGTGTTCTCCAAGTGCCCATCCACAGCAGTCTGATCGTCTTGCAGTTCCTGTTAAATATACTTTCTACATGGCTCGTACAGTAGGTTGAAATGAGGCGAATGAGGGGAGCGTTCTACCCACAATGGCGCAAACACCCCTTTTCCCTGCTTGGATCTAGGAAAATACCAAAAGATAGAAAACTCCACCTGTACATGTAATTAGATGGTGCTACACTTGCGCCAGGCACGAAAATAGGGGCAATAATGTCAGTGCAACAGAGAAGCACTTGGCTACTCTATTAGCTGTTATTAGCTATTATTTCTCAGTGGATTATCACCAAATGGTGTACCCATTGTAAACGACCTCTTTGTTTCTTAACCTGAATGATATCATTTATATATCATGAATTAATCTCATCACTAATCTGGATGACTTCTCGATTACAACAAAGGACTTGTGAAGTAAAAAAAATAAATAAATAGCTGCTTGGCAGCGGTTATATGCGTTGTGGTATAAAAAAATAAAAAAGATGAACGTACAATGCAATTTAATTTACACAGGTGTCACACTCACACACAACACACGACTTCCATCTTAACTACAAAGTGTAGACAGGTGGAGAATCAAAACAAGGATAAAAGTGGACTCCAACAGAAAACATAGAAGTATGTTGTGTGTTTAACTGGCAGGTGGATGCGAAGACTAACATAATTGCTCGCAGGGTGAACATTTTGACATGTGTTGATGAGTGTGCGTGTATGTGTGTGTATGTGTGCATTCTTTTTATGCCTTATCATATACATTCTCATAAACCTGTATGTGTGATTTGGGGGCTGGAGGGTATCACAGAAGCATTTCCTGCTAAACAATTGACTACTTTGGATAAAGGTTCATGGGTAAATTTGTTGAAACTCATGCTTTTAGACTTAATTTCATCCAATTATATGTTGACTCGCAAGAGAAAACCAGGCAAAACAAATTCTCTGGTTTTGGCTAAAATGATTTTACCTTGTTGTTAATTGGGTTGCTAATTGCTGAAACGTTTCCATAAATGTTCTATGGAAAGGCTAGCAGTGTCATTTTGGAAATTAACAAGACTGAAAAAGGAATGTTTGGCAGTTTTTACATTGTAACTAAAAAAAAAAAAAAAAAAATGCTCATAAATGAAATAAGAGGTCAGTAGTGCCAAGAAGGTCGGACATCATTGTTGACAGATCTCTATATGAAAAGCTAAAAGTAGCTTGTTGCTGGTAAAAAGTGCCTCGTGGTGTTATGGCCGCATATGTCAGGTGGTGACGTGATGTTGATAAAGTATCGGTGGAGAACACTCCTTGCTAGGTAATGAAGAGGCCCTTGACTGAGCAGCAGGTGTGCTCTTGTAACAAGCGTAGCACTTGTGGAAACTGGGCAAGGTGTCATCACACAAAACACCACTCACACCCGTGGCATAACAATTTGCACAGTGCAAATATTATGGCTATTTTAACCAGCTACCTTTGAAGTATACTTAAATTCGATCATCTTATCAATTATTCCTTTCTAGTCAAGTCGGTCCCATGAAAAGATTCCAGTTATTCAAATGCATGAAAAACACATCATGGTGAATGGCAGTTATTCCAACTATTTTGATACAATCGATCTGTTGTGCTTCGATCAGTTTCAACATGGAGCCCAGTTATGACTTCCTGCACATTTACGAGGGCGAAGACTCGAATGGGCCTCTCCTGGCAAGTCTCCAAGGCAACCAAGCCCCAGATCGCATCGAGAGCAGTGGGAACAGTCTCTTCCTGGCATTCCGATCGGACGCCTCACTGGGCATGTCTGGCTTCGCCATTGAGTTCAGAGGTAAAACTACATCTTAGCAATACCGTCTTTGTTTTATAAGGGTCCGATCATTTTGTAGGCAAAGCCTGAATTTTACAGATCTTTGTGTAAAAGTGTGGGTAAAGGCAACCTAGTGGTGCTGTAGACCATCAGAACTCAAAGACAAGTTGTTCCAGTAGGCGATTTTTTTCCCCCTTCATTCATCAGCCCCCCCCTCCCCCTCCCCCAATGTTAAATTAAGGAAACAGAATCAGTCCATTGGACAAGATGACTTTGGAACACTTGAGAATTGTAATGTAAGAAATCTTATGGTAAAGAACTGTCATGTATTTGCGAAAAGACTTACGTTTTAAGTCTTCAGTTTCATTAGTGGAGCTTACTTTTCAGTAATCACTCCTTCTTCCTTTTTTATTATTGTTTTTTTTTATAAGTGTATATACACGTACACAAACAAGTGTCATTTCTGTAACACTTTGGGTTATGGATTATTATTCAACCTCACCATGTTTTCCTGGAAACCTCTGAAACTCAGGTCTGTGATAAATAATCAGGAGGGAAAAAAATAACATTTTGAAGGCTCAGTTTTGATTGACACCATCAGAGGTAATTTTTCTATAGGTGTGTAGACTTTAATGCAGTGTTTTTCGACCCCTGTGCCGCGGCACACCAGTGTGCCGCAAGACATTGTCAGGTGTGCTGCGGGAAAATATCCAATTTGTATGCCTGTGTGCCTGTCGCCCAGAAAGTAATCGTGTAGTACCCTCCCATACCGCTAGGGAGCAGCAACAGCTAGCCAATTGCCTTGTGTTTCGACGAGAGACAAGCGAATTTGTGACGCAGAAATGCAGGACGACGGTGAAACAATAAATATGAAGGATGAGAAAATACTTTTTTCTTTGTGTTCATTTGATTCCAATTCAAGCTGTTATAACGTCATTCTTCAATGTTAAAAACGGTTATAGTAACAATATAACACGTTCATTATTCAAATAAGCGTTTTTTTTTGTTCACATTTAGCTAGTGGTGTGCTGCGAGATTTTAACAATGAAAGAAGTGTGCCTTAGCCCAAAAAAGTTTGAAAAACACTGCTTTAATGTATGTCCACTGTAATTATGACGTTTTGATGTGGAAATGTTGCTTCCTGCTTTGTTTCACTCATGTACATATACCAAACCAGAGTACTGATCATTAGAAATGTTTCCCATTTTGATGCAGCATAGTACACTGCAAGAATGAGCATGTTAAATAAATATCAGCAGGGATGTGTTTGATGTTTGTCCCCCTGTTTTGGATGCAGTTGGACCACGAACTAATAACGTGGTTGGTCGGCCTATGTTTGGATCACAGCAAGACCAGTGTAGCAGAAGCAACTTCAGTCGCCAGGGCTGTGATTTTTGTTGACTTCCAGCTGGCTGAAAGTCTTCTCAATCAATAGTGATATTTCCAAGCCTTCATCCGTAAACCAGATCACCTTTACATGATGCTCGAGGGTATAAATTAGGATTATTTGTCTCTGGGCTGTGGCACAAATCAAAGATACATCCTATCTCTTGTGAACAACTTTGTGCATTTGATCTCCTGTATTACCAGGATGATGCTTTTTTTTTTTTTTTTTTTTTTTAACTTGGCATAAATTTTAAAATGTCAACACAGAGGTGTTTCATCTGTAGACCGGCTAATATTTAAAGCTGCCAACCAGATTCATTTCGGGTTCTCGTCATGAGGCTTTTTCAGCGAAATGGGCATGATTTTCCGCATCAGCCCGTGTGTTGTTTACCTCCACAGATTGTGACTCATCTTGGTTTTCCAGCAGCCGCTTGACTGGTGGTGATTTAACAGCCATTGTCAAAGTGAAGCTGATTATGACTTCATCATCGCACTGCAGCCTATATCTCCTCTGTCAAGTTTTATAAAAATCCTTCATTTTTTTTTTTGTGTCTATCTCACTCCATTCATGTGTAATTAAAAACGATTATCTCCCCCTCTGTTGTCTGCCTTGCCAGGCTACCTCACACCTCTGTACTTTTGTCATTAATTCATTACCTTTCATCTGCCATCACTCTAATTAAAATGCAACCTTAATCACCCCCCCCCCTTTTCATTTGTTCTACCACTCCTTCCTCATCTCTCTTTCTCTCTCTCAGCCTTCCCTTTTTTTCCTACCATTCTTTGCTGGGCAATCACAGGAAAGCAAACAAGCTGGGCCAAAACTGTCATTTCGAACTCAGACGGTTTTTGACATTGTTTGAGTTCCTCTTTGTACTCCATCACTCTTGCTTCTTATCGTACTCTCATTAGCCCCTTGTTCTTCCATGAAAACTGAAATGGAGGAGAGGGAATATGTTGTAAAGGGTCTCGTTTTGCCTGTCACATCCAATCAAATCAACAAATAGAGAGTGAACTTCATAGTGCCCGCTTGATAGCAGCCACTAAATCAATCAAGAGAAGAGTAAAACATTTCAAGAAATTGCTCTTGCTTACTTTGATTATACATTTAGTCTCGTTCTCAAAAGTTAGGAGAGCTTGGTTTCCAGAATTTGCAGTTTCACAATGATAGACATTTGTGTCTGTTGGTCTCAAGCTGGAAAGAGCGACAGAGGCACACTCCTGGTGTGCGCATATAATTTAAAGGGTTCCTGATTACCAACAACCTCATTTTCATGACCTCCCCCTACTGGTATCCTAAACTCATGGGTTCCCAACCTTTTTTGACCGAATATCTACTTTTCAAGCCAGCAACCTCTCACGATCGACCCATTACCGCATGTGCACGCATACACTCACACACACGCACGCTCGTACACACGCATGACACAATTCAACAGACATAACGGCCCCCAACATGAACGAAACCGAAAAATAAAGTAGATACAGGAGTTTGTGAGTTTGTGAGAAGGAAATCTCTGCCTACCTTGGTAGAGACCTGACGCGGAGTTATCACCAATTTCCCTTTTCACCCCTCGTCATCGACTTGGGACCAGTCCGCGGGCTACCGGTCGATCGCGATCTGTACAGGCAGGGCTGTTGTTCTTCTTTGTGTTCTGCAGTTCAGGCACTGCGTCAACTAACAGTTTATTCAGATTTTATTGTGTAGAATGGAGTAACACAGATGGTTAGCAGAAATGTATTGGAGTGAAAGTGTACATTTTATTTATTGGGCTAAAAGTGAAAGTTGCCGGAAATATGAATAACAAAGTGAAATGCAAATATTTGGAAATGCTGCTTAAGTACAGTAAGTATTTCTGTTCAAGTACGTTCAAGACTGTCTGTGGTCATAAAGACTGGCAATCACACCCTTGAAGGATACTAATTAAAAATTAGTACCTTGAGCAAGATGCATCTTATCGGGTTTTATAGCACAGTGTATGATTTTCTAAATGCACAAAACTCTTTTTTTATTTCTTTCAGAAAAGCCAAGGGAGGCCTGTTTTGATCCTGGTAACATCATGAATGCTAGTCGGACCGGCTATGACTATAAACTGGGATCTCAGGTGTCCTATAACTGTCACCATGGCTACACAACAGTGGGCGGTCAAACAATAACCTGTGTGATGGGGCATGACGGGAAGCCGGTGTGGGACAAGGCTCTGCCATCATGTAAAGGTAGGACAGATTTGTGGTTCAACACATTGTTGCACACATACGAACCGGATAAAGTGGCACACCACTTATATAGTACAATATGGACAAAAATACAGAATGAATCAAGGCATTTTGGACAATTCTGTACATCCAACTCAATGGGAACAGTTTTTGCGCTCTCAGTGCAGAAAGCGAGGTCCATAAAGGGATGCTGGGAGGAGAGAACTGAAGAGCCCTGACGTCAAAAGCGTCAAGTACCTTTTAAGAATACCCAGGCCTTTTTGAAGTTCATAACATACACACAAACACACATGGAAATATACGCATTGACAATTACCTCCTGAGTGTCGGTAATAATCAGTGATGCACACAAGTGGTATGCAGCCAGCACAACAATTATTTCCCAAGGCCAATTTAAAAATAAGAGCCTTGCAATGCGTTGCTATTTATGTCCAGTATCACTAGACTTTTGTTTTGAAGTTGGCCTTCACGGCGCATAGTAGCCTATGAACAATTATTTTGGCGGCTGGCTTGACTTGGCTGGCTCCCCGGTAAGCGACCTCACTCGCGGAGTGATGGCAGTGACCGAGCATGGTGGTAGGGGGGGCACTGACGAGAAGCTCCATCGAATTATATATCTTTAGGTGAGATTGGAAACCAGACTGCTGCGTCAAAGAACTGTGCTTAATTAGGGTGGTCAGTTCATTTTTTGAATGGGGCCATTTGTGAAACTGAAATGGTTGTTGAGGTCCACACCAACATGCTAACTCATTTAATTTATTTTTTTTTAATGAAAAATTGTATTATTTAATACGATGCGACTTGTGTAAATGACACGTGCACATTTTAAGAATATTGCAGTGCAGCCCCTACTCACGAGCCATTACATAATATTCTACTGTTTTAGTTGTATTCCAGTTTGTCTTGTGTGTTGTTGCTTTTTCTCTGAATATTCATAAAATAAGTGGTCCAACCGGTGGCTGCTTTCGTGTATGTGCTTGTGTGTGTGTGCGTGCCCTTGTGTGAACATCTGAGACAGATTTTGTCATGGATTGGAAGGCCAAACTGTCAAAACTGTCTATTTGATTAATGGCCGACAGAGCCCAGCAAGTGACACCTGCCAAATGGTCATTTGCAGTGTATTTGTCATATAAAGTGTGTGTGTGTCCTTTGTTTGAATGTGTACGGAAGGGGAGCTCAGAATTATCAAAGACAGTAATCTGACCCGGAGGCACACATAAGCGGAAGTGGGTGGGAACCAGCTATCTGTTATTTGGATTCAAGTAACTTTTTATAATAAATTGTACTTGTCAGAGTAGTTTTAATGCAACAAAGTTTACTATTTTATAAAGAACAATGCTTTTTTTTTTTTTTTTTTTTTTTTTTTTACTCCTTTACATTGAGTTACATTATGCTCGCTACTTGTATTTCTGTCGACAGTGCAGAGGGGCAGGGTTCGCTTCCGGCTCCGGCCTTTCTGTGTGGAGTTTATAGGTTATCCCTGTGCCTGCGTGGGTTTTTTCCGGGTACTCCGGTTTCCTCCCACATTCCAAAAACTTGCAGTTCAGGTTAATGTAACACTCTAAATCGTCCCTAGGTGTAAGTGTGAGCGCTGCTGGTTGTTCATCTATGTCTGCCCTGCGATTGGCTAGCAAGCAGTTCAGGGTGTCCCCCAGCTACTGCCTGAAGACAACTGGGATAGGCTCTAGCATGCCCGTGACCCTCGTGAGGATAAGTGGATCAGAAAATAGATGGATGGATGGATGGAGTCATATTATTCTGAAGGAACAGTACTCTTACTTGAATACTACTAATGCTAATATCACTGCCTCTGTAGATAAGTCCAGGCTAACAATCAAGGCGCAATTATAACACACTAAAATATGTTAAATTATATACCTCTCAGCCTTTTTTTTTAATCAAGCTTAAAAGATTGTCAAAGCAGGAATGGCTGGGCGGAAGGATTTGACGTACAGTATGTTTTCACACCAACAGCAAATAACGAAAGTGGCTTTATTTCATGTTCACATCCATTGACCTTTTATCAAGATAAAAGCATCGCCTTTGCTTTCTACTTGGCTGTTTCATACACAAAGACACTGTCATTTGTAATTCAGGAGCACACAATGAAAAGATGTTTTACAAGGACAACCGTGCTGCAGTGTGTTCTTTGTTGTTCTTTTTCACCAGCGGTTGAAAGTAAAACAACAATTTAAATTGATCACTCGCATGGCTTCCGTCAGCAGTTCTGCTTTTAGCTCGATAAATAGTCATTTAAGGAGATTATTTGAATGAAATATTGAGTGAGATACATTATGAGCATAAGCTAAGTATTGATATTGTAATCGTATGATGAAAGCCCACGTCACGGGGTTCTGACCCAACCTAAGCTTCTCCTTCAAGCCTCTTGTAACTGAATAAGCGGCTGTATTACACGAGTTTTGTCAAAAACCATTCTACTCACACCAGACATTTCATTCGCTAAACCTGGACATTGACGTCAGTGGCGTTGCGAGTCTGAATGGTACGTTGTGAGAGAGCCCCCGTGACCAAACCCTTACACACACACATGCACGCATGCTGAGGAAAAACACACCGAAATGGGTTCTTTCAAATATATTGCATTGTGAGAAAATAAGAAATCAACAAATAAGAATTAGAATCATTGAACCTGAGAGTTTAAATAAATCTTGCTTTACAAAAATGAGAAAAATCATGATACAGTCTTGATATTATTTATACAGTGATTGCGTTCACATAAGGCTAACTTGTTAAACTATATCCAACATGTTGTCTTCCTTATTGATCCAAAATCGTCTACGACGTTTCTACTGCTCCATTGACTCCACAAGGAGGCACAAATCCCACATATGAACGATAATTGACCTATCGTGCATCAAGCAATAAAAAAAGCATCTCACGTCCCATTTATATTCATTTATTTTTAATTTGGGTCTCGCTATCACCCCTCAGCAATGGCGCTTTCCTCGGCCACTACATATGGTGGGTGAATGTAGCTCAAGCTAATCTTCTTTAGACCACAAACACCTTGAGAGTGAATGAGCAGCACTTCTGCTGCTTGTAACCAATTAGTGAACTCCATTACTTCAAGATGGAAACAATCAAAAATCAAAGGTGATTAAAATCATTCTTCAAGATCAGTTGATTAATATAACTGTTTTACACATCCCTACAAGCTAAAATAATGTACAAATTAAGGAAACTGTCGTAATCAGTTCTTGAAGGTATGCTGATTTTTCCCACACATCTGGATTTGGTTCTCATTCTATTGTGCGAATGTAAGTTTCGATCGCCGTTTAGTTTTTGTCCACTTTCTGTTCCCACAACAAGGGCTTTGATTAAAGTGCCACTACTTCCGTTCCTGAAACAATCCATTCAACACCATTCGACTTACTAATTCCTTCCATTTCGATCGCTTCTATTCTTCTCCACATTGACTTTTCTCACCGCATAGTTTGGGCACTTGGTTTTCTGTTCTTTGTCTCTGTGTCTAGGGCCAGCTCCTGGGGGCTCTTAGACCAAGCTCATTAGACAGGTTGAGACCCCCTTAAATAATACAGCTCCACTTACACTCCCTCCGTCTTCTCTCGTTTCACCTTTCGTCCCCTTGCTCAGCCCCTTTTTCTTTTCCCTCCGCATGTAATGACTTCGCACAACCCTCCTGCACTCCCTTCCTACTGCCTCATCTGTCTGTCTCATTTACTGTGTTGTGCTCTGCGCTCTCTCTCTCTCTCTCTCTCTCTCTCTCTCTCTCTCTCTCTCTCTCTCTCTCTCTCTCTCTCTTTAACACACACCCACCTTCCATCTCAAAATGCTCTTTTCTTCATTCCCATGGTAACTAAGAGCGTTGAAAAGAAGACGAAATTCTTAGTGACTGTTGAGAATCTCTCTCTCTCTCTCTCTCTCTCTCTCTCTCTCTCTCTCTCTCTCTCTCTCTCTCTCTCATTCCTTATTTGGGTTTAGAATATGTGTGTGTGTGTGTGTGTGTGTGTGTGTGTGTTTGTGCGCGCGCACTCGCACGAGGGCTGTAACTTCTACCTCGATGCAGGATACTCACGTACATGCATGTACATACAAGCACAGTAACAATAACTGAATGCTCCATTTATGAATCGGCATTTTGGTCCAAATTTTACTAATGTTAAAATAGTTCACCTGTGTGAGTGTGGTCTACTCTATGTTTATGCGCACATGTGTATGTTGCTGTCTCGTACAGTCGAACCTTGTTCCGGCATACCTTGTTTAAAACGTTTTCACCACTAATGTTTCGCACAGATAGTTGTAGAGAACCTTTTTGGTGTTCACAACCCTCGCCCAACCCGTATCTATCAGCTGTGCTGTTGCTATTTGTTATCACATTCAATGTATAGACACATCATAATACAGTAATTGTGTTTAATCCCTTTCATCAAACATGCACTGTGAAACCGACTGTGCTTTATATATAGGCCTTGCTTTGTAACAATAATACGTGTCTGTTTGTTAAAGTGTGGGTGTGCAAGACTCAATAGTTTGAGGTTATTTTCTTTCCTGAGATGAATCTAATCCCTGGAAAATTAAAGGCGCAATAACAATTTTATTAGCTAGTTTTCGAAAAACTGCAGGAGGTGCTACAAGATAACTTTAACACTCTGGGACATTTTTACACTTTTTCTTTTACGGTGTTGCCTTTTTTTAGCAGGAAACGGTTTATATGTGCGCTTGTGTGTGCACGGGTGCATGTTTGTTGGAGACTGAATGACCATGAGAAGTAAGCCTTCCAAAGTGTGTGTGTTTCAGCGTGTTGTGAGCATGAGTGATCAAAGACCATTTGTGTGGAAGCTTTTTAGCACCTGAGCCTGGAGCAACACCACTGGGAGATTGTGGGTAGATGAAGAACACACCTTCAGACCCCAGGGTTAGAATGCAGCATCACAGCACGAATCAATGGAGAAAATATCAGTCGGTGTGGAAGATGAAGAGGAGCAGAAAGAAAGTGGATGATTACTCTGATGGTTTATGAAGCAAAAGGGAATGGAGACGGCAAAGTGGGGGACCACAGGCCAACAAATGCATCTGCTCTGTTGGAAATTGCAACGAAAACAATTCCAGCTATGTTTTTTTTTTTTTGGTTTTGTTTTCCCTGCCGAGTTGATCTATGCAAGTGATCCTCATCTAGGCTTCCCATTCTTATGCAAAGCTTGTGATAGCTCAGCACGTGTGCTCAGCTCACTGATGTCGTTTTTGAAATGTTATTGAAGGAGCTCAGGTGCGGCGCATGCAGAGTGATCAGCACAGCGCCACTGCTCACTTCTTGGATCGGGACCGCTACGCATCTCCAGTTCATCTGCTTGCTACCGTGTGCAAGTAAAATGACCACTTCAGGGTCACGTTGTGGGATGTCGCTGAAGGATGATCCTTAAAAGTCCCGATGGGTTATTTGGTAGACTTTTTCACCGCTTCACTCAATGCGCATTATTCACACAAATGTCAACACTCACTCACACACAATCTAAACATATGCCCGAGGGTCATATAAACAGAAGGCTGATATAGATTTTTTTTAACCCTCAGGCTTATGTTTATATTGTGTGTGTGTGTGTGTGTGTGTGTGTGTGTGCGCGCGCATGAGCATCCGAGCAGGTGACACCGTAATATATGTGCAAATCAAGAAATGTGTTGTGGTGGCACTCTTTTGGTTCACAGAATAGTTGCAGCCAGTCTGCAGGACTCTTAACATCTGCATCCTGCTTCTTCATGTTCGAGTTATTCAAAATCTGGTTCAAAGGCAGAGGCCAAATTCCATATTTCAATGCACGTGTCATTAAAAAAAAACATCTTTACATGTTTCACTCTTTTGATCTAATTTTAACATCACCTTTTTACAATAACACACTGATTATTTGGCTGTATTTAACCTGTACTGCCCGATGACATTTTTAATTTACAAATAATCATCTTAGAGCAGAGTGTTTTATTTTTAAAGTTACTTTAAAAGATGTTTTGGCCAAATGCAGCTATCTTTTTTTTTTTTTTTACATAAAAATAAGATTTGAGAAACCAACTTTTAGTGTAATGAGGATGTTGGTGCTAACTACGGAAAAGAAGAGAAACTCAAAACACACAATTAAAGTCAATGCCCCCTCCCCCTTTTTTTTTGTACCATTAGAATAAATTGAAAAATGTGTTAAAAGCCAAATACATCGAGGATCACATTTTAACTTGGCTGACACTCCAGCAGTCAGTTTGTACTGGCTGTCTGTGTAAAATCTGAATTTGGCTCACGAATGCGGTTGCATTTTACAGCCAGTGAACAAGATCCATTTTGTGTGTGTGAAGGCAAGTCTATAACATTACAGTTTACTGTGGGTACGGGATTGTCCAAAAACAGATTCCAAAATGTTCTAAAGCTGACACATCATTTTTTTGCAAGTCTACAATGCCTTCTTTTGTGATGTTGATGAGAAATGGCATCACACGCCCACACAGGATATGGTGCACTATGCAGAATATGGAATATCAAAACGAGAAGGGATGCAACGTTCACATTTATTTTGATTCACCGATCCTATAACCCTTCACCAAATGTAGCATGGACATTGGATGAATGAGTTTTGCATCATCTTGATGAGCTTGCAGAAGGTAGAGGTTGCGGCAAGAAGCCAGCAGTGAAATAAACTGCCGTTTTCAACAAAATCCCTTGAAATTGAGTACGCTCTTGAGCTGCCAGTACACGCACAAGTTGAAAAAGAGCCCAGTGGCATATGTGATGTCTTACAAGCAGGCGAAACTAGGAGAGGATCATGCAAGATCATTTTGCATAATTAACCTTGAAGTGTGTGTACAGGATGTACACTCCCCCTCAAATTGTAGTGCTGTTGACTGACAATATTTGGGTTTGATATGAAAAGCTAAATCTGAGACGAGATCAACATTGCAGCTTTTTTTCTTTTTAAATAACAGCTTCCTTTGTTTAACCGCTGGGTAAGGCAGTTGAGAACAATTTCTCATTTTCAAAGCCGACCCGGTGTGAATTTAGCGTATCGGTCTCTCTGCTAAGGACACTTCCACAGTGGACAGTCAAGAGCCGGGAGTCGATCCACCGACATGGAATGTGTGCTCCACTTTTACAAATTTTCATTGCAATCTGTAGATTTGTGTAAACCTGGTAAATAATTGACAAGCAAACCGACTTTTTGCATTTGCCCGAGGTCACAAGCCTACCACCGTCCCAATTCTTGCAATTCATCTTGTTCTGTGTGTCTGCAGCACCATGCGGTGGACAGTACGGTGGATCTGACGGAGTCGTTTTGTCTCCAAACTACCCTTTAAACTACACCAGTCGACAAATCTGCTCCTACTACATCACAGTGCCTCCACAGTTTGGTATGCTTAAATTGGAAACGAAGACATTTGCAGCACTGATGCTACACATGTATTTCCTGATTTTCCGCCCTGTTCCTCTTCCTCCTTTCCAGTTGTTTTTGGTCAGTTTGCCATCTTCCAGACTGCGATGAACGACTCAGTGGAGCTGTTCGATGGCGCCAATGAGAACTCGCGATTGCTGAGTTCGCTGGCAGGATCACATTCAGGTGAGAAATGGGAGAGTCATAGTTTTGTTTTTTTGCATGATAAGCCATTCCTGTGAGAACTGTCCAGAACTGTCCTCTTAATTCATTGTCATGTCTGAAAACCTTCACTCGGTTGATCTACTCTGCTATCTGGCCTTCAGGAGCTTGAGTTAAAGCTTGGAAAAAAATGGTTCTGATATTTAGGTTGCTGAAATGATGAATGTCCCACTGTAGAGGTAGGACAATAGCAAGGACCACATCATTTTTCACAATTTAAACCGTTCCCGGGTGTGTTAATAACATGCATGTGACACGCTTTGTCCAAATACCCCAAAGACGATTCTGCCCCCGATTGTTTTAAGGTCTGGCCCTTTCTTATGTGGTTAGCCAGTTGTCATCTCACCACACATTTTTAGTATCGCACCAATGGAGTCTCCAGATTTTCTTAGAATGATGTCCAATGGTTTGGATCTCACTGGTCACGTTTGTGTATTGCTGCTGGCGTACTCAACTCAGGCCGTCTTCTGTTCCGCATCGCTCGGCGGCGAGATTGCATTTGTGCTCGCAGAGTGTGAAGCGAAAGGGAGTGCCCATAAAAATAATGAAAGCATTCTAATGTGTGGAAACAGGAGTTAATTTACAAATGCTCCATGTGTATATGGCACATGGACAGACAAAAGAGTCACGATTCGGACTGTGGACTTTACTTGGGACTCATGAATGTTGTTGAAATCCATAAAAAAAGGTCAAGAACACTTTTAATTTGATTTGCGTGGCAACAGCGGTACTCAACTTTTTTTTTTTTTTTTGGGTGCCACAACCGGCATAGATACAAATAATTACGGATACGACCCTGGACTATGTTGAATGTTAGTTATATTAATTTGTGTGGGAGCTCTGCGCTTGTTTATCTTCAATTAAACTGGTCCGGCTGGGGTGAATCTTTAAAAATAAAATTAAAAACTCCAAAGGCCTGTCTTTTGATCTCACGTACGTGTATCGTAATCGTGTTTTATGGCTTCACTACCTCATTTGCAAACCTGTCACAACATATTACTCATCTGCTTTTCAAAATACATTAAATACCCCAAAGACGATTCTGCCCCCGATTGTTTTAAGGTCTGGCCCTTTCTTATGTGGTTAGCCAGTTGTCATCTCACCACACATTTTTAGTATCGCACCAATGGAGTCTCCAGATTTTCTTAGAATGATGTCCAATGGTTTGGATCTCACTGGTCACGTTTGTGTATTGCTGCTGGCGTACTCAACTCAGGCCGTCTTCTGTTCCGCATCGCTCGGCGGCGAGATTGCATTTGTGCTCGCAGAGTGTGAAGCGAAAGGGAGTGCCCATAAAAATAATGAAAGCATTCTAATGTGTGGAAACAGGAGTTAATTTACAAATGCTCCATGTGTATATGGCACATGGACAGACAAAAGAGTCACGATTCGGACTGTGGACTTTACTTGGGACTCATGAATGTTGTTGAAATCCATAAAAAAAGGTCAAGAACACTTTTAATTTGATTTGCGTGGCAACAGCGGTACTCAACTTTTTTTTTTTTTTTTGGGTGCCACAACCGGCATAGATACAAATAATTACGGATACGACCCTGGACTATGTTGAATGTTAGTTATATTAATTTGTGTGGGAGCTCTGCGCTTGTTTATCTTCAATTAAACTGGTCCGGCTGGGGTGAATCTTTAAAAATAAAATTAAAAACTCCAAAGGCCTGTCTTTTGATCTCACGTACGTGTATCGTAATCGTGTTTTATGGCTTCACTACCTCATTTGCAAACCTGTCACAACATATTACTCATCTGCTTTTCAAAATACATTTCCTTGAAAGTTAGTTTTGTTGGTTCTGACCGATTGTCACTCATGACCTGGGCTTGCGCCAGTGTTCAGACTCGGGTTCCTCCTGCCTGCGGGTTTGTCTCTGATGTTGAGGAGGGTGACTGCCTCTTCCTTGCGCCGCTGCGAGACCGAAATTGTTGAGACTCTCACCCAGTCAGAGAGGGGAAAAAAAATTCTTTGTGAAAGTGGCAGTTCAATACTGAACATTTTATTGTTTTCAGTAAGTCTCTTCTAAATCTTCCTGACTGCTTAACAATGGGAAGTGCAGAATGGCCAGCTCACTCAAAAAAGTAGGTAGTTTTTAAAATTTCACTCTTAATGGTTTGTGCAGTCTGAACTGTTTTATATATATATTTTAAGAAACCATAAACTCCTGATATTTACGAGTTCCTCAGCATATCTTTGGAAGAGGACTATAATGAAATTGTCTGCAAGAAAGCCACCTTTGGGGGGGGGCGTGAGATCACCGCACCCGCACTTGTTATCTGTGTATATTTGGCAGTGATGTGTTTAGTGAGAATCCATTTTGGCTTATCTTTGAGACAGCATCAGCGACGGAGAGGCCCCACTTCGGCCGTGGAAGAAGCAGCAGAACTGTACTGCCATCTACATATCAATCCATCTGCCGCAAACGTCAACGTAACGCACAGTAATACCATCAGTATGGGTCTAAAATCCAACTCTCTCTGCTGTCAATTATTGTATGCTAAATGTTGAAACACAAAGTGCCTTTCACACATTTAACTATGTCAAGGAAGATTCTTTGAAAATATGGCAAGATGAAGACATTCAAGAGTGAACTTCCCTTCTGCTAGAGCTTTCTTACAGACACCTGCAATGAAACAGAAGATGTTTAAATCATGACAAATTGGAAATGAGTGAGAAAAGCTCATTTACAATGTCGATCGGTTAGCTTTTAAGTTCTTTTTGATGAATGGAGGCTTGTGATGCTATTTATTTCCGACTGTGATATATCAATTAGTCGGAAGGAAATGGGCAGTTTACATTCAATGACTGACTTAATTTTGGCTTGAAATGAGCCTTTTGGATAAAGCAGATCTATATATCTATATCCATTCATCCATCCATCCATCATTACCATTGCTGGCTTGTTTTTCGTGAATGTGTGTAAAAAAATCACAGGCACATACATTGAGATGTTAGATGAAGAGCTGCAAATGTTGATAGAGTTTGTGTGAAGTCAGATCCATGTTATGTATTGTACAGATCTAATAATGGGAGCGATAAAGATGTAACAAGATCCAAATGTCACAAACTCGTATTGGGGGAAAATAAAATCACAATATTGTAACATTGTGTTTTTGAACATCACAGCAGTGAGAAAAAAAATAGGATTGGCAAGTGCCCTTATTGGCTCAGTGATGCAAAGTATCATGCTCTTTGTCGTTCACAATGCTGTGTTCCGCTGATAACACGAATAACACTTAATAATGAGGCACTTACTTGCTAATGTGTTTTTGTAATTTTAATATTGCGACATTGTCGTGATTGTTACGCCCTTCAAATGCTCGAGTAATGATGGCAGTTGGAAGAATGTGGGTCAAATGTAACTGTTCCTGCAGTCGTTTTCAAATCAACCAAACATTTTCAGTTGCATACTCCATTCATGGGTTTGTGTTACTTGTGTTTCCCAGGAGAGACGCTACCCTTGGCAACTTCCCATCAAATCATGCTGCGATTCAATGCCAAGAGTGGCCAACCAGCTAAGGGCTTTCACTTTGTCTACCAAGGTGATGTGACAAAAGTGTTTTCTATCAAGGCCTCCTACGCCAATCATGTCATGAGGGTATTTTTGAGATAATTAGTCAGAATAATGGTGATTGTTAAAAAGTAGAATCATTCAAACAGTGACTCCCTCCTCTCTTTGACATTCGCCTTTGTCTTGTGCAAAGTTAGCGTTTGAATGGCTAAATGGATGACAAATGGACCACCAAGTTAAAAGCAAAATGAAGCAACATCAACACTAATCATTCTGAAATGGAGGTAGTGTTCCGCTTCGGTTCGAGAAAAAAGCTAAAGCTGACAAAGTTGATGAATTGAAATCTCTGTAAATGAAACACCAAGGATACTTAATCACTTAAGTAATAATTGGAATCCCTTAAAAGCATGACAGATAACTGTTCACGAGGACTGATGGTGAATGAGGCTCATTGAATTCTGTTTGGTTTTTTTAATACCTTCCTCTCATACTCTTTGAATGTCTTCCGACTGAAGCTGTGCCTCGGACAAGTGACAGTCAGTGTAGCTCGGTGCCAGAGCCTCGCTATGGCAGAAGGATCGGGTCAGAGTTCTCCGCCGGCTCGGTGATCCGTTTCGAGTGCAGTCCAGGATATCTCCTGAAGGGATCCAGCGCGATCCGGTGCCAGGCCGTACCAGGTGCTCTGGCCCAGTGGAATTCAACAACGCCAAGCTGTATTGGTAAGGCACTGAGGTTTCCCCTCGCCGTCCATAACATCGAATCAAAATTTGAATCGATTCTAAAGGTAGTTATGCTGTGTTTTGATGAATACTGTCAGAAGGGATTTGTTTAACAGTACATATGTTTTTGTAGTGTTGCATAGCTCAACTCTGTGATGTCTTGACATGTTTCTCATATTTGGGTTAACCTATTGGAATTAACTTTTATTATCCCGCAAAATATGATTTCTAATATTTTAGTTTTGCATCTAACTAAATAAATTGAGCAAATGATCAGAAACTCCACTCAGAGTGATAGAATAAAATTCTACACCGTTGTATACTAGAACCATTATAATAAGCATAAAGTACTGTAAATTAATACCTCTCTGAGTATTGTAGATGTATTGCACTTTTAATGGATCTCATATTCCTCTGACATTGCACCATTGGAATAAACACTGTTCCCAAAAACTAAATCATGATTTAAACAAATGCTGTCCAACAAATTCTCGGTCTGTTTGAAATCTATTTCTGCAGCGAACAGTTTTAATTACAATATCACTTCAGTTTATTAAATCACATGAAGTCGCTTTTTCTTCTCCGCCCCTGGCTCTGTGTTAGTCATTTGAACACTCTATGGCTGGATGTACAGACATTTTCGAACAGCCTGTCATTTCCCTCAGCTACTTTATTAATAAACGTTACTGAAAAATATGTCATTTCTGTTTTCCCTTCAGTTCCCTGCAGTGGGAATCTGACAGAACGCCGTGGTACCATATTGTCTCCTGGCTTTCCAGAGCCATACCCAAACAGTCTCAACTGTCTGTGGAGAATCCATGTCAGCGAAGGAGCTGGAATACAGGTGAAGATGCCATTCAACCCCTTTACCATTAATTACATCGTATTCGCTAAATGGTATTTATAATTCATAACCATGTGTGGGAGCTGAAAGGCGCCCTCTCAGCAAGCCCAAAAGCCAAAGAAAATTTTATTTTGGACTAAAACGATGATGACCCTACTTTAAAAAAAAAAGCATAGACCAGCATGGTTTTGTTAGCATATTCTAAAGCAAACTTGCTAGCCTCCCAACAGCAGCTGGAGTGTTAAGTTCCGGAACAATCCGCATAGGGGTGGATCTCACACAGACAAGGATAAGATCTAGGTACAAAAAGGGTTTATGAACAAAATGCAAGACCGACAAAGTACAAGTTGAGACACTGGTAAAGAAGAATCAGGAGAATGCAGAACAAACCAAAAGCGCTTGCAAAAGGCAAGGAATGGGAAAATGTAAATTGTGTGTCAACCAAAAGGACAAGAGAATCTAACATGAAAATACCAAACCAGGACTACACAGCAATGAAAAAATACAAGAGAAACATTGAACTACGTGACAAAACTACAGGTAAAAATGGAGACCGTCGAGAACAGGGGTGTCCAACTCATTTTTGCTGCGTGCCACTTTGGAGTTACTGTATGTCTTCCCTCGGAGGGCTGTTACGACAGTGAAACCAAATAAATGTTTCATATCGTATATTTCATGAAATCATAGAATTACTTGCGCAAAACAAATTAACGGATTATTCGTTTATTCAATTTGTTGTTTGATTAGTTATTGTGAGTGTGAACAGGATAACAAATTTCTTGCAAAATCTCAACGTTTTTCACATGACACTTCGACATTTCGGTACGGATTTTAGCAAGGATCATTGATGTTGACATGCATGATTTGCCTTCGCGGGCCACATGTGGTCTAGAAAATTGAAGCACTTGGAAACAGAGTCGTAAGCAAGGCTTAATAATACGACAGCCAGTTGTCTGCAAAGCAGACTGTATATATAGGCACCTAACAGGTAACGGGGTCTGATTTGTGTCAGGTGAGGCTCATGAGGGAACGCCCTCCACTCCTGCAAGACACTGAAAAACAAACAGAACAGGATGCTGACAAAGAGCCAGGACGGTTGTCCTTGTTGTGACAAATGACATATAATATGTACTGCATTTTATCCAAATAAATCACACACTTCACAGGAACATGCAACTGAATGCTATAGTGTCAGGCCCACCACTGAATAGCATGTTGCTAGCGCTGGTCTCTCGAAGAGATGAATTAGCTGAGTGTGAATAGCACCCGGTGTGCGGGTATTCACATGATAGACAAATACTGCTGGGCAAATGTTGAAGTGTTGATGGTAGAGTGCAGACGTTTTTTAAATACCAAGGGAGTACAATGATGTGTTGTTGCTGTCTGTTTAAATCCCACAGCGGGACAACAAGGTTACTTTACTAGCGCTTGCTGCATGAAATTTTAAATAAACAGGAGACTTAATACCCAGATGTCATGTTTGTTGCAATGGGATAATTTCAAGACTGTTATTTTGGAGTTGTTCTCCCAAAGGACACAGATATAAAACCATAAACAGTATGTTTTATTTATTTATTTATTTTTGCAATGTCACACAAAATGTAAGTAGGCGGGTTTTCTGTGGATAAGGTGAGTTCCGAAAAAAAAAAATAAATCCACAAATAGGTGACCGCTGAACGGTGAATATGTGGGAGTTGATTGCATTTGAATTCCATGGGAGAACCTGCCGCTATGCTTGCGTTTCAACTTCCAATTCATACAATGGCTGTGCATCACACTTGGATGCAAAATATGTTTTATTTTCATTATTTGCTGTTTAGATTCAAGTGATGACATTTGCTACCGAGCACAACTGGGATTCTCTGGAGATCTACGATGGGGGAGACATGACGGCTCCTAAATTAGGGTCATTTTCTGGTATGACAATATCCTCTCACACCCCCTCCCTCACACATACACACATATGCACACACCCATACACGAGCAGCTCGAGGTCTATGATAGATGGGATATGACAGCACCTAAACTAAAGCCGTGTGCACACACACGGCGAGTATATGTGATGAATTAGCTATGACAGTTATTAATCTATAAGCACACACATGCACACCCATAACACTGCACACCAGAGACACATAATGGATGACTTGTAATAACAAGAAATCTGATATTATCTTAAATGTCCTTTTGATGCGTTAAGAAGTCCTCCTCTGTGGCAACAGTGAGCGGGGGGTGGGGTGGAGAGGGGGGGTCGCAGGAGAAGAAAGAGCAAAGCAGCTTCACTTGTACTTTGAGTGAAGCCTGGAAGGAGGAAGAGAGGACAGGGAGGCGTAAAGAATGAGATAACCTTTACAATTTCCCAGCGGTGTTTCCACTGTGACCTGCCCCAAGCATATACCTGTCACATACCTATCACACATGAAACATGACGCCCACTGGGCAGCACACACTCGCGCACGTACACAAAGGCACGCAAATGACTCTGCCCTTCTCCACAAGACACACTGGGGAGCTGCCCACTCGAACCACAGTGATCTGATGTTTGCCACCAAACGTGAGGGCTGATGAGGGTTTCCTCATAGAGGGACAATTCCATGTTAGTGGTCTCTGGAGGGTTCGGGTCACCCGCCCTCCTTTCCCAGACGGACTTGGCATGTAAAGACTTCTTAAGGCCAGAATCCCACAGTTCATGCATTTTTTAACACCGTTCTACACTCGACGGCCGCAGCATTAGGCACACCTCGAGAATCTAATTAGAACCGATGCTAGATCGCAATCAAATATTCAGAGGTTTTCATTTAGCATGTTTTGTGGTTCTTACTGAAAGGTGCCTCCGTTAGCTCACTCATCCTTCAGGCTTGCCGTGTTATATTCGATTATTAGAAGCTCTCACAGTCATGCACCGCTCTAGACTGCAACCAGGAAAATGGTCACAAAAACCATTGAAGACATGATTATCAGAATGAAGTGAGGCTGGAGAGTGGAAAACATTACTGTCAGAGTGTTGTGTTTTGTATGTAATATAAATGTATCGCCAGAATTTTAAGCACATCCGCCTCACAGTTCTGCAGGTGGTCTGGCTTCCTCCCACTTTCCAAAAATGTGCAAATTAGGATCCAGATAAGGATAACCTTAGGTGTCAAAGTGAGCGTGAATGTGTCTTTGTCTGCACGCTGTAATCGGCTGCCAACCAGTTTAAGGTTTACCCCAGTATACCAACCACCTTCGTGAAAATAAGCCGTATCGTGCATAGATGGATGAAAAATTACGATAAATGTTATTTATTGGTTGTCATCATTAATCCTGTTTTTACTTATTGTATTTTTTTGCAGGAACTACAGCTCCTGCCCTCCTTAACTCCACATCCAATCAGCTTCTCTTGCACTTTCAGAGTGACATTAGCGTTGTGGCTGCAGGATTTCACCTTGAATACAAAAGTAAGTTCAAGCTTTCAACATCTATGGAGTGACTAAAAAGATGGCTGATAGCCAGCAAAATGACATCTACTGAAAACAAAGCACGGTTGACTGCAGGGACCCTTTCAGAAAGGGTTTGTTCACCCAAAACACCCACAGACCTGTGACACACACGTGTACGTAGAGCCGAACCTTCAACATCAAATAACAGGAGTCAGTGACCTGAAGTAGTACTGCAGAAGAACACAGACTCACACACGAACTATGCCTCAAGGGTCATGAACGCAAAACATACTACAACACAAAGGCAACATGCTTGCTTGACAATGCACGTGGGAAGAATAGACTTTTAAGTGACTTCGCAAAGCACATACACACAAAAGACTCACAAAGTACACACAATTAGACACAGAATAACACCTGTCAGGTCGTGGTTGTGCTTTTCAGGTCACGTGTGGTGCTTTTGGCTTAGAATCATTTCTAGATCAATGAACATGTCTCCTTTTGTGAGAATGTGTGAGTTGCTGGGTTTTTTTCTTTTCTTTGCCTGCCTTCATTTTTTTGTGTTTGTGAGTGTATGCGACTATCTTGCTCTCATTTTTAACTCCATTCTCTGAATTTTTGTTGGCTGTCCCCGTCTTGATTGACCAGACTTGGGAGGACAATTTATGGTGTTGCTATTTCTTTACAGATTACCATTTTGATATCAATGTGTTTAATGTTGCGCAGGTATGCATCTTAAAGGACAAAATTGTCAATAGCTCTGATACGAAGGAGTGTTACGCCCACAAATTAAAGAATCAAATAATACCAAATTGAAAAGTGAAATATTGCAAGAATAATAATTGTGCATTGTATCCTCATACCATGCGTGCGACTGAATGCATGTTTGGAGGGCCATCCTAATAAAGTCTGTGCATACTGTCCTTTAGATCAGCGCTGCCCTCCTTGCGTTACAGCCCGCGCAATCCTATTTGCTGACTGACATAGAAACAAAAAACATGATTCAACATTCAATTAACTCAACATTACAATGACTCTTGTTGGTGTAATCGTGGGAGACCTGAAGCTGTCAAAACCTCCAAACCGCTAGCAGCATGTTTGAAATGGAAAGCCTCCAAGCAGAGGTTAAAAAAAAAAAAAAAAAAAGACCGCTGGTGCCGATATTTTTCTACACTTAATATGATATATGTCGACATTCTGCCGCCGGCGCAATGTGGTCGGGACGCGTTACGGCTGTTGGGCAGTTGGTGAGCGTCAATGAGCGGCATGGGCCACGTGTGTCTCGCTCTGTCAGCAGGAGTCAGCCGTCGGTGGGCAGTTAACGGAATCAAAACGTGCAATATGAGGATTCACCTTCACGGGGTGCTGGACTTACTACACTCTGCAATGCGCGAGAGCAAAAGCGCTTAAGTCCATACGCTCAGCAGGCGCGCGGGGAATTACCACATTTTCACATTTTAGGGTTGCTTCACCCACAGTGCGTACCTGGCATGAGGTTACGTAAATGACAGGTTGTCTTCAATGAGCCTAACATACAGAACATGCTTTGGAAATGGAAGGCGGTTGTGCTAGCCACTCACAAATTGCTATTAGATTTAGCCAGAGAGATTCGCACTATTGTTGCTGATCTGCCTCTAACACGTGTTTTATGTTATATAAGTGGGGGGGGGGATGTGTGACAAGTAATATTCTCGTCATTTTTCACTCACTGAAGGCTCTTTATAGTAAATCGCGTAAGTTTTGACAAAAATGCTGACGCTGTCTTGCTGTTGCCGAGTGCCCATCAAGGTTCGCTTTGTCGTGCTGTCAGCATTTTAAATGGTATCACAGCTTTTATTTCTCCATAGGGTGTGAGAGGCTAAGAGAGAGCGAGAGTGAGCACAAGAAAGAGGGACGGTCAGCCAAATGGACTAGATTCATTGATCAGTTGTCACGACGCTCCGACTAATAATGCACTGAGTGCGAATGTCGCATGCAGCTCCTTTCATTTGTGCTTCATCTTTCGGAAGTTTCCTCCTCCCCATGCATGCGGACGAGCGCGCTCTCAAATGTCAGCATACATACAACAAGGCATTCGTGTGTGTCTGTGTGCGCGCACGGATGCATGTGTATAAGTGTGCTCGCTCTGCGGGATCACATTGTTTTGCCGGTAGGCAGGTAGATGATGAACAAACAAGACCAGACACACACATACATAAACACACACACACACACACACACACACACACACACACACACACACACACACACACACACACACATATTCCCTTCTTTCTACTCTTCCTTTCTTTAGTCCTCTTCCGCCCCAGTGTTGCTATGGTAAAGGATCCTTGTTCTGTCCTTGTATTTTTGAAATTTCGGATTGGGATTGAAACACACAAACAAATGGAAGACACGCACACGCACCCGCAGATTCCGTTCTTCTAATGCAGGGGTCGGCAACGCAAAACGCCAAAAGAGTCATATTGAACCAAAAGCCCCCCAAAAACAAATTTTGGGTATCACGTTACAGGTTATCATTATTGGTGCATGAAATGGTTAAATTATCTCTAGGTATTGGTGTGAATACTGTCACTTAACTGTGCACCAGTGAAGCCATGCTTTTTCCTTAAACCTGATGCAGCGGTCGGTCTGACGACTTGTCCTGAGCCGATGATCCCAGCAAATGGCATAAAAACAGGAGACCGATACATGGTCAATGAAGTAGTGGCCTTCACCTGTGAGCCTGGATACACCTTACAGGTAACACTTACACCACCAAAAATAAAGTAGCAATACTATTTGCCAAAATAATTGATTGCATTTCTTTTTTCTCACTTCAAAGGGCCACTCTCATATTTCCTGCATGCCTGGGACTGTGCGCAGATGGAACTACCCACCTCCTCTTTGCATAGGTACAAACACACACACACACACACACACACACACACACACACACACACACACACACACACACACACACACATGCACTCGCACTCACTAAAAGACACATACAGTAAGTTGAGCAATTTTTTGGTTAGTGTTATGTATGATAAAAAAAATGCCTGTAATAAACATCCACCTACAGTCGATGAACACAACATGCAAGAGAGCGCAGTTACTTTTCGATTGATTCACACTAGCACACATGAGGGCTAGCGGTTCTGTGACAGCAGTTTTGTGGCGCGAGTCAAATCTTGTTTTTGAACATGTTCACAAAAGAATTGATTCCATTGGTGTTTGTGTTACGATTGGACTTAGCTTCTTGCTGAACATCTGTAACAGGTCAATTCCATTTAAAATCGACCTTGTCCCAGGACAAGCTATTTTTAGCAAGGCATTCGGCTCCTCTTGCTGCAATGTATCAACATGGTAATCCTATCAGAAATCCTGCAAGGAAATATGCTTCTTTGCCTATATTCAATAGATGAATTTGGAACCGTAGTATATTTGCTCTTTAAAGTCATTTTGTGCAGCACAACTAAGAAATCACTTTTTTTTTCCCCAGTGATTCACAAATTATAAGAGTTATACTGAAAATGAAAAAAGGAAAGAAAAGAGGAAAAAAATTAAAACATTAAATTACAAAAATGAAATAATAATATCATGAAGAAGTAATCATTTTGTTCTGGTTATTGCTATCATATTACAAAAAATCTTTTGTAATATTAAAACTGTCATTTTAATAAATGAGTACTTCTTGCAGACCCTGAAAGATAACACTCTCAGTCCAACAATTGCCGTCACTTTCACGACACCTGCCATTTTCAAATATGTATTGGTAAACATCATCATATGATATGAAGCACTATGGATGGAAGGTAATACCCAAACCAAACAAAAGAGGCAATTTTAGTTTGTTTCTCGACACTAAGATGTTTTTTTTTTTACACTGACTTGAGACAGTTTGAAAAACAGAAACATCTCCTGGCCGTGAATGGTAACCGGATAGGCTCCTCAAGAAGTCTCCATCTCAACACATACATTTGTGATCAGACTATTCAGATTGATTTGCCATTAGATTACTTGGAAATGAAAAAAACCCCAAAACATTTTGGTCTCTATTTGGAATTAGTTTTCTTCTTTTCAGTGTAGCCTGGCCTGCTGCTGCTTTAAGGCTCCTTTTATTAGCCTATTTTTGGGGGGAGGGGGCGGGGGGTTCAATATTGTCTGTGTTGAAGCACATATGGTGCCTCGTTAACACGACCCTTTCTTTCTCTCATCCTGTCAGCTCGTTGTGGTGGGGTATTGTCTGAGGTCACTGGAGTGATCCTGAGTCCGGGTTTCCCAGGCAACTACCCCGGCAACCTCGACTGCACCTGGCAAATCATCTTGCCGACAGGATATGGTAACTATTATGGGCTGGAGGATAATTCCTTGTGAGGATGAGGCAGTGTCAGTACATCTGTTGGTGTAGTTTATAGCACAAAATTAGCAGGAGTGACACATGGTTTATTAAAAGCGTTATCGCGTGTTTAATTAGAGGTGAGTGTGTGATGTGCTCAGTTTTGAATTTGACATTGATAACATCTGGTTGTAGGCTTGGAATATGTGCAAGAAATGTGCTTGTCTTGGACTAGTAAATTACAGTAGGAAAAATTTAACAGTGATCATTTTTGTTTCCTTGGGCATAGATCATTCATATTTCAATATGATGGTAATATGTTTAATGTGGCAAGATTAAAATGTGTGTTTTCTATTTTATCCCAGGAGCCCATATTCACTTCCAAAACTTTTCCTCTGAAGACAACCATGACTTCCTGGAGGTGCGGTCGGGACCACAGCACAGCTCGTCTCTGATTGGACAGTTCACTGGTTCACAAGTCCCGCCCTCTCTTTTAAGCACCACCCACCAGACCATCATTCACTTCTACAGTGACCATTCAGAGAACAGGATGGGGTTCAAACTCACTTATCAAGGTGAGTTCGTCTTTGATTGTCACGAGTCACGTCCATTTTACACCAAACAGACAATGAGTGGTCATTTTTTAAAAATTGAAAATGACAAACCTTGCAGTCTTGAACCATCTGTTTAGTTTCACTCAACTCAACTCACTTATATTGTTTAGGTTACGCAAGAAAAAAAAAAAAAAACGCTTCATTGCATGGTCCAGAGAGAATATGACTGATTAGCATCCAAATGCAACAGCCGTCTCCAACTAATGGGGAGTGTGATGAAAGGCTTTTAGCTTTCATCGGTGTACAAGTGTTTTTTTTTTTGTTTGTTTTTTATGTATTATTATTTTTAATACAACCTTATTGCTTTGCTCTAATCAGTTTAAAAGGGATGTAATGTTGCAATGCAAAGCCCCCCGTGAGGTGCTGACATCTTGTCTAATTTTCTCTTACCCTCGAGTGGTTCTCATCAAAAACACAAAACATGTCACTGCGGGGTTGCCTGCCAGCATAACCTGGCTTGCTAAAGGACACACAAATTCACCTACATTTACATGCATGAGATAATTGCCCCTGTTTTCACCCTAATTTGCAACGGTCAAGTCTTGTCACTCGGATTCATGTCCTTGCTAACTCCCATGGTCAGTACAGAGAGCGTATTAACTGGACTGAGGCAAATAATATTTTTATACATAGTACTGTATCAGATTTTGGATACGAATGGTAAAAATGCCAAATTCAATTTGGTGATTAATTCTTCATTAGTAACACTCCTTGCATGGTGGAGACTGTCTTGTGTGAGGAGTACGCTCTTATTTATTTCTGTGTGTGTGTGTGTGTGTGTGTGTGTGTGTGTTGTAAATGTAGGCACCCGTGTGCCAGTACACATTTTTCAATTCGTATACTGTGCTGCAAAACACTCTGCCATAATTCAACATAATCCAGCCATTTTTATTTTTTTTTATCACTCACGCCCGCTTTTACGAATGACTTTTATTGTTGCGTGTCCAAATAGACCAGTAATGTTTTTGAAATCTGTCATGCATCCTGTATGTCCCAGATAACGACAGTGTATTCGCTATGTGTCATTGTCCATCAGTGCTAATCCGGTTACTCCGAAAGTGTTTTGGTTCCTGACTGAATTGGTTTTGCCCATCACATTGCAGTTAGCCAATGCGTTAAAATGATTTATGTACATTTTATGGACTAATTCAATGTCTGTCTTTAGCTTACCAACTTCAAAACTGCCAGGATCCTTCTCCTTTTACCAATGGTGACATCATCAACAGTGACTACAGTGCTGGCCGGTCAATAACATTCCTGTGTTATGCTGGCTATGTTTTGATTGGACACCCAGTACTGACATGTCTGCATGGGACCAACCGGAAGTGGAATCACCCATTTCCACGCTGCGAGGGTAAGAACCACTCGATATGGTGCATTCAAATCTTGCATATTACTTTCTTCTGCTTACTTTTGAGTATTGATGATGAAAAATCAATCAATAATTGAATTTGGGGTTTTCTTGTCATAAAATGGAAGAATATCTCTCCTCTATTTACAATTCTGATGTTTTACTGAGCACTCTTATTCTCCCCGGAGGGTTTGTGCTATTGTTGAGGTCCGTGTACCTGTCGATGTAGCTCAACTTCCATAGTGGATGTCATGTTGTTCTTGCTAGCACAACGCTTACGTATTGGAACAAAATTATAAGCATGTCTGCTTTTTGCAGAGCACTCCAAGTCACTGAAAATCAATTTATCACAAAACACCAAATTTTAATTGATTATCATGCCCATTCCTACTTGAGTTTAAAGTTGCTTTTTGTTTGAGGCTGTCTTCCAACTCTCCTTATACCTGTTTCTCTCAACTCTTGGAGCATGTTTTCAAATTGTCCTTTACTTTCAGATAAATAATCTTTTATGACGCTGCCTTTACAGCTCCCTGTGGCTACAATGTCACAGCTGAAAATGGGACCATTTATTCGCCTCAGTACCCCAGTGAATACCCCAACTCACAAGACTGTAGCTGGCTCATCGCCGTCCCCCACGGACATGGAGTTTACATCAACTTTACCCTGTTGCAGACTGAGCCTGTCACTGATTACATTGCTGTATGGTAAGCGTGAACCCGTTCGGATATACAAATCAAAGGGGCTCCGTTTTATCTATGGACAGACATTTCTAGTTATATGTATGCTTATTAGCATGGGTATATTTTTGCCTTGGTGTAGAACTGCACTGCACCATGCTGACCTCTCATATTGTTAAAACATTACAAATACCGGATATGTATTTGACAGCCTTACAGTGTGATGCACTGCAGCTCTGCTACACAGATTTTTTGGGGGGAGGCGGCTCATTACAGGTGCAAGTGGATCATATTTTAGAGCTGTGAGTATATGAGTCTCCTTGTACTGTTTTTGTTTTTTTGGGGTGGATTTGCAGGGATCCTTACTACGTAGCCTCCTGATACATACCCTGGTTTATGCACACACCCTTCGTCTACTGTCGCTATAATGGGATTCAATGTGGGGGCTAGGATTGTAATACAGGGAGTGTGAGAGCAATGAATTTACAATGGGACCACTGACCGATTTCATCTGACTCAGTGGACCAGCCGCAACAGAGCCCAAGAGCCCAGGGAGTCTCGCTAACTCTGGTAGTAATGATCAGATTCAGTGGGGAGTGGGGAATGAAATGGAAGGAGTACTGGAGCTGGGTTCCCAATTCCGGTGAGACGGACGGGATTGTATCTGACAAGTTTGGGTCACCTCTGGACAATATTCTCACTTACTAGTTGCTGTTTAGCCATGTGTTGTTGATGAATTTAATTTACATGAAACTAAAATCAAGTGGAACTGGTCTGACCATTTGACCCTTTGAGGGACAGCGGTTACGACAGTGGACAGCTTTTCATGCTATCAGGTTACAGGGAGGACGAAAGGGTTAATTTGAGGGCATAAGAGTCAAGCTGTAGAGCGAGCCGATCAAATACAGCCGCTTTGAAAGTCATACATTCACAATGCCATTGGTGACCACTTGCTTTCGATTTTGCTGCCTTTCAGAGTGTATTTGGTACATGTTAGGAGAAGCCCGTAACCATGTGAGTCAATTGATGCAGGGGGATTTTGGTGATGCCGGAGCTCATGGAACACTGCATTGACCTGTAGAAAATCCCTTTGCCGACCTTGTAGTGTAGCAAAATAAATAATATAGTTTAGAATGTGATAATAGTGAAAGCAAGCAATTGCAAACATCAATCTACATACTCATTAACTCATTCAGTACCAGCCAATTCTAAACCAAGTCTGAAAAGACATAAAAACGTCTTTGGGAGTGAATGAGTTAAGAATATATTTTGTATTTGGAAGCAAATGGGCGTGCCGAAAGATCTTTTTTCGTTGTTTTTGTGAATCGTCTAATTGTCAAAAGTAAGTAGGAAAAGCTGCTTTACTGCCCTTAATTTAGTCGTCCAAATTAAAAAAAAAACAAACAATGAGCTATTGGATGCCGCCAATACTGTGTCAGTGTCACGTAAACAAAATATCACAATATCATGTAAGTTTCACATGCATGGAGATCACATTAAAGCAAGCCGTTCCAGCATCTAGTGGATGTGCTGCCCCTTCCACTGCCTTTAGAGTGCAATAAACATAAAAAAAAAAAAAAAAAAGACAAATCTAGAGGTTGCATTTAATGATGCATCCAAACCACTTCTCATGGCCTCTAAAGGGACAAATGAAAGTTGTATGTTTGCAACTCTTAATGGTCCACCGCTGTGTTTAGGGCTACCTTTGGGCTGTTTGGTTTATCAAGTCTGCTGGTGGATTACTGAGACCAAGTGAGGTAACATTTAGTTTTTGTGCTGCAAGGGACCTGCTAAATTTGTCAGGTCTAAACCTAAAGTAAAGGTTTGGCTGGACGACTATGGCAGAACTAATTAACACCATTATTTTGATTGACATTGAAATCATGATTTTTAAAATGATTTTACATTAAATTTTGCATTTGGTCAACTACTAAAACTGAACTGTTCAAAACCATCGCCGCAGCCTCACGCCGATTCATCCCTACGCGTTGAACGCTTTTTTTCTTGAATGCTATTCTTTTACTTTTTGTCAAGTGCAAAATGCCCGTGTAAATATCACGTGAAATTCAAGACGCTTGCATTTTTATTGCACACATTGAAGCCTTGATAAACCGTACCCATGTCACTTAAACATATTTATTTTAACTTCAGTAATTAACAAGTGCTCACCAATGGTTTGCTTCAATTTATGTAAAGCACTCTGTAAAACAGAAAATAAATAAATAAGTGCTGCTCCAACTTATTATTGCTTCTCATACAAGCCCCCTTTTTTACAGCATCTATTCTGTCTTCTCCCTTCAGCAGTGCTCTTTTGTTCCGTGTTCTCATTAATCATACTAGCGCTGAATGTCGCGTCTTGTACATTGCTATGTTCTTCATATCGCAGTGATTTGCGCTTGCTGCTTTTCAGCTCAGCATAGCCATTAACTCCTGGGGAACGGTGGCAGCCCACTGCATCCAAATGTCAGGGCCAAACTTTGCCGTGGTGTGTTTTGCCTGCTGCTGAATGACACCACCACACCGATTCTTGCATCGGACGATAATTGGAGATTAATTTGCAAGTTCTTACAGTTGTGTCGAGAAGTTCCCAAAATCTTATCATGGAGAGGAATGTTGTATTCATTTTGGATTTTTATTTTCCATTTGATCAATTCTTATTCCAGGCGAGTGGCTTTAGGATGGCGATTCCTTGAAGCTTTATACTCGCCTACTTGATCCATTCCAACAGCAGTTTTGATTGTGTTTCCAGTCATTGTCCTGTTGGAAGGTTTCAGCCGCCTGGCTGTTGATTGAAGGTGAATTTAAATATTTTGGAGTGCTGGAGGTCCTTGTTCTATACTGATGGAAAAACAATGGTTCCAATCAACTGTTCAAGGCTCCAAGTGACTTCTATAACTTCAGCCTCATGATTGCATACAGTAATAACTTGTCACCACAACTCTCCACACTCTAATTGACAAAATCCACTCCAATCACTGCCATTATTGTTCATCCATGTATTTAGCAAGACAATGGTGCTCACACTGAAAATGTACCACTCTGCATTCGTCTGAGCCGGAAAAGATGGCACGTGTGATGTATTACAACAGGGTCATATTCTGCTGCTCTTTCACATTTGACTCTCTCTTGACAGTCAGTCTTGTAGTCGCAATTCCAAATGTTCACATGTACATTTTGCATATTCCGCAAGGTCATCATGTTACTTTGGAATGATTTTGGTTGGAGCACATTACTCTTTACAACATTTCACCGTGCACTAGATGCCTTGATAAAAGATATGAACAGCCAGCTGCAGCTACATGCAGGAGTTTATTGAGCTCAAGGAACATTTCTGCACTTTTCAAAATCAAGCATGAATTATAGATACAATCTACCAAATAATCAACTAAATCAAATTGTAGAAAATAAAAGGGGAATACTTCTGTGAGTTTCAGGCAGAACAAGTAGAACCACTCAACACTCCGTATTCTATTTGTATCCAAATAGACGGAAATTTCAATTCACTGAATGAGTTCTCAACACCTACAGAGGACCTTGAATTATTGAGCAGGCAAGAGATTCCAAGCACTCTTTTTTTTGGAATTAAAATTTTACAGACCTTGTTTAATCCAAATGCGTGCTCATTAAAAACAAAAAAGGTGCATTTATGAACTTCAGAAAATGTAACCTTTCAACAACAGTCAATATTTAATGAGCTAAGTTAAGCCGTTAATCCGAGGGCTTTGTTCAATGAACTCGTCTTGCAAAAGGGTGTAAATGCAAACAAAGGTACCGCAATATAAATCACCGTCAACCCTAGACCTCGGTGAACATGCACTACCGAACATAATAACGTCTCATTTATTCTCTTTTTACTTCCTCCTTCAGAACAAGATGTGCCTTGTTTCATTGCGCAGCACTAAATATGTTGTTAAAATTAGACAGCAAATGCTACTCAATGGCAGCAAATTGGAGTTTATATCAGAGGAGGCAATGATCCTAAAACAGCATCTGGTTATACATAATTATTTTGTATTTTGTCATCTTGATTTTTAAGGGCTACACTTCTTCAGACTGAGTGATGGTAGAGTGAGTATAAATTTAGATCGTTAAAATAGCTCCCATTTTGTTTTGTTTTTTCCCTGTGACACCGTACGTACGGCATAAGAAAACTTCTGCTTGTGCAGTCGGCTTAAATTTTATTTGTCACATGTCTGTACTCCCACTTGGCTCCTCCATGCAGGGATGGTCCAGATGCATCCAGTCCTCAGCTAGGTGTCTTCAGTGGCAACACGGCATTAGAGTCAGCCTACAGTTCCAGCTCCAAGGTTCTGATCCGCTTTCACTCTGACTTTTCAACCGGAGGATTCTTCATACTCAACTTCCATGGTACACAAAAACATCCTTTTTACCCCCCCCCCCCCAACTCTCTGAGGGGCCCAAAATGTATTTTGGTGTGTTGCGAAAAAGCAGAAGTTTGCAATCTCACCCCCTGCCTCAAAAAATTGTTATGACTTGACAGTAATTCTTGATGAATAGAAAATAAGCCATCTCCGGCCCCATCTTCTGCCTCGAATTTGATATACAAGGAGCCTCACGATAACATGGCACCGTTTCCTTGTAACCCCAGAAAAGCACCTTCTTCGTAATGGCAGTATTACTATAACACAACATTTTTACTTCAACCTTCATAGGGGGTTTTTCATACATAACAATTCAACCCAAGTGCTTCACAATATTAAAATGATAAAGAAAATCACAAATAAATAGGGTCATCAAACTTTTAGAAACGACTCTCATTATCCTGCAATATCCATCCATCCACCCATTTTAATTTGAACTTGAACTAGATTTTGGGTTTATAGATATATGCAATATCCAATTTTCCACGCTTAAGTTTTCTTCCAAAAGGGAACTACAGTAGCCATGGGCCATGTATGCATTGCACAACTCATCAAAATAATATCGAATATGAATAGTTATAATTGATGCAGCTTCTTTGAACTACTGCTTGTACAAAAGCATCACATAAACTTACAACTATGTGGATGCATTATTGAGGTTGACAACTTGATTCTTCTTTCCAGCCTACCGTTTGAAGAAATGCCCTCCTCCTCCTCTAGTGGAGAATGCTGACGTAATTTATGAGGATGAAGATTTCCTAATAGGTAATAATCCAGAATACTACATAAGTATGATTCGTTGAATTTGGAATCAAGCGAAAGATTGATTTTTTTCCATATTATCCAGCCATTCTTTGTTGAAGTGTTGAAAACTTCTTTCACATCTCTTGAAGAGCCACCATCTATACCAAAATGAAGCAGATATTTTCATGGCGATTAAAAATGTGCCGAGGCTTTGAAAAACATCAATTCTGGGGGAAATCATCATTTGTCAAGGCCTCTATTTTCCCTCATCACTACGTTATGTAATGTGCTCACACCCTCTTAGGTTTCAGCCGATTTGACCTTTTAAATCAACCTTCATTTTGAACATATACTGACAGCAAACATCAATTTTCCCTGTCAAAACTATGTGCAAAATGTCGTCTTTTCCAGTAAAACTGTTTACTCTCTGAGAAAAGTCAGTAGATTTTTATTGTACCAAAAAAAAAAAAATTGTCACTTACCTGATGAGCAAAGCAACTATCATTTGAAATGTGTACTTTTTAACACTGTATGGAGGGAAACATCAAGGTGTACACATTAATTGCAAGTGATTCATTTCTATATATTTTCCCCCAGGTGATATTGTGGCTTATCGTTGTCTCCCTGGATACACACTCATTGGGAAGGCGGAGCTCATGTGTACGCTCAACTCCCATTTACTGTTTGAGGCCCCACCGCCAACCTGCCAAGGTAAATCAGCATTCCGCGTGCACCCGTATAATATCAGAGAATGCATGTATGAAAATGTAATATTTCGAGCATAAATGTATGTTTTGTGAGGTGGAGGACTTGAATGGATCTTTTCAAGTTAGACTTTTGAATACATTTGAAAAGAGTAAACATCCCCCCAAAATCATTATCACCGGTAGTATGAGGTCCTCTTTGTGAATGTTTGTTTGTGTCTGTTCGTGGGAGGAAGAACTCCAAACACCCAAATGGAGTCTTTGTTGGAACTACCCAATTAATAGACGACAAAGAGACATTGTCGACTGTTATTCTTGGGTAGTATTATTCTTGCAATAATTTTCCTCGCAATTTACCTTTCATCAATCCCCTTTGTACGCGAAATACTCTGTTTTCCAACATCTAAATAAATAAAGTCAAATAAAACATGAACTCTCTTAGTATATTCCAAGCATGTCTATTAAAATGGTAAAAAGCAATATACACACACACACACACACACACACACACACACACACACACACACACACACACACATATATATATATACACACACACACACACACACACACACACACACACACACACAGACACACACACACACATTTTTTTTTTGGGGGGGGGGGATTATTTACATTTGCCGTGTGCAGTTGGGAGTCAAGCCAACAATTGTCTCCAATGTTTTGTCATTGTAGCGGTCAGGGGTATTGGCAAAAAAAAAAAAAAACGAGACAACAAAATGTAAACTTTTTATTCAGCATACCATCAGTCATATCATTGTTTGTGGAAATTACGTGTCTTAATCAATCAATTACGTGTCTTAATCAATATTCAACTTTTTCTCAGAAAAAGTTGAATTTGCCTTTTCACTCAAAATGCAACATACAACAATGCAACAAACATATTCCCAAAATATGTACATCTGCGAGGAGGAAAACATATCCCACTTTGTTTGTTTATTGTCCACACCACAACTGCAACCTTCTTATCTTACCATCACATTTGCTAAATTAAAAGCTATATTTTAATCATTTTAATCGACAATGAAGCCACATTTAGAATATCAGTGTGTCGAGATGAACACTTTTCATGCAAGACCATCAGCACATCCTCTCTGGAAATGAATTTGGTGTCGTTTGTGGAATTTGTGAGACGAATCAGCTCTGGCATGCGTCACTGGTTCCTCTTGCGGCAGAAAAGCTGCCGAGAGGCTCGGGCCTCTCCTTTGCTCTGCCCATTGTGTTTAAAAGCTAAAACACTGTGCTCTTACAACAACCGCATGCAACTTAAGTGCTCCTTTGGCGCATTTCGAGTTCACCTCCTCTTTATGTGCAAGTGTTTATAGCTCTCGCACATCAAGATGGAGCGGCACATCCTGTGCACTTCTTGCTTGTATTCAAGGCTGATGAATGGAATGAAAAGAATGCATCCACACAGTCTGTTCGATCGTCACACGTCAGTGTTAAGAGTTGGTAATGTGAATGATTCACATACTTTAATTTTTTTTTCTTCAAAAGGGTAAGTCTACAGAGTGGACATGTAAACAGGAAGACAACCTTGAATGAAATCGAAAAAGGCTCCTGAAATGTTTCTTCTTTAGATGGCTAATAACATGTCAGTGGATATTTTCCCTTCCAGCCCAGTGTCCAGCCAATGAGGAGAGATCTTCATCATCAGGTGTCATTTTGAGTCCCATGTTCCCCGGCAACTACCCCAACAGCCAGACCTGCTCCTGGCTGCTTCGCATGCTTCCAGGTGCTCTTGGCGTAGTGGGCATCACCTGCTATGTCACACACACACATACACTTGTATTCAATGACCTCCAGTACATTCTGCCTTTGACATCGATAAGTGTTTCGTATTAATTTAACAGTATGTTCATTATTCTGGTTGGAGTTAGCATTGATGTAGACGTGCACTTCATCACTGGGAAATGTTTCTGCCCCCTCATCGCGTTGCAAAATAAGGGAACCAAAATGTGCAGTGCAGTTCGGCATCTGTAATGATAAGCACGATGAATGAATACTCGTCCTTTTGCTATAGTGGATCTCATGAGAAAACTCAGGTGTAGCTAATGTTGTCTGGTGAAATTCGCCTAGCGTTAAATGACCGTCTTGTCCCTCAGGTTTCATCATCAATATCTACGTTGAGATGTTCCACAGCGAGAAGCAATTTGACGAGCTGGAAATTTTTGATGGTATGCAGAGCACATATACGCGTGTGTCAGTGTGTGTGCATGTGTGTGTGTGTGTGTGTGTGTGTGTTTGTGTATTTTAAAGAGATTTGAGAAAGTTACATGTTTACCTTTTTAATTTCATTTCAGTCCACAAAACCTGTGATCTGCAAAGTACAAAACAACAATATACTGTACATCTCTTCAAACATTTTCAGCATTTTCAGCTGCCTACTGTGTTAAAACCTGTTACTCTGATGATAGTTTTGGCATCTGTCATTACGTCATAGAATTTGATTTAAACATAAAGGCTTGCATCATCTGTTTGAATTACACGATCCCACATAGGTGTTATTGTCATTATTATTATTATTGTCATTATTATTACTATAGGATTATGCGAGTAATGGAACAGCTCCCCGGGTGAAAAGAAATGATTATGCAGTTATCCAGGCAATCTGAAATGCAGGTTTGACTATGTACACAGTGCTCGTTTCACAGTATGTTTTATTCATGCGCTCCTTGCAGGATCCTCAGGACAGAGCCCTTTGCTTGTGGCTCTCAGTGGAAATCATTCATCTCAACTCAACTTCACCTCCAAAACCAATCAGCTTTACCTACGCTGGTCCACTGACCATGCAACCAACAAGAAAGGATTCAAGATAAGATACTCAGGTACATGTACTCCATGCGTTCAGTATATTATACGCGCTGTAAATTGTGCGTGTGTGTGTGTCTGTGTGTGTGCGCTTGTGTGTGTGTGAGAGATGGGTACAAAACAAAACAAAATCTTCGAATTGATAAATGTGACCACAGGCGTTAGTGCAAGTACACAGTTATTGATGTTTAGATTTGAAGTACATGGTGGTCGACAATGTATCCCAGTTGTTCCCTCAGGGGATATCAGGTCATTAAAAAAAAAAAATCAGGTTCCAATGATACAGGTAGCTAAAAAAAGATGATGACAGAGATTACATGAATCTATACATGATCCCCTCGGCACAAGGGTAGCAGATTCCATTTCTCAATTAAGTGCCATCTCCAGTCGTATTATTGGGGTAAGAAAACTCTTTGAAGCCCGTGGCCTCTAGAACTTGAACTCAGAGAGAACAGATGCATTTTCAAATAGATGATGTTAGCTGAAAGACAAAAGGCCATACGAGACATTTAAGAGAGGCTGATATAAGATGCTTCTTTTGATGAAAGATAAATATCCGACATGGAAATAATGATTGCTGAATCACTTTGTTGTTATGTGTGAGTGAATCATTCCACCCACTCTGAAAAAGTTTTCTTTTTGTATCCCAAAAGGTACTGAGGATTTCTTTGTTTTGGCTTTGTCTTTCATTGTCTCTCCAGCTGCGTACTGTAGTATTAATGATCCCCCAGCGAATGGGGGTGTCGTCAACCGAACCAAACTCCGCCCGGGCAGCAGACTCCAGTTCTACTGTAACCATGGTTACCGTCTGGTCGGCTCTATGAATTCCACCTGTAGGCTCCGTCCCAATGGGCTATTCCAATGGGATACACCTCCACCATTCTGTCAAGGTAATACAATAAACATCTAAGTACAGCAGTGCTACGAGTGACCTGCCTTGCAAGTTTTTTCAAGATGCGTCCCGTTTTCCAGATGATTTTTCATTTTTTTTTCTTTTTTCCTGACTCACAAGCAAAAAAGCGCTCCACGGCAGTGAACTCGCCTCACCTTACTTCACAACAAGTAGCAGTCTGGTGGATTGTGAACAATGTGTCAAAAAAAGAGGTTTTAAGCTGTTTAGTGCCACTCCCAGTTAAAGTATACTGTCAAGCTAAATGTAAAATCGAGAAAATTACAGTACATGGTGTGGATTTTAAACGGCACAATGGTTTGCCTTAATATTCTATTTAGCTTAATGCTGACAAACAATTCAAAACATCATAGACAGGCTGATGAATAGCATCGGTGTCAGCGTTACAAGCCCTTTTAACAATGTTTATTTGAACCCAAACGGTGAAGCAACACATGTAGACCAACAATATGATAATACTCAAAGCCAAATAAGCTTTATCATTTACAAAATATGGCGAGTATTCCTAAAGCTTATTCAACACTGTCAAACTTTTTTTGGTGGGTATTTATTTCCAAATGTGGTCCTCATAACAAACTAATCTCCTATTCAAAGCACCGCTATACAATAGTCCGTAAAGGTTAGGATGACTTGCTTGAATATTTCCATAACACTTTTCTTTGTGATTGGCAGCTATCTCCTGTGGGATCCCTCAGTCACCAGGCAATGGCAGCTTCTACGCCTACCATTACAACGTGGGCAGTCAGGTGACCTACAACTGTAAACATGGTTATCACCTTGATCCCAGTCTACCAGCCACGGCAATGTGTTTGGAGGATGGCAGCTGGAGTAATTCCGCCTCACCCCCAAGGTGTCTCTGTAAGTATTATTGTTGCGATTGGAGGGCAAGAGAGAATGTTATGTGGCTGATTTATTTCAAGGCTCCTTCATAAGCGGGCTATAACTCCAGACATGTTCTGTTCATTCTTTAAACTAATAAAGTTTCCTAGTGAGTAAAACTTAAAGAGGGGTAAGTGTGAGAAGTAAAAAGGAGAGGAAGACGAACCTTTAGGTCTGAAGACTGGATTCAATTTATACTACAGATACTACTCCTACGGTAGTCTAACATGCTCTACAGTGGCACCTGCAAGCCCAAATCGAATGTATTTAAGGAGAAAAGTTGAAAAGAAACAAAAACATTTCATAGGGTTGATTGGAAATGTAATTGGTCTTTTCTTGAGGTCAACTGTCACCATCATTATAATGTGATGAATCGAAGGCAATGTTTTACCATTCAACATGGATATTTTTTAAACACTTGGGCCTCACACAAGTCTCAAAGTCAAAGTTAACCATTACACTTTCTACCTTTGATGACAAGTACCACTAGTAGCGATCAGCAGCAGCTATAGCAGTTGACACCACTGCCTGGATTTCACTGACTCTTCAGCTTCTTTATTATACTCAGTTATTCACTTGGCTACCAACAGTCGTCTCCTGGCATGGGAAAGAAATGTTTGGTTATTCTGTACAACACATTTGTCGAGTCTGGGATCTTCTTCTTGCTTTTATTAGCAGTTAGAATTAGCTTTAGCACTACCCACATAAAAGTTCTTGCTCAAAGGCTTCTTGGTAGAGTTCAGGAAGCGGCTCATGTAACCGTTTCCTATTTTTGATATTTTTGGTCTTGAGCCACCTTCCTGTCTTTAAAGCAAAATCCAAGAGGCAAGTTCTCGCAGGCTAGGCTGCAGCCTTAACTGCACTCTTCATTAATTCAGCTCTCTTGACCTTCCATGTATTTTCCAGCCAGTCACTGTTCGAGCATTGAGGGTGTATTGTCAGATCACATGACCTATCATCTGCTGTCTGGTACACTGGGAGAGTTTGGATCCTTGGCCATGTTGGAATGTTCAGAGGGGTACTCCTTCGGCGCCGGACATCGGACTCTTGGTTGCCTTGCCAATGGGACATGGGAAGGGTCGGATGAACCAGCTACATGCAAGAGTAAGTCACATAAGTACAGTAATATGGTTCAATTGACAACATTTTTTTCATTGCCTTTAAATTGCCAGTTTCAAAGCACCGGTACTGACAACAACGATAATTATCGAGCAATTCAAAATTTTCAAAAGTTAGACTCCGAGCTAGATACGGCGTTAGCATCATTGATACTTGTCAAAATAGCTTGATCTTCGGAAGTCATGGCTGCCAAGCAGCTGAGCATTTAGCTGTACATTTGATCAATTTGTCACTATTACCGGTACTTTCTATTTCTTGCTTTTTCTTTCATTGATTGGTATATTCTATTTATTTCAACTTGCAAACCAATGTTAGGAGGAGGACTCCGATTGGCTAGAGTCGCGCACAGTTCCGCCATGTCTGAGTGAATAAATATGCTCACAGCTTGCAAGTCTGTCTCTCTGCGCCACGGTACCAAAGGGGCCAATGCCGGTCCGCGGACTGGTGGTTGGGGACCCCTGGTCTACAGGATGTCATTCCAGAAAGTGATTTAGAATTATAGTTATGTTTCATTGCTCTCTACATTCCAAATGTTTAGTACACAATTTTTAAATGATTAAAGTGCCATGTTCTTTATTCTTCAAGATTTATTTATTTTTATTATTATCAATATGACTTCCTCATTTTTGCTTTCAGTCTTGTCCTGTGGGGATCTTCCTTCTCCACCATTCGGCACCAAACTTGGAACACTGACTACATTTGGCGCAACTGCAATCTTCATGTGTAACCATGGTTATACTTTGGTGGGGTCCCATGTCAGAGAGTGTGGAGCCAACGGGTTGTGGAGTGGTTCTGAAACCAGGTGCCTTGGTAAGTCAAAATAAATCTTGTTTGTATTACTTCGCCTGCGCCCCGGTGGTCCAGTGGTAAGCGTGTTGACCTCACAGTGCAGAGGTCATGGGTTTGATCCCAGCTCTGGCCTTCCTGTGTGGAATTTGCATGTTCTCCCCGTGCCTCCGTGGGTTTTCTCCGGGTACTGCGGTTTCCTCACACATTCCAAAAACATGCATGGCAGGCTGATTGAACACTCTAAATTGTCCCTAGGTGTGAGGGTGAGCACGGATGGTTGTTCGTCTCTGTGTGCCCTTCGATTGGCTGGCAACCGGTTCAGTATGTCCCCCGCCTACTGCCCGAAGACGGCTGGGCAGTCTTTCATAATAAAACTTTATTATTAGTTTGTTGAGGGCTGGGCTATACCCAGCTATCCATCCATACGTCCTTTCCTACTTGTACTAATGAAGGTCGCAAGTGAGCTAGCACCAATCCCAGATGACATTTTGGCGAGAGTCACCAGTCAATGGAAAAGCACAAATAGGCGAACAGCCATTCACATCTCTGGACAATTTCATCTTTGTTAAACCTAAAATGCAAGTTTTGGGAATGTGGGGTAGAAATCGAATAGCAGGAGAAAACACAGGCAAGCATGGGGAGAACAGAGATTCAAACCCGTAACCTCAGGACTGTGAGGCAGACAAGCAAACCATGCCACCCCACCTATTTAGCGCTCAATATTAATTCTTCATTTTGCCAGCACATTTTGGAAAGTGTTTTTCTACTCCCAGTTTACAAAGCAAGAATCGAAAAGGCGTGCTTTTGTGAGTCTGATATGGAAAAAAAAAAAACATTTGAGATGTATGATAACAGAGATCGTGAGTAGGCCCTCTCTCAGGGCGAACATCAGTGGCCTCTGTTCTTCCAGATGAATCGACAAAATATTCCACAGACTTGCTCCAACATATTTTAGAAAGTCCTCCCAGTTGCCGCTGTGCCTGCAACAGTGGGGAAAACCGAGTTTTCATAGTATTTAGGTATAATGGCAAAGTGATCCAAAACTTTTGACCACACAGCAGTTGCTGTGCATGTCTCGATGAGATAATTGAAAATTAAATGAACCAAAAACAAAATCATCTGTTCATATGCCCCACTTAACTCAAATGATCGTCTAACTGATGCACTTTTCTCATATAATGCCCTATTCACTCTGAAAAGCACTGATTCAAGACTATATAAAGTGATTTTTAACGTGTTTCCGTCTGGATGTGGCACATGCAAATGAAGCATGTGTCACCATCACAGTGCTTTCTCTTCAGAGAATGTTATTCCGCAAGGTCAACAAAATAAATGTGATCTTTTGATGGAGTATTCCAGTGTAATGACTTTTTTTTTTCCTTCTAGCCGGCCACTGTGACTCTCCAAATCCTATCATCAACGGTCACATTAGCGGCGACGGCTCAAGTTACCGCGACACAGTGGTGTACCAGTGCATGCTGGGATATCGCCTGATCGGCACATCAGTCAGAATCTGCCAACAAGACCATCGGTGGTCTGGAACAACACCTGTTTGCGTCCGTAAGTACCCGATAATACAAATGCAGATCAACATCTACTGATGCTTTCATTTTGTAGTGAGAGAAGTAGAACATGTGACCAGGAAGGATAAATATGAACTATGAATTCATTTATTTGTCACATTAGGTAGATCTGTGCTTTGTAGTAATTTTTAAATCAATCGATCAATCAAACAACCTTTTCAACAATGTGATAAAGTTTAATTCCACGATGCAGATCTGCCTAATAAAGTGTACGATGGGTTGAATTTGTGACAGTTGGTCTTGCCAAGACATTTTGTATCATCTCTACTCTCTAACCGTCAGCCATAACCTGTGGTCACCCTGGAAACCCAGCCAACGGGCGGACGAACGGCAGCGAGTTCAACCTCAACGATGTGGTCAACTTCACCTGTAATAAAGGTTACATCCTGACTGGAAATTCACGCGCTCAGTGTCGACTCAACGGGCAGTGGAGCAACCCCCTACCTCTCTGCAAAGGTAACAAGTAACACAAAAAACAGGTTGATCCATGCTGATATCAATACCTCGGTTCGTTAATTATCAAACGCGGGTGTGAAGAATTAAATTAATTAAGCCATATTTATTTTATGTTGATACGCAATTGTGTTTTTAACATGAATATATATCTTTGCAAAGGAAGAATTTTGTGCACTAGTACACTTTTCATTTTCCTGACTTCAGTGTGAGTTCCGTTCCCACTCAGTGAAAGTCTAAACGAGAGAGGGAATGGTTGTCTATCTCTATGTGTGCGCTGCACCTGACTGACTGCAGTATATTTCCACAGACGCATTCCACGTAAAAATACCAACTCCCACTGACCTTGTTGCGTTGTAGCAGTTATGATGTATTAAATTGTGCAAACACCCAGGCGCTCTGCTCGGTCACAGGGGCAGATCGATACAGCAGAGTTGCACACATCTGTCTTCCTTTCTAGGAATTTAGCCTGACTTTTTGCTTCTCAGTAGCAGCTGTCAATTAAGTGTTTTTTTTTTTCCTGTTCCCCGTGGGTGCCCACACATGTGAATACACATAAAACACACTCACACAAACACACATACCCGTATTCATATTCCATGCTCCCCCTTTGGACTTGAATCAGAGTCACTGTCACTTCCCCCCCCCCACCCCGCGTGACATGCAGAAAACAAAACTGCGCATTTTGATTGACGTTAAGTCCAAAGACTGTTTAACAAAATGGACCGGCTACCTTGAAGAGTGCTTCAAAGCTGCTTGTCTTTCCAGTGGACATCAAAGGGCACTCTCCTAATAATTAATGACTCATTCCGTAAATATTTAGTGACAGGGAAAATCTACAAAGGAGAACCGAGGGCACGCTGAAATGAAATATAACATGATCGTACATGGATAAAGTCGGTCAATGTAATGGAAGGTTTTTGGGTCAGTCCATTGGTATCATCACGAGCATAAACATTACTACCGTGTGACTCTTCGAGTCAAGTTTTACTTGACGTTTTACAATTACATTATTGTCAATAGTTAGTGCCCTTTTTTTTTTCCTTCTAGCCGGCCACTGTGACTCTCCAAATCCTATCATCAACGGTCACATTAGCGGCGACGGCTCAAGTTACCGCGACACAGTGGTGTACCAGTGCATGCTGGGATATCGCCTGATCGGCACATCAGTCAGAATCTGCCAACAAGACCATCGGTGGTCTGGAACAACACCTGTTTGCGTCCGTAAGTACCCGATAATACAAATGCAGATCAACATCTACTGATGCTTTCATTTTGTAGTGAGAGAAGTAGAACATGTGACCAGGAAGGATAAATATGAACTATGAATTCATTTATTTGTCACATTAGGTAGATCTGTGCTTTGTAGTAATTTTTAAATCAATCGATCAATCAAACAACCTTTTCAACAATGTGATAAAGTTTAATTCCACGATGCAGATCTGCCTAATAAAGTGTACGATGGGTTGAATTTGTGACAGTTGGTCTTGCCAAGACATTTTGTATCATCTCTACTCTCTAACCGTCAGCCATAACCTGTGGTCACCCTGGAAACCCAGCCAACGGGCGGACGAACGGCAGCGAGTTCAACCTCAACGATGTGGTCAACTTCACCTGTAATAAAGGTTACATCCTGACTGGAAATTCACGCGCTCAGTGTCGACTCAACGGGCAGTGGAGCAACCCCCTACCTCTCTGCAAAGGTAACAAGTAACACAAAAAACAGGTTGATCCATGCTGATATCAATACCTCGGTTCGTTAATTATCAAACGCGGGTGTGAAGAATTAAATTAATTAAGCCATATTTATTTTATGTTGATACGCAATTGTGTTTTTAACATGAATATATATCTTTGCAAAGGAAGAATTTTGTGCACTAGTACACTTTTCATTTTCCTGACTTCAGTGTGAGTTCCGTTCCCACTCAGTGAAAGTCTAAACGAGAGAGGGAATGGTTGTCTATCTCTATGTGTGCGCTGCACCTGACTGACTGCAGTATATTTCCACAGACGCATTCCACGTAAAAATACCAACTCCCACTGACCTTGTTGCGTTGTAGCAGTTATGATGTATTAAATTGTGCAAACACCCAGGCGCTCTGCTCGGTCACAGGGGCAGATCGATACAGCAGAGTTGCACACATCTGTCTTCCTTTCTAGGAATTTAGCCTGACTTTTTGCTTCTCAGTAGCAGCTGTCAATTAAGTGTTTTTTTTTTTCCTGTTCCCCGTGGGTGCCCACACATGTGAATACACATAAAACACACTCACACAAACACACATACCCGTATTCATATTCCATGCTCCCCCTTTGGACTTGAATCAGAGTCACTGTCACTTCCCCCCCCCCCACCCCGCGTGACATGCAGAAAACAAAACTGCGCATTTTGATTGACGTTAAGTCCAAAGACTGTTTAACAAAATGGACCGGCTACCTTGAAGAGTGCTTCAAAGCTGCTTGTCTTTCCAGTGGACATCAAAGGGCACTCTCCTAATAATTAATGACTCATTCCGTAAATATTTAGTGACAGGGAAAATCTACAAAGGAGAACCGAGGGCACGCTGAAATGAAATATAACATGATCGTACATGGATAAAGTCGGTCAATGTAATGGAAGGTTTTTGGGTCAGTCCATTGGTATCATCACGAGCATAAACATTACTACCGTGTGACTCTTCGAGTCAAGTTTTACTTGACGTTTTACAATTACATTATTGTCAATAGTTAGTGCCCTGCCACTTCAACACCATCTTCAGTAACCATAAAGGAATTACACACAGTGAAACAGCTTCTTTTGTGAGGTTTGGTCCATCAAATTCTAGTTTCTCACTTGCTCATTTATGCTCCCTTCTCACCAGTGGTCAACTGTTCTGATCCCGGGCACGTGGAAAATGGTGTACGGCAGTCTGGACTACGTTACCCAGAAATCTTTAGCTACGGCACAACCGTGGCCATTCACTGCAAACAAGGCTTCTACCTGCTCGGGTCCGCGCTTCTAACCTGCCTCCATGATGGACGCTGGGACAGGCCAACCCCTCGATGCTTGGGTAGGGATAAACAGTTCATGTTCATGAAAAGAATTTTATAATGTGTTAAAAACACCCAGATTCAGGGCTACATCATCCATATTGTCTGACATAAATAGCGGTTTGAAGTGACGAAAAGGTGGAGCACATGAGTGGGTTCAAAGGAGAGCCTGAAAAGTAATGAATTGTTCATGTGGGTGTGTGATTTAGTGTGAGGACAGGTTTAAATTTTTGAAAAAGGAAAACATATCTGTCCAATCGCACGGTTGAACACACTTTCAAAGTAGCCTTTGAGACTTGGTTACAGAAGGCTTAAAGTAGTCGTTTAAAGTTGTGGGAGTGTATGGCATTATGACAAAGGTAAAATTGATACACTCCCCCGGGTTAGCACACTGTGACGATTGGTGCTTCCTCCCCCAGAGTAGTTTCTAGGCTATGCTGTCCCAAGTTTTAACACACTATGATGCAGAATGGGCACATGCCAAGCACAAAATCCTCTTTTCAATGTAAATGTCTCTTTCAATCTCTTTCAACACTTTTCATCATCTAAAAATGTGGTGCTTCCTTTATGATTACTCTTCTCATTTTAACTTTTATTTTAAATCCAATACATGAAATGCTGGTCTTTTCTCTCATACCGTCTTTTTGATGCCATGACCAGATGTTTTCAATCTACAACGAATGTAAAGACATTTGCCTCAAAGTTTGAATACTTTTGGAGGGGAGTGTACAGCTTGTGGCTGATAAGGCACAGAGATTAAAGTCAACTGTAACAGAGGGGAACATGTCTTACTCCAAAAGCGCCAACACTTTACAATGAGGACATGGCTGCATGGATGTAGAAATGATGGAATGGGACAAAGAGGGCAAGGTAAACGTGGAGCATGGGGCATTAAATTCCAGGAGCAGGTTCTTATCAAAAAATTGGGGGGAGAGAAGCGGGCGACTGAGGGGCAAGGAAAGGACGGAGTAATCCAACTTTGGCTTGGTGTCGCTGGACCAATTGTTTGGCAGAAATGGAAAATCGAGGGCAATTTCATATCTGTGTCATCGAGAGAGCTGTGCTGTCTGACCTCTGTAAAATGTCAATTTTTCAAAAATTAAACAGGAAAATAGAAGATTTTGTTCTGCGATGTCCATCCCATTGACATTATGGAAGCATTTCCAGGAGATAAATGGGTAAATGAAAGTTTATTGTTGTGAAAGTGAAATTCATTTAGATGAAATTATTGGAGCTCACATTGTGTCAGGCATGTTGATGACTGGGCAATACATCTATTTGGTGATGTTGGTCACACTCACCATCGAAACGGTGTTGTTATCAACCCATGCCCCAAATTTTGGCGCACTGCTAGATGTGCGCATGTCATTTCATAAAATGGTTAATTCTCACTCAATATACAGTATACACATGTTCATCAAAGTAAGACTCTAGAGAAGTAGTCATGCTGACATCTTGCATGACATCCTACATGCTCCTTCTTTTGCAAAAAGAAATCCCTGAAAAACCAACTCGAAAGATATCGACATAGCCACTCTGAATCCTTTGGTACTTGCTAGTTCAAGTACCGACACTTGGTGACTAAAGTGGTGCATCTAACCTGAAAATTCCGGTTGCATTTTAATGACCATCCTTGATTCCACTCTGTAATGATTACGACTCATTCATTCCGGATACTTGCGTGTTTCAATATTTATCTTCTTCCTGCATTGTAATCCCCGCAAACATACACATGCATCGTTAATGACGCCCACCTTCCCTCACAATCTTCCTTTTTTGCTCCTTTTCTTCTGACCTGCTGCTGTAGTACCTTAGCAGAAGTAGACGCAATCTATACTTTGACACGTTCCCATGCACCATATTTTCCGCACTATAAGGCGCTTCGGAGTATAAGGCGCACCTTCAATGACTGGGCTGTTTTAAAACTGTTTTCATCTATAGGGCACACCACATTAGAAGAGAAGCTACAATAGTGGCTACGGTTGCGGTATTCATCCACTAGATGGAGCTATGCTTAAGGGAATACAATACAGCTTTATTTATGGAGAGCTTTCACAATCGCTGCAGCTGTAACTAAAGCACTTTACAGAATATTTAAAAGACTATGTCCAAGAAATCTGAATATTGATCCATATATATAAGGTGCATCGGATTATAAAGCGCACTGTCGGCTTTGGAGAAAATTGAATGCTTTTAGGTGCGCATTATAGTGCGGAAAATACGGTACATTAACACGTCCCCCACCTCTTTCAATCGTCTCTCTAGCTATTTCCTGCGGTGACCCTGGTGTTCCCCCAAATGTGATCATCCCCGGAACCCACAGCTGGACTTACGGCTCTGTGCTGCAGTACTCCTGTTTGCAAGGAGGGATGCTGGTGGGCAATGCTACACGCCACTGTCAAGAGGATGGCACTTGGAGTGGGGCACCGCCCTACTGCACTGGTAAAGTTACTCGGCACTTATACAGCTGAACACTCCCCGTTTATAAGATGCACAGGAGTTAGGATATGTAGTTGCTTGCAAATATTGTTCTACATACAAGCTGCAATAAACAGTCAAGACATGTTTTAGTGTGCAAAGCAGGTTGTTTGTAAATGTACAAGCTTAGTGGGTCACAGCATCTCCCAGCAGCCTTTCAATTCAAATCAATGCCAGAAGGGAAATGTGATGCATTTTGGATTTGATGTAAGCGGCTCAGCAAACTTTATTTCTCAAATGGATAAATAAATAAGTGAGTTGAGAAAGTCCAGAGTGACTTTGCCAGCACATAGTAATCACAAATCAAATTATAATCAAAACAATGAAATGATCCGAATAGGATAATAAAGCAGAATGAATTCAATTGGTGTGTGTGTGTGTTGAAACTGTACACCAAGAGAACTCAACCAAAAAGCCAAATAAAGCGGAATAACTCACGTATTGGCGGGGGGATCAGAAGGCTCAGAATAATACTGACAAAATTATGAATTTGGTGTATGCCTAAGCTCTTATTTATTATGTGTTGCATATTTTAAGAATCAGTTTCCAGCATAACAACCAGAAGAAACCAGACACTTTTTTGAAAGCACTTGCGACTTTTTCTTTATCTTTTATCTATCCAATCCGTGACAGATGTGACTAGCAACAGCCGGCCCATGTTCAAGGTCGCCTCTCATTGAGGACTCCAAAGAACATTTCCTCAGACAGACTTGTTGATGTCATTCTAAAGGTCATCAAATAACTTTCTACTTTTTCCAGATACTGCATGTATATTCAAGGAATGTCAAACTCTGTCTGGGTCTTGCATCTTGATGATTTACAACGGACATCAAAACCAATTACTAAGAAAGAGTTGGGGGGTGGGGGGGATATGTATTTAATGATCTTCTGTCAAACACCAGTAACTTTGAGACTACTTTTACATAAGTGAAAATAAAAAGGGTACTTCATCCCGGTTTAGTCTACCTTTTTGAGGATGAAGGTTGAACAAGACGAAGAGTCGTGGTTTGCTACTCATGTTGTCGAGTGCAGCTATTATGCACACCTCATAACACTACAGCTGATCATTTCCGGAGCCAGCGTCAACCGTCTCAACAGCCGGAACCCAATAAGCTCGCTCGGCTGGCTTCGGACCAGAAGGCTCAGCGGGGCAGAATCCATCCTGCAGCTGGAGAACCTCATTCAGATGCGCGGCGCCTCAATCGGAGCTCTTAAAGTCACCAATCCCTACCGGTGGAATTTAAGCTCCTGAAGTTGTGACACGCTCAGCGCTTTCACTGCTAGAACAATTTAGCGGAGCCTTAATGCAAAGTTATGCTAGTTTGCAAGGGTGTCACTCTGTCTGTGAATGCCTCAGTATATACACTATATATCTCGGCAACGTGTAAGATGACATCATATTTCATAAATGCATTTTTCCCCCCCAAACCATTTTATATGTAAGCACTAAAACTAGTCAGCATGGCATTCAGGATGCCAGGAAGTCTTGACCGGCAATAGCTATATGGCTTCATAAATATACACCCCTTCCATGATTGAATTGTGCTATTAAAGTCAAGGTCTTATTGTTAACAATCGTGAAATAAGGAAAAGTAATCTGCGCCTTTATTGGGCTCCCCAGCCTTTTTGAAACTGAGAGCTACGTGAAGGTATACCAGCTTGATACACACTGCTGAAATAACTATGCTCAATTTGCCTTCATGTTAATACTAATAATAAATGATCTTCATTTATGTAAAGACACGGATCAAGTTCATGTTTTATCACAATAATTCAGAAAGGAAGGAAGAAAGGAAGCATACATATCAATTTGCTACATTTTATTTCTATAAATTTCTGCCAGTGTTTATATTTTCAAATCATCTCTTCTGTAGCATTGTGGAAAATCACGTCCCATCACCGGTGAGCTATATTCATGAGGGGATTTAACGGTCACAGTAGTAATAATCAGATAAATATTGTACATTTATATCGATACTGTATGTACAATCACGAAAGTACAAACATTAAAAAAAAAAAAAAACAATGGCATTGAGAAAGAATTAAAAGAAATTCAAATCTACTCTAAAAAAAGATTAGCTTGTTTCATTTTGGTACATGGTAAGTACAGCATACAATGAATGGAAAACGGGATGTCTGATTTGGGCACAACTACAAAAGGTTGTTTTTATTTTTTGAGTCACCGTGGAGTAAACATAATTCAGTACTAGTTTTAAAAAACAGCATTGAATTAAGTGTGAAAGACATCTCGAGGAGTGTTTAATTATTTGATTAACCACGATATTTGGCGTATGTGACATCACATTTGTCACATCATGCCAGTGCCTGTCCATTCACAACTTCACATACATACAATACATCATTTAAAAAAAATGTTTTTGAGGCTTTCTATATGTTGCCTGTGCATTTCTTTCTCCATTCTCCCTCATATGAGCGTGTGCAACTTCCCAGGTTGTTAGTGGAAGGGACATTAACGCCAGCTATCTCTTTCTCACTAAAGGTCTGAGTCCAGGGATGTGCGGTGACACGGGGGTTCCTCCCCACGGTGCCCGTTTAGGAGGGGAAGAGTTTAAAACCAAGAGCTTGCTGCGTTTCAGCTGCGAGGCGGGATACAATCTGATCGGCTCCGCTGAGAGGACGTGCCTCCACAACGGCACCTGGAGTGGAACGCAGCCCGTGTGTCAAGGTGAGCGAGCCCAGCAGCGAGCGTTCACACAGGGGTGAAGCGGTGATGTGAAATCCTCTCACTCCTCAGGGGCGTGGTTGTTTTCGACGAAAGTCACAGTCTTTATTTGCACACAACTCTTCTGCAACCATTTTCTTTGGCAGCTTCTCGTTTTCTTACCATATCCAGTCATGCGTTTAATAAGAGTCTCCAAAGATAGATCCATCAATCCTTTTCCATGCCACTCGTCCTGATGAGGTTTGCAGGTGAGTTAGAGCCATTGCTTGCCGACCTTAGGCAAAAAAATATAATAATAATAATAATAATAATAATAAAAATAAATTGAGTATGGGCAGCCCAGTGGTCCAGTGGGTAGCGCGTCGACCTCAGGTACTGGGTTCAATTCCAGCTCCGGCCTCCCTCTGTGGAGTTTGCATGTTCTCCCCGGGCCTGCATGGGTTTTCTCCGGGTACTCCGGTTTCCTCCCACATTCCAAAAACATGCATGGCAGGCTGATTGAACACTCAAAATTGTCCCTAGGTGTGACTGTGAGCGCGGATGGTTGTTCGTCTCTGTGTGCCCCGCGATTGGCTGGCAACCGGTTCAGGGTGTCCCCCGCCTACTGCCCAAAGACAGCTGGGATAGGCTCCAGCACCCCCCGCAATTTTGGGAGGATAAGCGGATCGGAAAATGAATGAATGAATAAATGGAGTACACGCTGAAGGGTCAGGAGTTAGTCATCGACTTGAGATACAAAATGCACAAACCCAACTTTGTTACTGTGAAAATATGAGCAACCACATCAGATTAAAGTTCACCAAACTAATTCGCCTTGGTTTGTGGGATACTACCGGTGTATTAATTTGCAGCATTTATCTTTTTATTTTCTTTTGTTTTGTCTGAGGTTAAGGGTGCCTCTCCTATGCAAACAAATCTTTGGGCAAATTAACCTTGTCAACCTTTCAAAAATATTGGTCAAAACCAAAATATGAGGGAGTGCAAATTTTGTGTTGAACCTCTTTGCCCTCCTGAATTATGGACTCCATTATTCTGAAATGTATGTAAAAAATAAATCAGCTTAGCCTCCCAAGTTGAGCAACTTAATCACTCCTTCAATAATATGAATGCCATCCAGCTTGTTTGGTGTGTTGGTCATAGTCAGCTTCTAATTCCAGTTGCATATTCCATATATTATTGTAAAATGAGCACAAAATTTAGAGAGAGTCATCAGTCTGCGCTCTGAGTCTTGAAATGTGACAAAGGAACAGAGGTTAAAACTGCAACAGTAAATGGCATTTGAAATTTAAGTTGCAGCTACAGTATATGAAGCATTTTGGCGGGTTAACAGGAGGAAAAGTACTGAGCTGTGTATGCACGTGTGTGGCCTGGATAGAGAGGATTTCAGCTCGTAACTGCACTGGATTTTCCAATCTGTGCTAACAAAGGGATCCCTATACACAGCAACAGCAGTTTCCAAAGATGCCTCGTAAACCCTTCGGAGTTTAGAGGAAATTAGAGTTGGTCCTCATAGCAATGTCGAGAATTCAGAAAAGGGAAGTGGCATTTCTTTCCCCCCTCCTCTTCTCACCTACAGTGTGTCATATGTCTGCATTAGTGATTGGTGAACGATATGGGATGTAAAATTCAAAAGCTAAAGTACTAAGTGAAAAACTACTCAAGTATTAACTGGTGAGTTCTAATTTACATTTTCTTTTAATCAGAGCCTAAACATCGTTATTGTTTGTTTCCTCTGTTGCATCTTCCATGCTTCATCTAAATTAGTACCTTTGAAAATGTTTGATTAAAACTCCAAATTGCATTCGGTGGTAGCGATCAGTAATATCAAATGAATGCGCGTGATGAATCGAATTTTATGGCTCCAAATTTTTTTGATCGTGTGGAATTTGATTAATCTCGACATTCTGTTTCAAATGCATAGTTTGAAATCACCATGCCTCAAATTAATTGAGGCATAATGGATTTTGTTACTCGGCAGCAAGCAGATGATGCCACCCAGCAGGTCGCTGGAGAAGAAATGGAGCAATTATTTTGAACTTGAATTTTGCAAACTCATTCTGGGTGTAGTCTTGATGCACTGTTTTGCAACGTTAGCACATCTGTATTTGTGCAACCTCTCAATGCCCTTGAAATGTTGAGCTCTATTGTTAGTTTAATATGCAAGAAAATGCGCATTACAATGTGGATAATGTTCCAAAACACTTTCTGCCATTGGTTCTAAAGTGATACAGGATATAATACAATACAATACAATACAATACATCCTGATGTATATCGCCCTTTCACAACAGCTGCAGCTGTCGCTAAGCGTATACAAACAAACAAACAAAGAATGCCAAGGGATAATCAATTTGTCATATTTCAAAAAAGACAAGCCTGCTACCTGTCTATCAGTGCATCTTATTCTGCACAATACATCCATACACTTAGTCCAGCTAGTTTCTAAGGTTGTCCAAGTGTCTGTTTGTGTGACACAAATTCTTTGTCTGTCATTAAACTAATGATGGTTAAGAGCTGAATCAGAAAGGCTGGCGTATCTATCACTGAGACATACAAAGATCCATACATGCATTCGTCTTGTCACGTATACAATTGCACTCTTCTCCGTGGGCACACACACAAAGAAAGCAGTACACGCTGAGGTTTCTCATCAATAGGTGTTCACTTGTTAAAGTCGTCAACTCACGTTCTCATTAGTGAATGTTCTGTGGGGGTTTGATCTTCCTTTGCTGTTCTATTCATGTTAGCATGGCTCCATGGATTTTGAAAAATGTTTTCTAATTAAATGCAAAAGGCCTAACTATCCATGGTTCCCTTCTTGTGAAAATGTTTGATGAGGCACTTGTTAGTCGTGCATAAACATAGGGGGAAAGACGCTCATGCTTCAATCACATAGCATGATCTTGGCGAAGATCACAAGCTAATAAGCATGCTAACAAAAAGTGGGCCACGACATGAAATGTAATGGCATTGTCCAGTTTCCAGATCTTTGAAGATACTGTATGTGAATTGTTTTTTTTCCAACTGCTGCATGCCCCCCTAATCATATTCAGTGGAATTCATTCATCAGACGCATGCGTTGTGTCAACATGTCTGCTTTTACAAAGACAGTTAGATCATCCTGAAAATGTAAACCTCAAACAGGCCTAGAATTGATTGAGAAATGAAGTCATTCTTTCAGGTCCAAGGGAAAACAAGTAATGACCCCACAAAAACACCGCAAAATAAAAGCATCGGTCACACTGATGAAGCATCCAAATGTCCATCCATCCAACAACGACCTGGGGTCGCGTCACGGGGGCAGCCTCTTAAGCAGGGAAGCCCAGACTTCCCTCTCGCTATCCATGTCTTCCAACTCTTCCGGAGGGATTCCAGTGTGTTCCCAGGCCAGCCAAGAGTCTTTAAAGCATTTCCTCGGCCATCCCCGGGGCCTCCTGCCTGTGGGACCCGGAACATCTCACCAGTGAGGCATCCAGGAGTTATCCCAAATGCACTAGCCACCTCATTTGGCTCCTCTCAATGTCGTCTCAACTCATGAGTTCCGTGCTTCTCACCCTATCTCTAAAAGAGATCCCGGAAATCCTGCGGAGGAAACTCACTTTGCCTGGTTGTATCTGGGATCTTGTTCTTTCGGTTATGGCCCACAGCTCTTGACCATAGGTGAGGGTAAGGAACATATACAGTATTGAGCGGTAAATCGAGAGCTTTGCCTCTCTGCTCAGCTCCTTCTTCACCAGACAGAGCAATACATAGTCCTCATCACACCATCCGCCTGTCCATCTCCCGCTCCGTCCTGCACTCACTTGTGAGCAAGACCCTGAGCTACCTGAACTCCTCCACTCAGGGCGGGATCTCATCCCTGACCTGGAGTGGGTATTCCGCCCTCTTCTGACTGAGGACAATCATCTCAGATTTAGAGGTGCTGATTTTCATTCCAATTGCTTCACACTTGCCTGTGAACCACTCCCATGAGAGTTGAAGATTGCAGCTTGAAGAAGCCACAAAAAACAGAGATGCAATGCTGAGGCCAACAAACCAGACCACCTTAACGCATCGGCTGCTAAAAGTTTAGTCCATAAAGTTTATGAAGGGAATCGGTGACGAAGGGCAGACTTGGTGGAGTCCAACCCTCACTGGAAACAAATCCGACTTACTTCCGGCAATACGGACTTAACTCTGACATCACTGGAACAGGGAGCGAACTGAGTAGCTGTCTAAAATTCCTCTCGTACATACAATGCAAGAAGTTAATGACATAAAAGTCAGAAAATATACATTTTTCAATTGGTACTTTCTTTGAAAATGTCAATCAAAATTGATCATGGTATGATACAGCTGTTGTAATGAATTACATTGTTATATGATGCAGGTGTACTCATGTTGTAACCATTGAGCGTGACTGGCTCATACATTTTTGCATGGTTTTTTTTTCTGCAAAAACAATAATAGCAGTTTGAAACCACAGTGAATACTGTAATTGTATTTAGCCTACAGCTCGCAGCTAAAATACTACTCTGTCTGCTTTTCAGTGCAGGGAATCTGTCCTGCAACCCTTACTATTCAATTAGCCTCACTATCTCAAGGACATGTTTTTTTTTTTGTTTTTGTTTTTGTTTTTTTTTGTTATTTCCATCTGGCTCCAGCTCTAATCCCATTATTGCAGACAATACCACAATTGACTTTGAGTGCCAGAAAGACAGCGTTGCTCTCATGGACATTATTAATAAGATTAACCATCCTTTTGGAATCTGCCTTCACTTCTCAGCTGTGTCATGTGGCAACCCTGGCACCCCAGCCCAAGGCAGGATCGTCTTCAGTGACGGCATCACCTTCGGCAGTTCAGTGGCTTACGCATGCTGGGAAGGGTTCAAAACTTCGGGCTTGACGACCAGACACTGCACAACAAATGGGACGTGGACAGGACAACCACCAGACTGCACTGGTAGGGGAAAGTCGAGTATAAGAAGGTGCAAAGATGATTACATTACACCAGGGGTTCATTAACGAACCTAACCAAAATTTGATGCCTACCTAGCACCCAATTTACAGAACTATATAGTCTTAACAAAATTCAACATACCAACTAATAATGAAGAATCAACAATACATGATCTTTACTGATGTTATGAATCAAAAAGCCTAATGTTTGGGAAACCCAGGATTAGATTACAAATTGAAGGACAGATCATTGCCGTACATAACACAATGTCCCATCCCACTTCCTGCAGTGATCACTTGTGGAGACCCAGGGCCAATCGCCAATGGCGTGTACTTGGGACGTGATTTCACCTTCAACCACACGGTGGCATACCATTGTAACCCGGGTCACCTGATGGAACCACCTGGACCAGGTCGTAGTGTTTTACACTGCACTAAAGATGGACAGTGGAACCAAACCAAACCCAGCTGTAAAGGTAATTTCCCTTTATACCAAAAGCTGAAGTGCTAGTTGGACTCTCTGAACTCCAAAGGGGGAAAAAAAAAAAATCTATGATTTAAAGAAAAGATATCCTGCGTTGATGCAGATAAAATGCACTGCAATGAAATTACACTCATAATGAGATGATTCAAAGCATGCTCATTAGCAACTGAAAGTGAACTTCTAAACAATTTAATTTCATTCGGGTGCTGCACCATTGACTTGATTTGGTCGACAACAATGTCAACAAAAGTGCCACTGGTTATAATTTGGTTAATTTATGTCTCGTGCTGGCAGTCTGACTCGGATACATAACATACATTTTAGAGCTAAAATTGCCCATTTAACTATTTATCATAATGATTTTAAACATCCATTCAGTTCTTCCATGATGTGCTTGTTACGAGCAAGGAACATAAACACAGCACACAACAGACAGACGCTTTCCCACAAATCCATTTCAGATTCAACATGCAGTGTGAAAAGATTACATTTGCATTTCTGGTGCTGAAACTGTCTGATAACAATCATTTAGGTTGTACTTCAACCAGTTTCTACCCCACCCCTATAAATAAATTATTTAAATTTTTTTATCAGACTAATCTATTTTTTCATACTTATTAAGCTGCAGGGATACAAGTTAACAAAGTGGATTTGGGATCAGTATAAAAACAGCGGAAAGATTAGGCATTGGTGTCAAGATATCAAAGTGTAGTAATAAGCTCTAGGTAAGATGTTTTCTGTTTGGGCTACTAAAATAAAATAACACGAACCAATCATGGCTGGGGCAAGATTAAATTTTATTCCTGGAAATCACAAAATTGTTAAATAATGGTTTATTTCAGGAGCAACTTTTGTTGTTCACAAACACAAAGGAAGGAAACAAAAAAGGAATTGCATTATGAGCCCAACATTTTACAAGAATCCATATTCAGAGTTTGGACCACAGTTCTCAACAACATAAAAAGAAATGTTTCCTGAAACTCCCTCCAACATTTCATCCCACAAACACGAAATATCCAGCTGGCTCTTGTGGTTGCTGTGCCTTTGAACTGAGATGAAAAAGCTAGGAAAGCCGGCAGAGAGGAGATGCACAGAGAGGGGAAGCAGAGAAGCAGGAGATACTGTAGGTGATCGAAAATGAGAGAGAGGCTGGAAATTGAAAAAGGGAAAATTAGAGGGGGGAGCGGAAGAATGGGCAAAAAGAGGCCGCTAGGGGAAGTAAAAAGCTTTTCAAACAATTCCCAGGGTTTTATTTGATCCCGTTTTGGAGATGCCATTTCCTCATACGCGTCCACAGATGGGGTAGGAGCAGCTTTGTTATTCAACAGCCCTTTTTTGCTCCTCATAGTTGTTCTGAAGCAAAGAATCTAACCCCCAACTGTTCCCTTGACAGCACCTTCTAACGATCTAACCCCTTCCACATCTTTGTGCGTGCGCGTCGCTGTATGTGTGCGCGTGCCTCCGTCTTACCGAGACGTTCCCCCTAAGGGATTAAGGAAGAATCTCAAAAAGTTATTTTCAACGTGTGGCCTAACAGGCAAAATCAATCATGTGGGAGTCTGGAGGAAGAGGAGAAAATGAACACAGTAAGTAAGTTGGGGGAATTAAAGGGATGAAGGGGCGTGGCAATAAAGAACATTAGATAACTAAGAGCATTGCCCCATGCCAAGGGCCAGCTCAATTTTTCCATCGAATGTAATGAAAGTGTCTCACAATACAAATCACCTTTTTTAATGAAAATTAGTCAAGGGTAGATTTGGTGTCATTCTGCTGCCTGGCAAACAAGTATAGAGGAAACCTAAAAGAAAAAATGAACATCCTGAAGTTTTCCCGGAAGAAAAACACTACAGGGTCCAACAAAAACTAGTCTAGTTCTGATTTTTCTTTGGCATTTTGTGACTACACAATGGAACCAGTGATGGCAAAGAGTAACTGCGACCATAGAACCAGAAATGGAACCGAGCAATATGGCTCAACCAGCATTAAGTCAACCAAAATAATAAAATCAGTTGGATCGTAGCAACGCAACTGCGTGTAAAGGGCAGATGCCACTATTAAAAACAGAAGAAAAAAATAATGCAAATCATGCCTGTCCTTTTATCAGGTTTGCAAAATGAATTGGGTTGGAAATAACTAGGATGCCCTTTTTTAAGCTATTTTCATGGTCAATACTGCCATTTTGAGCCGGCTGTTTTTTCCTTCGTGATTAATATGCAAATAAGCTTTGTTCCAATGGAGTCGATGTTCTCCTTTAATTTGACATTGAAAACTACTTTCCTATGATTGGTAGTTGCCAATATGCGGTTATCCTACGGCCGCCATGTTTCTTCTCTTCTCATCTTTGTCTCTGTTGAAATTCAGGCTCCACATTGGAAGAACTAGGTCGAAATTTGAACTCACAATCTCTTTTCTGTGATGCAGACACACTCATCATATCGCTCACTGTACTCGCTATATCAATCAAGACTGTGAGTTTTACTTCAAGCATTGCCTTGAACACTTATAATGGCAAGATTTTGACTGTCAGACTAATTCCATGTAAAGTAGAAAAACAAATTCAAATGTAAGCCAATCAGAGGAAACGCTGTAATGATAAACACCAAATGTCCTTCTGGGGTGGTTACGAAGCAATTAAAAATACGCAACAAAGTGATGGAGGATTTAGGAGTGGGAAAAAAAGTGTCATTAGGAAACATGACAGTCACGGGGTGTGTGAAAAAAGCAAAAGAAGTGACGGTGATGTGCCATCAGCGAGGCTGCGATGGCAGCGTTGCAGGGAGGCGGGTCGAAACATGACAGTCACGGGGTGTGTGAAAAAAGCAATAGAAGTGACGGTGATGTGCCATCAGCGAGGCTGGTGAGTGAGGAAGCACATTGTGGATACAACAAAAGAAGCAAATCAATACCTGCCCCCAAACCTGTAAACACACAAGATGATAGGGATTAGCCTCTAAAATATGTTGACTGGCTGAATTATACCAAGAAAAAGATGTTTGAAAGACATATGAGGGGGTGTCGAGGGGTGAGCAAGAGGAGCAATAATTTGAGAGACGGAGAGAATGAGAGCAATGTGAGAAGATTAAAATTCAAGAAAAACTGTATGGGAGAAGGACCGGTTAGAAGAATGGCTGGAGGGGAATTCGCTTAAAATGGGCAGGAGACAAAAGGAAGGAATGAATAATGTGGAGAAAGTCTCATGAAGGATGAAAAAGTCCAAGTCGGAATGGGAACGATCATGCAAGATGAAACCAGCATTATTGGATACATAATTCTAGTTTAGTTTTTATTTTGTTTTGTATTTTAATTCTGAAAGTTTTAATTAGTTTTTAGAATTGATTTCTTAGTTTTTATTAGTCTTAGTTTGGGAGGGAAATGCCTAATTTGCATTTAGTTTTTGAGTTTTATTTGACTTTTTTTTGTGTCTTAGTTTGGGAGGGAAATGCCTAATTTGCATTTCGTTTTTGAGTTTTATTTGACTTTTTTTATAATATGGTGTATTAGGTGCAAGTTGAAAAAAAAAGCTCGCAACATATTTTCCTTATCAAAAACTAAAAAAAATAAATAAAATAATACAGCATTTGAAAACTGTATCAACATAAGTGCAATCAGTTGAAGAAAAAGTGTCAAGCCTTAATGCTGCTTCTAAAGTGAAAATGCAAATGAAAAACAAAACTTAATCCACTATTAATGTGACCTAAAATCTGAACAACTCACTTGAAAAAAAGAAAACTTTCTGAGATGGAAGAAAATAAACCGAGATGTGTTTGTGCATGGGTCCGTGTTTACAAATACCACATTCAAACTCGTGAAATTGGGGTCAGCACACACCCGTTACCATTCAGGGTTCTCTGCTGAAACGCCTCAAAATGTTTCGTTGCGCTAGTAGGCTTTTCGTGACTTGTCTGATTTTGTGCTAACACTTACTCCTGTTTGGAACTGTTCATAATTCCCTCCACATTTTGCCTAATGTTCCAATCCCAGCAAAAGAAATAAAAAGCATGATGCTGTTACCGCTGTGCTTCCCTGCAGGAATGGTCCAACTCAACATTATTATTTCACGACACAAAAATAGCAACTGTGATAAAATAATATTAATAAAAAGTTTACTTTTAGAAATCCGTACCTCAACTGTGGGTGACAAAAGCATCTTCGTGGGTGGGCGCTGAGAGACGTGCAACACAGCCAGCTTTCTTCACCAGTTGGATTGAATTGTTTACAACTGTTTGTGTCAACCAAGATAGCATCGAGCTGCCACCACAACCACCAACTGCCTGGCGATGTATAAATCTTTTGGGACGGAATGCCCATCTCTGTTCATGACTTTCACAGCAAATTTTTTGCATGACAAGCATGTTGTCTCGCTATCTGGGGATCAGGTTGTAGAGACGCGAGCTTGTCCAGGTATTCCCTTGGGACATTGCTGTGCGTAGTCAGTCGCTTCCTAATTGAATCATGTTGCTTAGTGATGGTCGACCATGTGCTCTATTAATTGCTAACATTAGCCACAAATGTCCACTCTGCCATTGTCCACCCTGTCAGTTAGCTCACATATTTTGCTGTTTTCATACACATCGTCTACTTGCAGTTATTTTTGTATTTATTTTTCTGAAACGCGGACGCTTGATCAATATATATTTCTAACAGCAAGGTATCTACTGAATACAACGAACACCAGGCTCAATGGAAAAAAAAATCACAAATTTGGGAGGGTGAAATAAGTAAGTCTGAAAGGCTCATTATCGTGACTTGACTGAAAGAACAAGATCTATTTTCTTTTGTAGTTTATAGCATTTGTACTCCTGCTCGCCACTGGTCTAGTGAAAATGCAAGGTGGCGAGGGAAGCAAAAAAGAAAAAAAAACCCTACAAGTGGAGAGATGGGAGAGCAGGAGAACTCATTAAAGCAAGTGGGGAGGAACATGCCCATATGTTGTGTGTCTTAGTGTAGCTGGTCGGGTAACAACAGTTGGGATATTGCTTGATATCCTTGCGCTGATTCCTGATCTCGCTATTACAACATATATGGGCTATGTGAGCACGAATGGCTCATGTATACATAGAAGGCATGCTTGTATGTGTTTGCGAATCAAGTGCGAAACCATCTGTCTGCTTGTTGGGTGGGAATTGCTGCGATTTTATTAGAAGTCGGGGATCCTGCAGATGGTGATCAGCTATTATCTTTGGGAGTTAGGGACACGCACACTCATGCATGCGCACGCTCTGTCATTTATCACCGTGTTATGACATTTTCTGCACGTGTGTGGATGAACGTGCTAACCAGCAAATTACAACATATCTCCTGATCCTTCCTAAGATAATGTATATGGAATGAATTTTCACCAAAATAAAGTTTGGCTAACATCATGATCCGGTGGAGGAGTTTCTGGAATCGAGCACAAAAATGGAGATGAGGATATTACAGCCATGTCACTCTAAGAGTTCAGAAGAAAATGTGACATTGATTAGTACTTTTGGATACATTCTGGTCATCTGCAACAAGACATTTCTCGCTAGCGGTTTCAAGGCAGAATTTTACTTCGACGTGGCCTTTGCACGAAAAAGATTTACTTTGACTTTCTGCCACCAAATTGTCACTACAATATTACACGAAACTCTTACTGCCCAGATTGGCGGAGACCGGACTGCCAAAATACAGTTGAGAGTCGAGAAAATGGTGAACCGGTATTTGCGGTAGGTGTGCTGTCCCAGAAAATAGACTCCTAAATGTTAAAAGTTTGGTCTTTTGAGGTTTTGGGGTCTTTGCCTGTGATAATTTTGCCGTTAAGTGTGTTACAAATGAGTGACAATTACTTCTTTAATTATACTCTTGTGTAAGAACGATTAAGCTTGTAAAAATGTCATAAAGGAAGACAAGTGGGACACCAAACACTTGCTGTTGGTACAAAAATTGCGGCACTTATTATCTTTTTTATTTTTTTAATACATTCTATAGATCCTCAAATGTCAATGTGATAAAGGCCAATGAATAAATATAGGCCCGTGCCAGTTCACTTTCATTTGGTTGTTTGGAAAACAAATTAGGAGGCGTAGCCCCCGCAGGAATCATGCGGAAAACCTAAACACATCACATCAAGGAATATGAAAGTTTATGAGTCTGCCAAATGAATCCCTGATCTATGTTGAATATAAAGTACATATTACAAAAGGGGGGAGTGGGGAAATGTCATTGGGTGATGCTGAATGTGGTGTGTGTTTCAGTGATCCAGTGCGGACCTCCCCCTCAAGTCCAAAATGGGGAAGTCGAAGGAACGGATCATTCGTGGGGCTCGAGTGTCAGCTACAGTTGTTTCCATGGTTATCAGATGTCCCTGCCGGCTGTATTGACCTGCGAGGGGAATGGAACGTGGACCGGAGAAGTACCCCAATGTCTCCGTAAGTCAACCGGCTTTCACTCCTTTTATTTGTCAAACAACAAGCCATATTGCATTGCCTTTCAAATCTTGACTTCTTTGGTGTGTCCAGCAATGCTGTGTGGTGATCCCGGCTCTCCTGGAGGCGGATTCCGGGAAGGGAGGATCTTTACTTACCGGTCAGTGGTAAACAATATTGATGATGACTATTACCTTGTTTTATGATCATTTCTGTCGGAGGCGATTCATTGGGACAGTGTATAAAGCACAAAGGCCAAGTGGGCTTTTTATATGGCTGTAAGACTTGAAGGTGTTGCAGCTCTCATCAAAATAGGTTCTTGAGTTTTGAAGTGTAATCAGTCGGAGCAGGATGAAACAACCTAACACTTAAAGTGATGCATAGTGGAGGCTCTATGAATGAATTGGTTGTTGCTCATCCCGTTCGTGTTGTGGGATTGGGGTGTTTTCCTCCATAGGTCAGAGGTCAGATTCTACTGCCATACCCCATACTTGTTGGTTGGCTCCGCCTCCAGAGTGTGTCAGGCTGATGGTATTTGGAGTGGCCAACAACCAGCCTGTATAGGTAAAGACCATCATCACACACAAGGAAATATGTGTCTCCCAAATTTGTATATTAACTCATTTAATGCCAAAACGTAAAAATACGTTTTGGGTGTTCTTTATTAAAATAATATTACAAGACAGCTCCTCAATCAGTATCGAGGCGATGGGAATGATTTCAGTATGATAAGTCACCACTAGATGGCAGGAGTGGCTGTGATCAGATCTTGGTCGCACACAGTGTGAATGGGTGTGGGATATGGGACAGCGATCTTACGTCGCGAGGTGACGTGCAGAAGTAGTGTGGTGTTGAGGACATGCATAATTACCGGCTTTTCAAATTTAAAAAGAGTTCCATCATCGTCCTTGATGAACACGCGCACGCTTGCACGCAGGCACATAAACAATAAACACACACACACATTCACATGTACACACATGCAGGCACACACGAAGTTCACCGTTCATGAAAACTTCATGCATAGGTCATGCAGTGTTTATTTTGCAATAAACTGTTACTTTTCAATCAAAGTGACCTTTTTGTGTTACCATGTTATTTAGTAGGAAAGCATTGTTTAGATATTTGAGGTCTCACAAAAGCAAAAAAAACAGAAAGCATCCGAGTTTATGTGGCATTTTAGCATTTATATCCCTGATTCGCGCAAGCTGAACACCTTATCTCACCAGCAGATTGTTTGAATATAACTATTGTATTCCTTTGAAGATTTACTCAATATAAAGCAGACTTTTTTTGTTTCTTTTGAAGGAATTCCCTTTTTTCTTTTAAATATATACACGTTCGCCACCGGTGCAAAAAGAAAGAAAGTTCACCTGTGTAATGTAATGAGGGTCAAGCTACCTCATAGCTATTGGCAATTTTTATGCTATTCCTGGCGTCCTTGAAACAGGAATGTAAAATTGAAGTGTTTATATGTGTGTGTTGGTGTAGACCCTGCTTTTAACAGCTGTCGTGACCCAGGAACACCATCATACGGTATCCCAGTCCAGCCTTTGGGCCTTCAGGTCAGAGACTACATTCTTGCAATCTTTTTAATCTTCCTTACTCATCAATTTAGTTCAACTTTATTGAACATACAGTCGAAGTTCGTTTCATTTCATGTACTGACTGTATACAGAGAAAAACAATGACACGATTTGGGTTTGTGATCAATTTACACCCCCTGCCCCCCGCCCCCCAACTTTTTAGGTTGGAAGTAAGATTTCATTTAAATGCCGTAAGAACTACCACATCCTTGGCTCCACCACAAGAACGTGTTTAGAAAACCTCACCTGGAGTGGAACACAACCCGAATGTGTTGGTGAGTTGCTGGCCTGGTTTTGAAAAATCAGTTTTTAAATATAAAAACCATCCAAAGATTTCTGTCAAAGATGACCCTTTCTCTCTCATCCGTCACTCAGCCCACTCGTGCCGACAGCCCGAGACCCCCAGTCATGTGGACATTCGCTCGATGGACTTGCCAACATTGGGATATACACTTATCTACGCCTGTCAAGACGGTTTCTATCTGGCCGGAGGATCAGAACACCGAACATGTAAAAGTGATGGGAGATGGTCGGGAAAACCACCACTGTGTAAAGGTATTCAAATGGTTGCTTCTTCATCTTGGCAGAGTGGCTAATGTTACAGTTTTAAGACGTGTGCATCACATCAGGTAGATTTATTTCAAGTAATAACTTGGTCATACTTAATTGTAGAAAAGAGTGGGTGGAGCTAGGAATTAAAAAAAATAACTTGCTCTTTTTCTCCTTTAAATAATCTTGAAAAATATGGTAAAAATATGGTGTTCAGGTAGTAAAAAGGTATTTCAGGAAGTCCACAACTGTTTTTATTTTTTTAACCGACAAGAATTAGGTGTGTCCTCAACTCCCCATGCGATACTGATGTTGGATATTGGGCAAAAAAAAAAAAAACAGTATTGGATTATATTACTCTAAAATCTGTTAGAAGTCCATTCCAGATTCCGTTCCCACCCTATACTGAATGTAAAAAAAATATTCTTAATGTACTGAATGGTTATTTTGCACTTCAAAGAGTATAATGTGTATATATTAACTGAATTTTGTTTTGGAAAACGTCTGGCCCGTGGTTGACTGGTTAGCATTTCGGCCTCACAGTGTGGAGGTGCCGGGTTCGATTCCGGCTCCAGCCTTTCTTTGTGGAGTTTGCATGTTCTCCCCGTGCCTGTGTGGGTTTTCTCCGGGTACTCCAGTTTCCTCCCACATTCCAAAAACATGCGTGGCAGGTTAATGGAACACTCTGAATTGTCCCGAGGTGCGAGTGTGGGTGCGGATGGTTGGTTGGCTATGTGTGCCCTGCAATCGGCTGGCAACCAGTTCAAAGCGTACGCCGCCTACTGCCTGAAGACAACTGTGATAGCCTCCAGCATGCCTCGCGACCCTTGTGAGGATAAAGCGGTTCAGAAAATGGATAGATGGATGTATAGTTTTGGAAAACCTCATTTTGACTGTTTTTTCCCAACCAATTTTCCTGAAGCTCAACTACTGCAAAAGAACGTATTATGTGTTTCTACACAAGATGTTGTTTTGTACTTTTGTTCCCTTTCATAAAGAAAACTCCCCTAATGACAAATGCCACTACAAATTGACAAGGCAATCATTCACAAACATAATTTTCGCCGTTATCAATCATTTGACTCTCTTGACACACATGGAATTGCTTTCACCCCAAATCAACTCACCCAAATTATGTTTACATTGCAGTTGGAGTTAAAGTCAATCCCAAAGGCAGAGGAGAGAGCGACATCCAGAAGAACAAAATTCGAGGTATAAACAGGGCCGCACTGTTCAACACAACCCTATAATTGTTATTGTACCCGCACGGTTCCGATTGTTAAAGTTTTGGTTCCAGGTTTTTAGTTGTACAGCATACACAAAAACTGAACAAGAAGTGAGCTTCAGATGCACATCTCATAGTCTGGCAGTGATTTATCCTGCAAGCGATTTATATGCAGGTTCATGCCATGTCAATAAATAAGTTGGAAAAAAAAAAAAGATTGCAAGAGTAAGCAACACGATTTTGTTTTGAAGTCAGGTTTTGTTATCCATATATGCACCTGGAGGGAGACAGAGGAGAAAGAAACGTTTGGTGTACTGAAGGAAGCCGAATGCCGATCTCAGCGGTTTTGAATTCGGAATGTTTCTGATTGATGTTTGGGATTCAGGCAGCGGAGGATTGGTTGCTTCGCATTTTTAATGGCAACCTTTTAGTTGACAAAAAAAAAAAAACAGGAGGTGAACTTTGTGAATAATGAGAGATACACTAAGAATGTATTTTTCTAACAGGATATAATGGATAGATAGACACACAGGCAGACAGATGAATAGACAGAGTCGATCGAGAGGAAACTAACAGAGGTCTTGTTTCTTCCTCCCAGTTCCAGTGGACGTGTTCTCACCCAACTCGGAATGGAGAGGTTTCTATGAATATCTGGGCAAGAGACAGGCCACCACATTCACAGTGACTGGGTTCAATGCCAGCAGCGGAAGGGTTAATGCCACCCTACTGGAGACCAGTGGAGTCTCAATCAGACTATCAGGTAACCAAAAGAAAATTGTCATTCCCATTCTTCCTGCATGCTTTGGCCAAAACTGTACAATTCTCTTCATTTATCATACGAGATAACGTTAACACGTGCACCCAAAGAGAAAGAGACCGTGTTCATAACCTGATCGGGATGAAATGAAAATACTTTTGGTCTTGTGTAACTTCTTGGTAAACCATTGTTTTCGTCGCTGAGATTTCAAAGAAAATGACATCACTTATCTTGTCTTGAATCTACAAATATGTGTTAAATCCACCATGACGAATGAGAGGGGATGTTCAAGGTGTTCATGCTTAAGAGATACCGCATTGAGTCACACTCATTCTCCACACTTGGCTGATGGTAGGTCGATGCTCGATAGGAGCAATCAGAGTAGACAGAGCAGAAACAATATGGCCTTCTCTGGGATCGTGGAGCCTGCGGCCATGCTCATTAATGTGCTGAATATATGATATGATGTGATATGATATGCAAGTTTCCCTGGTGGGAACTGTAAGCATTTCTGACAGATTTGTGCCTCTCCACAAATCCACCTGTTGTTGTAATTTTACAGTATAATCGATGCTTGGAATGATGTGACTTGGACAATAACGTGCATCACTTTTGAAAATGACTCGCTGAGCAGTTGCACCGTTCAAGATCTGGGCAGGGGAGTCTGAAGTTCAGTTCGAGTTTTATAGGCCTTATTCACAAAAATTGTAAGATGTGAGTTGTCTGTCACTAAAGAACAATTTGGATTACATTCAAATTAAATTTATGAACTATTTCAAATATCATAATTACAGAATGTCAGAATTTTGTTACATTTAGATCGCAGCAAAACTCGGATAAGATCCAGATTTGACTTGTTCGGACATCACAACCGCAATAAGTTTTGTTCATATTGGATAAGAGATGACCATGCACTAAAAGTAAGAGCAGACTAAAAGCAGCTTCTTTGTACAACGACACTGCTGCAATCAAAAGTCTGGATTCGATCAGGATTAAATTTAAGTTACTGTTTTTCATCGTGCACGGAATAACTAGACAACATTATAAACCTCTGAACATGTCATTTGTCATTTTCGACACCACTTACCCTGTTAAATGGATTTTTGGTGGTTGGTTGTTTTTTTTTTAAATGTAATATGAACACAAGATACAGATTCTCGTTTGAAAAGATATGGATTTTTTAAAAATGAGTTTTTTATAACTGAACTGTCACAAACATTCACCTGTTCAAACTGAAATAATACCTGCCGTCATAAAATGTCAGGGTTATTTAAGGCGTCCAAGTCAAAAGTGGTATTACGCTTCGCTTTGTGCCCAATTTGATGTAAAACGACATAACATAAAATGACATTCTTCAATTTATAGTTTGAAGTTGATCCCCTGTTCACAATAGCAGACACAAGACTAAAGTTTTTGGTTTTCAGACATCTCTATTTAAAAAAAAAAAAAAGTGTGTTGGCACACAAAAGTTGAGCTGTTTGTCTGGACACTGAACATCTCTCGTTCCCAGACATTTTTTGTCAGGTGCTTGGCTGGGATATGAGCGTCGCAAATGTCAAACTGTCTCCTTTGCTCTCTTTGTCAATCAGCTTGTGTGTGTTTCCCACCACCTTGTCTTTCTGGTTGACAACCATCCTGGAAGTCATTGAACCTGACGTTCACATCACAACTACCCCGCTCTAAATGCAAATATGCTCGCACACACCATGGAACAATTCCTGGCCAATATTTCCAGCGATGATTGATGCCAATAAAAGGCGTTTAAAAAAAAAAATCAGCTCAAATTTCACCTGACTACAGACCGGAACAATCCAATCAAATTGTGTGTGTGTGTTTTTTTTTTTTTTTTTTTTTTTTAAACAAAGAGTCGTAACATCAGTTGCATCTTTCACAGCACCTCTTTTATCTGTCTTCTAAAGGGACTTATAAGTCTGAGGAGAACCAACTTCTACTGAAGGTCTATCAAGTCAAAGGGCCCACAGAGCATTACTACAGCAAGTTTAAGAATGACAACTGGGCCGTGGATGGATACGTAAGACAAACCTCTTTTGTTGAAAACAAAGTCTAAACTCTCTGGAGCAGCTACTGATTTATCAAGGCCATTGACTGACGGTCAATCCTGGGGGAGTCCACCATTAAAGCAAAATCAGCCGGAGTCGGCTCTCTCCACGCATATTATCGTGTGACAATAGCTATGTCTCCTTCATTGAGTCTTCGCGGAGTGCGTTAATATTCCAGCCGTTTTCTCTGTCTGTCATATTATGCAAAGTAGTTACAACGGCATACAATGAAGTCTAATTATCTTTTCTAAGGGAGATTTCTACGGTTTACGAAAAAGCTTTTGTTATCATCTTTGCGAATGCGAGAACAAGTGAATCCACAAAATGAACTCGTGAAAATGTGAGCTGTAAATTCGTTTTTGCTTTACCTCCATGCAGGTGAAAGAAGTTGTTCAAATGTTTTAGCTCATCCCTACTTACTAGCTAATGTTTGACCATGAATAAGTAAGTAACTAAGTAATGGACAGGTAAAATACGTTTCCTCACATGAGACTTTAAGAGGTTAACTCTTTTATTTTTTTCCCTCAGACAACTAAAATTGAAACATTACTACTCACGCCTTGACTGTCCAATAAAACTTTATTAAGGCTGCTGGATCATGATGTTTTATTCTGGTTCATTCAGTCCAATAAAAGTGTGCTATAGTGATTTTATTGAGTAATGCGCTGAAGGTTAAAAAAAAAAAAAAAAAGCCTCATCGCAAGTTGCATGCACCACAGTGCACCTTAAACATATATTAGCGGGATGGAAACAAATATTGTTCATGCTGTATTATGATTTCATGTTGTAACTCTCACCAGGCAATGTGAATTTATTGCTGCGCATTGCACTCTAATGCGTTTTATGACACAATATGATGTAATGAAGACTACATTATGAATCATTCACCCCTCCCAAAATTTATAATGTGTCTGTTACTGCCACAGTCGCTTTCCTGATGAAAGGGTGCTCCGATGTACTGTATATATTTTTTGACTTCTGATCACAGCGTTATGCCATAACACACTCCTTGATGTACTTACTTCAGGTGACTGCGGAATCCGACCAGAAAACATTTGTCTACCAAGGGCACATTCACAGTAAAGACTTTGGTAAATTCCATCTGACAAGGCAAGGTGCGATAACATGCTGCTTTATATATATTTTCATTATGAATTAACTTTGAAGTTTTCAAACATGCATCGTATGCAATACCGTGTTGTATCATGAAAAAATAAAAAGTGTTAGCTGGAGATTTATGCAGTCTGTGTCTCTAATGTTAGGCCCTGTAACCATGGCGACAGACCCATCCAATCCTTATACGAACAGCAGCTCTGTGGCAGCGGCCATCTTGGTTCCTTTCTTTGCCCTCATCCTGTCGGGATTCGCCTTCTACCTCTACAAGCACAGGTAGGCAACATTATGCAGTGTAAACGTCGGGAAGTAGGCGACCAGTTGAGAAAACACTCAATTTTGAAATTGGACTCGACGGTCGTTTAAATCAAATAATGAAATGGCGAGTAGAGTGCAAAGAAAATAAAAGTAAACAACAACCACTTTTAGTTAGTAGCAGTTGCATCACCTTTCATGTAAGAAGCGACTAAAATACAATCCCGGCAATTTGAAATGCACAACAGTGGTTTCTTTGACTCCATTATCACTTCCCCTCAGTGCACGACTATTCCCTAATTTGTTTTGTTGTTCTAATTCAATGAGTAATTTCGTACATTTCCCTGAAATTAGCTCATTCTCTACCATGTGACCAACACGTCTGTTCAGCGGTCTCTTCAGACTGCCAGTTAATTACTGTGTGTGTATACATCTTTGTCTGAGGCCGTGATGTTGAATATTGTATGGACACTCCTATTATGCACTGAAAGTAAATCACTCACCGATATGAAAATCTATCTATGATGGCTGCCTCACATGGGAATTAACCATGATTATCTGTTTTTATTATAACCGATCGGCAATGTTTCCAACTGTCACTGAATGTACTGTCACGTTACAGACATACATTATATTTTCTTATGTAATGAGGAGCCAATCAGACGTGACTTTTCACTCAATTGAGACTCAGGTTGTTAATGGTTGTCTTTGCGTTAATTGTGTTTCGTTATTTCATTTATTTATTTATTTTTCTCTTTTTTTTTTTCTTTTTTTTTGTATTTTCGATCTGGCGTGGCGTTACGGATTGCCTTGTTTGTTGTAATACTTGTGTGAGATCCCCCTCGCAAACAAGATGCTGCATCTCAAGGGTTTTCTCTCACATAAATAAAAGAATTTTGAACCGTTTTTAGCTAACGCAGTCGGGGGCAGCATCTTTGTCTTTCATTTTCATTGCAGCAGGAAATGCAGTCACTTGATTCTTTACCGTGAAAAAGTAAATGATAAAGTCAAAAGTATTCCACTTCAAAGTGAAATACAACTGAACTGGACATAATGATTTGTAATGTTTAAATGTAAACAAGCGACAGTTTTGCAGTTGTTAGTTTGTCCATTTGGGAGTAACCTCACATTCACCAAAATGAAAAATGGAAGGAAGGGTTCAAATCTGTCCGAATCAGTCCTCTTTCTCTCCCATTAATAAAAAAAAAAAAAAAAAAAAAACTGAGCCACGATAAACATTATGCGCAGTTTGAACAGCCTTTCCCAGACCACTAGAGGGAGCCCACATACTACTAGTTGTACTTAGGTTACACTTTTGACAATGACTGGCGTAAACTGCTTAGCCTGTTTAGCCAAGCTGTTTTCATGCTTGCGTTGTGCTAGATGTACTGTATATTTTCAAAGCCAATGGTTGTATGCAGGACATTGTCTGCTGACACAGATGACAATGAAAGACCAAAAGACACCTGGGGGCCTGGCGGCAGGTAAGATTGACGCCTATCATTGATCTGCTTTCCAATGGCAACCAGACCTCCTTCCGCCGCCACATCTGCCGCCAACCTCATCATCGCTTGTGTGCAGTTCGTAAATTTATTTCATGCTTTTGAGTATGGCTGCGCAATGCAGGGAAAATGAGTGATAAGTGATGCTATACATTTAAAAAATAAAATAACAAATTATTATGAAATCCATCCACGCTAAATTGGGATAACATTGATTGCCATGAAAAAAAAATAAATACTTTGAAGCACCCAAAGCCGTGCAGCCCTACTTTGTCTAAACAGCAATCATTTGAAGCTAAGAAAAGCAAATTATATTCTGTCTTTGATTTCATTGTCATTTCTCTGTCAGTATGATTTCATCAGGAACAAAAATAGGTATACCGGTATAGAATTCCAACAATTGATGATTTTTTTTTAATCTTGTTTTGCATTTTCTTTTCCCCCTTATGTTCCACATGCAAGCAGAAAACTAAACTTTTTCTGTTTAGTTAGTTATTTTTACTCATCATATGTGAGAACAGTATTGGGATTTGAAAAATCCCTTCGCTGTCGGGATCATCAGTAATTTAAGTTAGAATTGAACTGGTACTCAGCAAGAGTTAATTTATGACGGTTTTAAAGTAATGACGGATTTCAGGAATTCTATCGCATTCGCTTCGTGTATTATTGTGTCCCAATGGTTGGTTTACCGTGGTTCACAAAATCATTTTCTTCACAGAACTTGGATTCTGATTCTTACAAAAGCTTGAAATGTATCTCGTTTAATGTTTGCGGTTTTCGTCAGATGGGGGATTTGAGTTTTGCACTAATTATACCTTGGTGTCCACTTGTGTATTGTAAATATGAGGAAAATGGGGTAGATTGTGGTTGACAATGATCGTGCCTTAAGATTTTTTTCCCAACTGCGTTTTACTGTGCCTTCATTTATTTGGCATTTTCAATTCAAATCCTGCTTTTTGATCTTTGGCTCATCATCGCATCAGCTTGAAGCTCGGCAAGTTTGTGAGATTACCTGCAACTCACCTCACATGGCGGCGATTGCCTTGTGAATCATCTGTCAGACGTGTCAGTTTGCCAGTTCATGCCCTGTTTGCATGCTAACACAATCTCCCACCACGCCAAGCCAACTGGAACAATATTGTTGCATTATGGTATTGTGTTTTATCTTTGCATTTTCCAACAAAGTGTTTTTAATGAAAGTCTAAGAGTGAGACAGTGTCCCCTGCAGTTTGTCCTGGTTTGGCCCGTTTGCCTGTGCAGACCCCATAATACTGTCAAAGCAATTACATGTGCTGTTTTTCATCCCAGCGATAAAATTAAAGTATTGCACACAGAGCCACAAACAGAAGCTAATGCAGCAAGTTGAACTACTGCCATGCAGGGGAGTCTTTGTTGTGTGGTTTTGTATAGCAATAGGTTTAGCCCATAAGGTAGGCATTGTGGCTCCCTGGGGTTGGATTTTACCAGAGCACGCACACACAGGCGTGCACACACACGCGCACACACTTAATGAGATCAGAGCCAAAGAGTCTTTCAGCTACAGAGTCCTCATGCAATCCAGGCAAAATTGTTGGCAGCCTACTATTAAAGAAAAGAAAGAAAAAAAAAAAACAATGGTCACTGAAATAATTTGAAACTGGTGAAACAAAAATTGATCAAAATACTTTTTGAAGCACAAAGCTTGTGAGAGAGCTTTCTTGCGGGACGTGGAGCAAGTCACATCAGCTCTTAGCTCAAAGAACAGAACACTGTACGTTGTATGAAACATGGAGGAGGCGATGTTCTTGGGTTGTTTTGCTTCATCCGGAACAAGGGGATCTTCAATCTGTGCAGCATACGATATCTCAATGCCCTCAAGGCATTCTGGAGATATTCTACCCAGTGTGACAAAGTTTCATCTCATCAGCACGTCACGAGTTTTGTTTTATTTAAATTGTTGGATTGCCTCAGAAGGTGGGCTACAAAGTAGTTAAGGGTACTATCACCTTTGTCTGGACCACTTTGATTCGTGTCTTTTCAAGTAATTCTGTTGCACCCCAATTCAAAACAATATCAGATTTAGTTTTTTTTCAGTGGCCAGTGACAGCTAAACGTATGCAACCTTTTTTTCCGACATGTGTCTCTCCACAATGCTGTCGTTACTGAGGATGTGATGATCCTAAAATGTACCTTGTAGTTCCTTTTTGTCATTTGTCAATCACATTACAGTTCTTGTTCTGGCAGATGGACTCATGAGATATCGGTTTGAAATCGAAACGTTTGGGTAACGTTTGAGGATGATTGCAAGCTGCTGTCCATGCATGCAATCACAGCAATACGTGAAGAGCAGATGGGCACTTGGCAGTTCAAAGCACTGAAGCGAGACGTTCCTCTGAAATTTGGAGACTTTACTTGACACGTACCATCAATCAGATGCTTCGGTATGATACGTACTGTACATTTAATAACATCTGATAAATCTTCAGTATCCCAAGTTTCTCTGGCCATTTTATATTTAAATATGCTGAACTTCACTTTCCCCGCATGATCACATTATGCTCGTGTTTCTTGATCCCTAAACGTATGGATCTAATTTGTAAAATGTTTGACATTTTCTAATTGGGTCGACCAAAATCCTTCCCTTTCGATCAGCTTACTCAATTCACATCAAAATGTCACAGCATCAAGCTAATGTTGATAGGATGTCTAAGTTTGAACACAACTCAATTAGTAATGTTCAAAGAATTCCCATCAGAAATATATCAACTGTAGAGGTCAATGTTATAAGTGTTTACGAGGGATGAGCGAGTACAGCACGCTATCGGTATCTGTGCTCGGAGTGGGTGATGGATACACCGAAAGTGGGCGTGGTTTAACCTGGAACGGGTGGGGCTTAAATCTGAAATTGACATGAATTGATAAAAAGTTGCCGTACTTCTTTATTTGAAAACTATTGATGGAACAGCCTCAAAATTAAGATTCAAAATGCTTTTGATCAAAGAAATAAAAGAACCACTAACACAACATGTTTTGAAAGGTGTTTATTGAATTGTGTTTTCAAGATCTGGGTAAACTTATGCAATTTATGCAAATATTCAGTTACGGCAAACAGGGAAATAATATATCTGCCTTGTTCAATGTATTTTTCTCAAAAGGACTGCAGTCAGTCCTACAAGTTTCCAACTGACTTCAAAAACATGCCGGTAGCTGACACGATCTGTTTGCACTGCGCATGGTACAAAACAAGTTTCCCAAACATCTTTAAATATCATACAAAGCGAAAAATAAGTGAACTGGCGAAAACTGAGTAACTGCCTCGTGAAACGTGAGCTGCAGTCAAGCCAAGCAGGAACCGAGAGATCACGGCTGCAGCAAGTCTGTCTAGTGGGGGGCGGTCACCGTGTGTGACTGGCCAATCACAGAGTAGATTCAAGTCTGAATACATAATTAGTTACCCAATAAGAACTTTCTTTCAGCCCCAGTATGGATAATGATGAGCTGTAGTCGTTTCATGCCTGTGAGCGGCAAAAATGCATTTTCTGTTCCGGATACTCATTTAAAATGAGTACCCGGCTCAGCCTTAGTATTTACCATTCTTAGCTGTCATGTATGTACACAACATAAGTCAAATGTCAAGAAAATCCTCAATAACGATTCCTGCTGAGTATAACACAACCGCAAAAGATTTTCGCTTTCTTACTTGTCACATAAGTGTCCGGATTTCGTAACGGAATTTGTATGACTTTATACATGTATGTATTTTTCCTCAAAACTGTGCTCAATTTCCAAACTGTCACTTCTTGGACATTTGGAGTTATAATTCCACAGCATTTTTGTCTGCACATGTCCTTTTCCAAATGATATCAGCAATAACCGCACTTTCTCTTCTGATTTCAGAACCCGGCCGAAGGTCCAGTTCAATGGCTATGTCGGCCATGAAAGCACCAATGGTCAGGCATCATTCGAAAACCCGATGTACGACACCAACATGAAGCCCACTGAGGCTAAAGCCGTTCGATTCGACACCACGCTCAATACAGTATGCACAGTGGTGTAGTCCAGCACGTCAGCCGCTACTCTAATTAGTGGCACAGTCCAACGGGGCTGTCCGCGATGTGGTTGAACTATCAGGACAAACAAGCAAACTCATGATTGGCACTCATCACGTGGGGCGGTCTGTGCCGCGGCATGCTGTTCAGCATACTCGGCACAGTGATGTGCCTCTGCTCCTACGTGACAGGAGCATTCGCCGCCTCCTTCTTTGGTAAAATTAGACAGTGATGTCATTAAAAAGGTTAGCTAATGGTCCAGGGATACGTGTTCAGACATAAAGAAAAAAAAAAAAGAGGGCTAGGGTTTTTAACTTCCATCTTTGAACATTATATGGCCTTCTGGTACCTTTCCTCCCACACTGATAGATGGTTGGCCCAATCTAATTCTACAGCCGCGTGCCAAATATATACACATGTATGCACAGTGCTAAAAGGCTTACTTGGCTCCACTGCTGCAGGCCAGACGTGTTTGACTGATGTGAGGTTGGATCCGCAGGGGAAGCAATCCTCCCCTCTTCCACCTTTCTAGGCTTAAAGTCCTAATTAGATGGTTCATTCATGTCAGCACAAATAGTGCAGGACAAACTTCCCCAGTGGGCATTCGGATGGGTTTGACAGGACTAAACCCGGGCTTCAAGGTAGTGTAGACAGCTTTTTTTTTCCGTCAGAGCTGTGACATTGCCCTCTAAATTCAGTTAAGGTAATGACTGAAGTTCCACCAGGCAATGTATTTATGCTAAAAGTACAGAATGTAAACAAACCGGTACCCGGATTAGTGTCTTCTACCTAGTAAGTGCAGGATCCATTAACGACATTGCCTTTCACTGAAGGACCTGCCAACAATCAGGCGGAAACTTCTGAAATTTGTAAATTATTCCACGCCCCAACTGATGATGTGCAGTAAATTCCCACTCAGTGCCACATACAAAACTGGTAAACAGGCAACCCATCCAGGATGGAGTCCGCCGTTTGTCCTTGAATGGGTTGAGTACCTGAACCTTTGACCTCATCCTAAAAGTGTTTTCAACCCCCTATAAATACTTACAAATGTCCAACACTGCCACAGTGGCAGCCAGACTTCGATGAAGCAGAAATTCAAATAATTGAGATGCTATACACAACTGTGAGGTTTCCAGAGAGCTGTCAAAAACAATCAAATATTCCGAGTGTCATACTTGGACCGGCCAGGTTTGCGTGCTTGCTGACTGAACAAGGGGAGACCTGGAGGCAATGAACTGTCAGGTTTGTCGACCCAGGAAACGTCTTCAAGTCTCAAGCTGGACAAGAATCTCAGCCAGGTGATATTTTGCACCAGTCGGTCACAAAATCAAAAGCAGATGAACACACGAAGAAGACTTGAGTGTAATTAGACAAATGGACGGAGGAAGTACTCTGTTGGGAAGGAGAGTCAAGGACAGGTCGCTACGGAAGCAGAGGCAAATTGTCTCTTCTGGCATTTTTTCTTCAGTGAAGATATTCATGAACAGACTCTAATGTTCAAAACCCAGTGGCCCAATGGGACTTCCCAATCTGCTGCTGGGGACCGCCCCAACTATAAACTTTATATAGACTCTTAAATTGCACAAATTTTGCACTAGTGTGTTTTTCTGACTGGGTTATGAAAAAAAAAGGAAAAAAAGAATAATTTTGGGGTCTGAAGTGGGTTTGGAAAACAAGTCCTTCAAATTAAGAGAATTTTATTCAAAGCTTCTATCTTTAAAAAAATACAATTAAAAAAAAATAACAGATGGCTACACACAGGGTTACAGAGTGTTTGTACATACACATATATATTTCAAGCCCAACGCCCGCAGGTGTGTTTTTATTGTTGTCGTGACAACGTTCTAGCCCACCCAGAAAGTTGAGACGAGTTTACCTGTGGACCTCCTGTGTCGTAATGACTTTCATGTTGTGTTAATGACCATGTCTGTTTCTGAAAGCTCATATTGAACACTGCTTTTACCCTAATGCTCACCCAAATAGCACACAGTGTGATGCTTTTACACTCGGATCACAGTGTACAAGACCATCTCAGAAAAAAAGGAGCAGACAGGAGATGTTTTCAGAAACAACCAAGTCTTAAAAAAAAAAAAAAAAAAACTTGTTTAATGCTCCACCACTCAGACCATCATGCGCCGCCCATTCCACATCTTTTAATATACAACCCGGCAACTTTAAAGAGCACACAGCCTGTGTGACTTCATCGCTTAAAGGTGCAATTTATCTAAACAAACTCTTGATCGCTGTATTTCAGCCTACGAATCAATCCGAGGCAGCGTATCTTTAAAAAGTTGAGTTTTCCAAACAGATTGCAAGAAACAAACTCCATGACCCTCAATGAATCAGTAAAGTCTCAGGTGAGAAATGCGTGAGATCATGAACAGGCAAGGTTAATTAACATGCAGTATATTTGCTCCGTATAATGCCCTTTGACATGAGATTGTGTTGCCTGAATGATGATGATCAATAAAACAGCATTCAGCTTTTTGCAAATTTTATATGAGCAAATGGCTGTAAGTTTGAGGAAACTCTGACATCGAAATAATGGAAATAAGACATACAACAATAAACATGGCAGTCTGACCTTTGATGATGCAGGCGCACTATGAAGGCGATTCACATTGCTGATTCCACTCATTTTTTTTTGTAACCAAATATTTTTGGAAATAAAAACTTAAAAAGATTAAAAACACAGCCTTAACACTGATTTAAAAAAAAGTGCAGTGTGACGAACATAGTCAAGCCTTGCGATACGACTGACCTGACTTACGGGCTATTTGAGGTATGAGCTGTTGTTCAGCCAATTTTAAATATATATTTATTTTTGCTTTGACTAAAAAGCAAAAATTTGAGATATGAGCACTATATGATGGAGTGGAACTCAACCCAACTCACTTTACAAGGAGCAGGAGTTTGGCATATAGCTGACAATTTTTCAAAAGAGGCTTCAAGCTGTTTACTAACAGTCTCGGTTGACGTTTACTGTCAAACCTAATGTAAAACAGAGAATTACATGTTTTGTGTTTCAAACAACCACATACTTTTCTTTACAGTCCATTTGGCTTAATTCTAACACATAATGGGAAATGCCATTGACAGGCTGAATAATTGGGGCTTACTGAACGGCTGAGATCGGCTCCATGTACAAAAACCAATTCCAATACAGCCGGGATGTGTAAAATAGAAATTAAGACAGAATACAATGATTTGAAAATCCTTCTCAACCTATATTCAACTGAATACACAACAATGACAAGATATATCATCTTTAGACTGATAAAGTTCATTGGGCTTTTTTTTTTCAAATATTTTCTCATTTTAAATTTGATCTCTGCAATGTTCCAAAAAAGATGCGACAATAGAATCATATCATTGTGTTGCATCACCGTTCCTTTTAACAACACTCACTCAGCATTTAGGAAGAATTCTTGCTTGATGTACAACTTCACTGGCTCAACTGTCCGGCGTCTCCATTCTTGTATTTTGTTATTCGTAATGCGCCACACATTTTAAATTGGAGGCATGTCTGGACTGCTGGCTGGCCATTCTTGTACAGTCCCTGGATAAGACGTTGCTTGGATGGCAGCATATGTTGCTCCAACCCCTATATGCAACTTTCAGCATTAATGGTGCCTCAGCAGATGTGCAAGATGCCTATAACCTGGGCACTAACACATCCCGATACCATCGCAGATGCTGGCTTTTTAACACTGCGCTGAGGACACCATGTCCATGGTTTCCAAAGACAATTTTAAATTTGGACTCGTCAGACCACAACACACTTTTCCACTTTGCATGGAAGTGTTTTGAGTAACGAATGTGGTTACAGAATGAAATTAATCGGAATCTTAAAGCACCACTTTACTTATAAAAGGTGCATAAAAGTATAGGAAACTTTGAATCTCAGAAGCGCTTCATTTTACAGGTTGCACTGCACAATTCATACAGTGACTTAAAACCAGTAGTGCCGCAGCAATATTGAAATTGGCCAAAAGCAGCTTGTTTAGTTGCTTCAAAATGGCATGACAACACGCACAGTCATTTCTCAGTAGCTTATGAGCCCCTTAATAATTTCAAAAACAGCCACTGTGCCGAGAGGGTTCCAGCGTTATGAGTGATGCACCAAGCTCACTGCCTCAAACACAAGTTGAGCATCCAGCTGAATTCCTGACATTTTAAATCAAAACATTGCACTTACGCATGATATTTCACGATCCAGCATCATCTATGTGTCTGGAACGATACGAAAGCTTGTCAAGTGCCCCCCCCCACCCCCACCCCCAAAAAAAAAATGCTGTTTTGATGTAACTGCTGTCAGTGTGAGTATTCCAGTGTCTGCCGGCTGGTTTCACACACTGCGCACAACGTTCTCACATTATGGTTGCACTTCAGGTGTTTTTCTTTAACCGGCATGACTTTGCCAGCCTCAAGTTCACATTTTGTCATGTTGCCTTGGAAATGATTCATCCTCAGTCCATCCGTGATGAGCTTGCAAACAATATCTTACAACTCCGTCCTTGCACAATTCACTCAAATTTGTATCAGGTTTGCTGGAAAATAATCTTGTAGGTTAAAAAACAAGTCAGATGTTTTATAAATTACTATGATAAAACATCTAGCATGAGAGGATTTTATTCATTCTGCAAAAATGAAAAGAAATGATGAATTCATGTAACAGAAAACAAACCCATCGTCAACCGAACAACCCCAAAGTGAGTGCCGCAGACTAAAAACTGCCGTTGTTAGAGTCAAAGCGTGCAACACGGCAGAATACACACAACTAAACAATGCCTTGTCCCAAAATTGTGAGTTAGATGTTTTTGTTTTGTTTTTTTCCATGCTGGCATGCGCACAGGCGCTCCATTGAATTGATCTCATTAAATCATTTGAGATTTTCCACAGAGCCAAAAGAGCATAATCGAGCCAGAAATTAAGAGGCTGCGAGGTTTCCACCGGCGTAATAAAAGGTCTAATTTTATCTGCTAATGGCACGCCGCTGATATCTTAGTGCGCCTGATCACAAAAAAAAGTCGACTGCTGTTTATTCTGCTGCGTAAAAGATTAGAGCCGCGCTTCCGGAGGTTACATTTGGGAGCCCGTGCACGGGCGGAGCTTGAGTTAAATGCACAGTGAGCGCGCGTGCGCATCGTCAAAGGTTACTCGTGCCATAATAGGGTCTCCAGCCCGCAGCTACAATCTAAAGTTTTAAGTTCGGGTGTTATCCAGCGACAACATTGAAGTAACATTTTCAGCAGTGAGCTGGATGGTACTTGCAGTTGTTTTACCATGGATATCCTTATTATTTACCTATTCTCAACATTTTCTCTCGGGCAACCTTGTCATGTTGAACTTGTGCAACTCAGTAGCCTGTAACCTTGCTTCACTTTGAGGAATTGTTGTTACTGTTTTTTTTTTCTATGTTTCAATGAAATTGCAGTGTGTGAATTATGTTTAAGCCACTGAGGACGAGACTGGGCTTCCTCCGTCTTTGTCGTTTTGGAGCCGAGTGATTGATTTTATTGCCTGGTCTAAAATTGAAGGGATTTGCATTATGTCTTGGTGATTTACATAACAATGATGACTTCTTCTGGATATTTTTTTTTTTTTACAGAATTGGTGGTTTTCCTCTGATTTTTCTATTGCAGACACCTTCAAATCTATAAATAATCCAAGAATGATGATAAATTAGAATTCACATATACTTGCATGGCCTTCAATGAAGCACTGCTTGCTTTCTGAGTCTTCTTTCAATCCCGGAAGGTCAATTTCTGAAATGTTATTGCCGGAGCTGAAGCCTGGTATCATGGGCGTGGCCATCCTGGAAATGCAAATTGGCTCCATGGTTGACCTCAACCTTCTTGAGAACAAAATTCTTCTGAAAGCTCTGCCTTTTCTCAATTCATTTCCAGATTGAAAAATGACAAAAATGGGATTAACCCTCTCCAGTTCAGAGTGGCTCATTTATCACAGTGTCATCTCAACAAATTTCAGACATGTTTTTTTTTTTTTTTTTCCAACACGGGAGGTCCTTCAGGAAGACAGCAATGTTCTGAGCGCCATCCGCACCGTTTATCATCGTCATCATTTTCTGTCACCTTGTTGTCATCCTGTGCCGCTTAACTTGAAGTCGGTGCAACATAAGAGACATTTTTGTACAGAAATCTATTTTTTATGGAGACTTTGTTTAAAAAAAAAATCTAGAAACTATTAAACATACTGTACTTTTTATGATTAATGATGTAGGTTGGCAAACATCTTGTTTATTGAAATAAATCAAGGTGTGTTTTTTTGGTATTATGGCCCATATGAAACGATTCAGGGCGAGGCGCAATTATCAGAATGAGTGATGTTGCTCTTACACAGGAACATAAAAACCATTTGCAAGATCAACACTGGAAATCTAGTAAATATGTTTATATGGTGCAACACAGTAGCAGCAGGGTAATAAAAGGACTGCAAAAGTCTTGGGCCACCGTTCGAAGTTGTTGTAATGATCATATACAGTGGAATGAGAATGTCACCCAGTGGAGCACAGACCAAGGCTGGAAAAAAAGAGAGTACCGTAAAATGTTAATGGGCTGCAGAATGTTGTAGTTCATGGAAGCTAATAAGCAAAGAGGCAGTGCCATCAAGATTCTAAGCGATGGCGACTCAAAAGTGGTTATTCTGTATCTTCTTCAAATCTTTACTGTTTGGAGTCATCATAAATAAATAAATGTATCTTTTTCATTTGACACAGCACAGAGAGTTTTGTTGACAGCCCTGCCACATTGGATTGATTAAAAATCGCCAATTCTAAAAAGTAAGGCTACAAAGTCGTGAAAAATCCTCCATTCTCTCATATGTCAAATGCTTTGGGTGTGTCCTCTTAATATGCCAAGTATATTTCCACCTAACAAGCTTTCGGAGTTTAGAATATATCCCACTGGATCATCCGTGGAATTTTCTAGACCACATGAACAAAGCTCAAAAGCAGCGATGTTAGTGTGAAGCCCCTGTCCACTTGCTGGCTGACAGTGTTTGTTTTTTTTTTTTTGGTTTTTTTTTCTGAGCCCGTCCAACAAGGAATCACCCAAAGCGGCCCTTTGAATTTGGAGACCTGTCAAGCTTGAAAACAAATAATAAAATAAAATACAAATAAATAAATTTGTTCTCACAAGCAACAACGAGGCGCTCTAAAACAGCTACAACAGCAGACTATCCAAAGGGAAGACACATTTTCAGAGGTGTTTTCCGCCACTTTACAACATAGATGAATGAAGTTTTATTAAAAAAAAAAAAGTTCATTAAACTGGTAGGTAATGTTTGTTCACAATTTGTAAATAGGTTTTCAGCAGTTATGTAATGCAGTACTACAATTTCTAACAGGGGTTTTGATGTGCTGTCGCTGAAGCTATCGCCACACCTATGTAAAGAATAAGCCAACCAGGTAACATCGATTTTCAAAAGGGTGTCGTTAACTATTATTTAGGGCTGTGCACGAATCGGCGGTGACCTCAAATAGACAAACAAATTGGTTGTTAAAAACGAGCAGCGAATCAGGATTTTCAGATTTGAGTCGGAACGGGTCATTGCGAAATGTCGCGTGTTTTGTCACAGGGGAAAGTTTGAGTGGCAACGCTCACAATATATGTGATGTCTTGTGTTGCGGAATGAATCATGCCAAGTGGCAAGCTAGCAACAAACTCTTTAACGAGAACAAAAAGGATTACTGTTGACCGGAATCACGCCAAAACAATAACAATAACCGGTCTTAAAGGTGTAATTTTTCCTTTCTCTCTCGCCTGCCCTCCCACATCCTCTCTCTTGTTACCTTCACGCCCCCCGCCCCCAGTCCATAGGAAACCACAGAACTTGTGAAGGTCGCTACGGTATGTCTGTGATGGAGTGTACATTGTGTGTGAAAGTGCGCTGCGTTCAATTAAGCTGTTCAGCATTCAGTCATTAAAGCCCTGCTAAGCAGTGTATCAAAGACTTTGTTTATTTGCTGTTGGTCTTTGATACCGTCCGAACAAGCGACTGTGCAAACTTGGATGCTGGACCACAGACAAAAATATCCAGGTTAGCTTGGCGCGAGCGAGCAGCTGGTATTATGCCAGCAGATTGATTGAAAATTTGTCCAAAAATAACACCCTGCAGTTTGTTGTTGGCCTCTGTATGGTGAGGGATCTTGGAGGTTTAAGTAAGTTGTTTTAAACTAAAAATGAAAACCTTCCTGTAGGTTGACACAGCTGCATTAGCGGTTTTCAAAAACCTAAGAGGCTTTGTAAAGTGCGTTGGACATCATATGGCGTCGACGAAATGCTGTATCACTACATCAATTGCCATTAGATCAAATTGGATTTTTTTTCTGCAAAATACCACTAGAAACCCATTTGAGTTGATTCAGGGTCCGCTGCTTTATCTGTCATGGAACAGCAAACATGAATTTTGCTTGCGAGTCTGAGCGCTGCTATTTACGATCAAAAAGGCGGTTGTGGATGTAAAGGTTATTAAAACAAAATTAGTGGTGACCTAAGACTTTAAATATTGGTTACTTTCCTGTCATCTGAATCATAGATCATCACAGTTCATGGTATTTTTTTAAGGATGTTTCTACAGTGTTCTTGTGTAAGAGTAGCACAAGGTCCTATATTTGTAACTGCTATGTAGACAATGGTTGTCGCAGATTTTCATATTTCATGATGGCCCAAAGAAGAAGCAACCTACTCCTCCTGGATTAAATGGGAACAAATTAACAGATTACGGAGGTTCCTATTTAATTGTGATTATGTCGCCATGTTTCAAAACCACCTTTGCTATTTTTATGTCTTCTGGTAAAGACCGAAAGAGAAGACTAAATAGCGCAAGTACTCCGAAAGTGTGCAAGCATACAATTTGTGAATGCAGTCTCATAACCTGTTGTCAAAGAGACTCACCCTTTATCAGCTATTTTGAAGATATTATTTGAGAATAAAGTTTTTTTATACAACAACCACTTTGGCAATGTGTGCTGCCTTGATCTGACAAGTTTCTTTCCAATTAAGACTGCATAGAGCGAATATAAAATAACAAATCAGGCGCTGTGTTTGTGCGTGATTGAAACACATCGGCGACATCCTGGGCTCAAAGCAGCGGAAGCCTTCCAGTGTGGGGTTTGCATGATTGCGCCTCTCTCAGGTGTTCTATCCTCTTCACACAGTGTCACAAATTTCACACCTAGCACAATTCAAGTCAGAACCATTACTAAGGTGAAGTTCTTGGTCTTTTATCAAACCATTTTGATGGAAATACATAATGTTAAAGAGGTTTACAGACCTTTGTGGCCGCACATATCTAGGCCTCAACGTATGGGGCTTTTTTTTCTGCATAAAAACTTTCGGCATCTTTTATGCCAGGGCAAGTCTAGTTTAGCGTGTTTGGAAATTTGCAGTTCTGTGGATGTGTGGTGGATATCATGGTATTTCATTCATAAATATGACAAGATTGTGCATTAATTCCCATAAATCATTGTACAATCAATACATTGGATTAATCATCATCATTACTTTAGTTTTAAAAGCACTTCCCTTACCACGGCGCAATTATGAGTGGTGGGAGGGCTGTATGCACCATCGGCGTAGAAGGCGGTCTCCAATTGCCCATTAGTTCACAGTGGGCAACTTTACATCATCAAGTAGAGGAGCGCTTGAAGTCCCTTTTAACTATATTCTGGGCACCAATCTCCTGCCTGGACTCCAGCAAGTCCTGCCACCACATACCGTAGTTTGCGCACGTCTACAGCGCTGAATGGAAAGGGTTGAGGGGAGCCGCTTCCATTTGCTGAGAAAGAAGCCAGCTGGAATCACTCCTACAACGGCGATAACGCCCCTTTTCGAGCTACGCCTGTCTATACAGTCAGAATGCATGTTACGCTTGCGCTGGGCACATAATGCGTCCATTGGTTTTGCTCAAATAATGAAATGTCATCTCTAAATCTTAACCCTTTCATGCACCTTGTAACCTGATAACATGATAAGCCGTCCACCATAGTAACCGCTGTCCCTGAAAGGGTTAAACTCTGCGTGTAACTTCAGTGAAGGTTGTGAACGGTTCAGCAGTCATTTTACTATTGGCCTCCTCGATCTATACAGATATTATAATTTCATTCCAAAACGTGGAAAGAAATGCCAACCAAAGGCAGGTTACCATAGTTACTGCCAGGTTGGTCATGTACTTTCAGACCCACAAATCACATCAGAAATAAATCGAGACACGATAAACAAGTAAAAAGGTTCTATCTGCCTGAGCAGTCAACCTGCTCGGAAATATAGAACAGCACGGTGAAACTATATTTAGATATATTTATTTGTACCACAGACACTAACAACCTGCTTTCTGAGTGCAACCACTGAACACTCCAGTCGAAAAGACTCTTAAAAGGAAATAGTGACTAAATGGATAAGAATACTTAAAACAATGTAAAATGAAAAGAAAATGTATACACTTGGAGCGGTGCACGTTGATTAATGAAACAGCCGTAAAGCAGCTTCTCCAATTACTGCGATAAGAGCTACGGTGAGATTTGCTGGAGATCAAGTTGGATCTGGCACACATTTTAGATTGTAGTGGGGATAAAACATGTAAGAGACGCTGCACGACACATGTAGAATTTTTTAATTTCATGCCAGAGCAACCATGGAGAACATTCACTTTTTGGGTTTAACTCAGCCTCAATGAATTCCTTGACAGCAGACACGAAAATGTATTACCCCGTATGAATCACGTAACGGCATAATAATAGTTTTTAAAAAATGGAATATTTTACAAGTCTAAGTCAACTGAAAGACAAAAGGACATCTCACTTTGCTTTATTGGGCATCATGCAAGAGTTTATTTCCTGACTGACAACAAAAGGTGAGATTTGTGCCTTAGCACGAAGAAATTTAATTTGAAATCATTTTGTAGAATTAACTTGAGCACAAAATTAGAAAAGGATAATTCGAACCAGCGTGGCAACATTTGTCACAGTATACAGTACATCATGCCCTGCAGGGGTGCCGGGTTCGAATCCAGCTCCGGCCTCCCTGTGTGGAGTTTGCATGTTCTCCCCGGGCCTGCGTGGGTTTTCTCCGGGTACTCCGGTTTCCTCCCACATGATAATTCGAACCAGTGTGGCAACATTTGTCACAGTATACAGTACATCATGCCCGACTGGCATTGTACCTACTTCATTCAAGTTTTTTGAAAAATAAACAGGAAATAGATGACTAGCAACGGTACCTTGTCAAAACTAATGATTTTGCTTTGCAGTGATCAGAATGGAATGATTTCACAGTCGGGGAAAAAAAAAGGAAAACTGCCTCTTTTTTTTTTTCGTTTGACAGTATACAAATAGTTGGCTCTTTGGAGTGACTGCCCGCCAATCAAGTGTGAAATTAAACAGCCAAGTCAATCGTTGTTATCTGCCTATCCCTCAGAAGCGAGCCATTCTGCACTTCTGACCCACTCTTATATAATTTGGGGCTAATTTGCATAATAACCACCCCCTGCATTCAGTTTCACCATCCAAAAATTGGTCATTTTTACACACTCATAATTGTTTTCCTCTATTTGAGTTGTATTTAAACATTTGGGAGTACAATGGCCTTCCCCCCGGCCACTAGTGTGAGCGCACTTGAATCAAAATCTCCATCCATTTTCTGAACCGCTTTATCCTCACAAGGGTCGCTGGAGCCTGTCCCAGCCTTCTTCGGGCAGTAGGCGGGGGGACACCCTGAACCGGTTGCAAGCCAATTGCAGGGCACAAACGGACGAACAACCATCACACGCTCACACTCACACCTAGGGACACTTTAGAGTGTTCCTTTCACCTGCCATGCATGTTTTTGGAATGTGGAAGGAAACCGGAGTACCCGGAGAAAAGCCACGCAGGCCCGGGGAGAACATGCAAACTCCACACAGGGAGGCCGGAGCTGGGATCGAACCTCTGCACTGTGAGGTCGACGCGCTAACCACTGGACCACCAGGCCGCCCGGATCAAAATCTCTTCACTCAGAATACATGAGGCCCCAGCCCTACTCTCATCAGCAGAAAATATGGGTGAGTAATTTAAGTTCTGGTGACTGTCAACAACTGTTTCAAAGAGAACATGGGAGAAGTAGAAAACACCAGTCTCGCAAAGCATTTTTTCAAGTGAGGTATTGAAGTGTGGAGAAGAGGTGAAAAAAGTTGTTCATCATATCTCAAAGATTGTGCGGGTGTCTGTTACATAAGAGAAAAGATGTCATCCTTGAAGCTCCTTTATCAGATGTGAAGATTATCAGGGAGTTATCATGAAGGCGATGAGTCTTTAAATACTTGTAAACAAATGTATAAGCAGGAGTGAGTCAGCCTGGAAGTCATTATCAGGTCGGGTGCATCTGCCCCATGATAAAATCAGCACCCATTAAAACCTTTGCTGCTTCAGGTGTAATTAGATGTTTATTTCACGATATTGGCACATGGTTCACTGTCCCAGAATTCCATCCTCTCTTTCAATGGCGAGTTTAGTAACACATCTACATGTTTTTGTTTTGTTTTCCCAGGGGGCCTTTGACACAACCAGAAACCATATCTTGGGGAAACACTGAAATGCTATTATGTACTTATTGAACTGGCCTGTCGCCTAAACTGGAAACTAGCAGTGCATTTTGGCATCATTGCGGGGTTTGGGGCATGATTATCATTTTGGCAGCCTGCGCAGTTGGCAGAGTGGCTGAATTATATTTTGCTATCTCGCTCCCTCGTCGCAT